CATGATTATATATATATATATATATATATATATATATATATATATATATATATATATATATTATCCTATATGACGGATTTGCGGACTTACTGTGCCAATTTCTGAAGGGAGAATAAGGCAGACAGTAGTAAACTGAGTAATGAAAAGAGCACTGAAGGAGGCCCTCTGGTGAAGACTGGACTTAATTGAATTTTAAATCTTTTTACTGATGCAGTTTGTATTTTGATATTCTGATATGGTGCATGCTTTTTTAAAAGTTTTTTTTTAAACTACTTCACCCCAGTCACAATAGGCCTAATGGAATTAATTATAACATTTTATTTAGGGTCTCTGTATATGAATATTTTTTTATACACAATAACCTGTAAACGACTTCTCTGCTACTGTACGACATACTGACCCCAGCCGTGACCCGTAGCTACCCTCTACCAGGGCGACAAATTGATTTTTTACAAGATATTCACAGATAATGTCTTTAGATAAATAGACAGTCATTTCATGCTTTTTCAAGATTTCCCTGTAATATCTGCCAACCTGTTAGTGGGTAACCCTTAGCCGACATTTCATATACAGGATTGTAGGGGCCTACAGAGTGAAAAAACCAAAATTCGTTTCAGAGAATATTTAAGTCTTTTTGGCCATTTTATTTTAATTAAGATATTAGTGGCGGATTTAGGGAGGGGGGGGGGGTCAGGGGGGTCCTGTCAATCCTAAAAACTGGACCCCCCTTCTAGATAATAATCCTGGAACCGCCCCTGATTGTTTTGATTCGTGACAGCAAAATCAATGCTAGCGGATGTTGGAAGCTAAAAACTTATTAATTATATATAAGGAGCGAATTAAGTGCATGGGTTTTGCTTGTGTTTTCAATACATTTTCAAATTTAAAGCCCTAGTCAACTTTACCCATTCAATTCAAGACTGTAATTTTGCAGAATTTCAGGGAAAATACGCAGAATATCCGTGGATAACTTTTTAAAAAGTTATTTTCGTTGTCGCACTTCACTCGCTAGTCTGCCATTATTCATGACCCACACTCTCCTCCACATTTCCAAAAATCTCGCTAAATATTCTTTCGCGACTTTGGGCTCTTCTGTGTTTCTTCTGTATACATTGCCTCATCGATGTATTTTATTATCTGTTTCAAGTTTTTTCAGAAATATCTGTTTTTCGCTTTTAATGCATTTTAAACAAATGCTCCCCCCCCTAGATAGAGGAAGGAAAACGGGCCAACAAACAAACAAATTTTAAAAAAGCATAATGTCAAGCCAGTGACCCAATTTGAACTTTAAAAAATAGGTGTGCAACACGCTAACAGGTAGCCTACTTTCAACGAGCTGAAAAAAAAATCACAAGGTATAGCGAAATGCATATCTTTCATTTCTAAGAAAGTGATACCCATTTGGCGTGTGGCAATAAATGAGAACCAGGAATGTGTGACGCCCCACACATCGGGTAATTCATTCATAGAACAACATGTAAGTTATGGTCTACATAAAAAAATACCGTCTGAGGTTAATAGCATCGATCGCTACACAACATCGCCACCTTTTGGCAAACAAATACACTGAAAATTCTTATTCATACTCAGGCAATGTCATGTCAAGGTCTTTCTAAGCATTTATATTCACAGCGGCGTTATAGAGGGTTTTGTACGCTCTCCAATGAAAGGAATCATTACCTCTTACTGCGTGTGTTGACATGATGTTTTAGAGGGCAAGGAAGGTGATTTGGTAACAGAGTCCTCCAATTACATTAGCCGTCATACGACGCGTCAAAGCTCCGTGAAGGTGACCCCATTCCCTCAGATCTGTCCAAATAGTCGCATACGGTAAGTCGGCATGGTCTAGAAATGTCAAAATGGTTTGGTAAAATTTGTACTAAGTGATCCAACACGGGCGTTCAGGTGGTATTTATGACGTATTGACGTTCAATAGATAACACTTAATCTTATCTTATCAAAGAGGTAATAGTGGAAAAGCCGATGTGATCGGTAGCGCATCAGAAATTGTAATTAGGCCCTATTGGTATTATTTAAATATTATTACCATCGTATTTCTTGCTTTTCTTATCATTATCATTGTAATATTTATTATCGTTTTGGGGTGGGGTAGAGGAGAGAATATGCCAGTACCTTCACGTAACTATATATATACAGTGAAACTAGGTTAAAAAAATCAAAAATAACGAAAAAAGGTTATTGACCCATTTTAATCTGGGAAATCCCCAATGGTTCCAAGTACCGGCATACAACACTAAGAAAATTCTAGATTGTTCTGACGGAAAGATTTTATTTCGTGTTTTGAAATCCCTCAGTGTGGGTTATATTAAAATTTTCTCGACCTTTGTTCTAACCTTTTAAGAAAAGCTTCTGGAGAAGGGGAACTTGCGTTATATTTAACATGATATTTAAGAACCCGGAAGCGCCACCGTATTTTTAAGGGCAGGTATACATTTTTAAAGGAAAAAATTCACCCTCTGTAATTCTATATGTGTGTACACGGGTTGTGCACTGGGTCATATACATAGGGTTACAGTTATTACGCAGGTTAGTCATCTCACGTAGGCGGGTTTTGGTGGTTGAGAAAAAATCGTTGGTCATGTTATAAATCAAAAGAAATCAATACTATCATAACCTGCAAGATGGTAAGGTTGACTAGCGAACGTTGTTGATAATGGCAGCATTTTATGAAATGACTTTTACTAGGAACAAAGCTACTGTATATAAACTAAGAAATGCGGTCATCAAATGCTAGCGGGACAAATGTGCCGGAAACCGCCCTAAAATGACATCATTTTAAGCATGAATGATTCAACAAAAAACTAAAATGTGGAAGATATTTATCGATTGAGATACAGATTGAACACGAAGGTCACATTTATCTCTTTCATTACTTTTTCATTTGCTGCTAATGCCGGTGGAGGTTCTTGTTTCCTCATTTCTGGTTCTGTGATGGAAATACAATTCCTCAAATAATGATAGTTGATGCTTAATTTTTACTTAATTATGCGATCTCTCGTTTGACTGCCTGCAAAGAAAGAGATTTTTTATTGTTATTGTGATAATGGTGTGCATAGTTTAAGTATGGACGGACGGATAGGTGGATGGATAATACTTTTTAAGACCTGGGATTGGTAACAAGACAAGATTTAATATAATAATAATAACACGATAAAATAATTAAAATGATTGCAAGAACATCATCGTGAATTCTAAAATAAAGCGCTTTAAGATTTTGCAATATGTTATTGTGAAAGTTTCCTTGAGATAAGATAAATTGTTATTGAAGAAACAATTTTCTTATCTTGCGGCATTAATATCCCTGTAGAACGTGGGACTTAATCGCTGGGGTGATTGAGTGCTTTTCCTCAATTTCTCCAACAAATGACAAAAGATTAAGTGGGGTTATTGAAGTGTTTCTTTGGAGCACGTTGAGATGATGAATTAGTCATCAATTCCTTAATTGCTTGTCGAATTATCTACCACGGTAAGCCTAGGCCTGCTACAGATGTATACTGGTGTCGTAGGTAGCAGTGAAATGGCAGTATTACTGTTCTATTAAGTCGTGTAAGAGCTCGAGAAAAAACTTACTTAGTAATCGTGCGTATGCCACTTGTGTGTGTGTGAATTGTTATCTTTAAAAAATATGAGATTAAAGTATAAGAATCTCTATAGATATATATATAGGTTATCACCCCCTCCCCTTCCCCGCTACCCACCCCAAGGCTGACTGAGATATAGTTTAACCACACGTAGTAGATAAAATGCCTGGCATTCGATTCCAGCCTCACGATTCCTTAATTTTTCTCTAAACTATTTATTCCACTTATAATCCATTCACTCTTATCGTTGGTACTTGTGCTTACTTTTTCTACTTGTATTTGGAGTGTAAACCGCACCTTTATTATAGACAAACAATATAATCGCCATTGCGAAATTTTAACAAGCGTGCACTCCCCGGTGTCATTTCTGATATATCCCCAGCATGTACTATGCCTCTTCTGAATTCTAATAGACAGTAATGTTCGAAAGAGTTCAAAAGTAGTAGACAGTAAGTTGAGGAGTCGGGTCACAATGAACAATTATTGGCCTACTTTTTGTTTCCGCTTTTTATTGAGTATTATAAGATGTCACAATGACAGTTTAACCTTGAAGTAAAAAAATCCAAGACAGTCCACTAAACATCCTTTTTTTTTCGGTTGGCTTTTAAGGTGCTCGCCACCAGGTCGGTGAACCCACATGCCTTCGCGCACGTCGTCAAGTGCATTTCTATATTGAGAAAAAGTAGACTAAACGCAGCCAAGCCAAACGTCAGATGTTAAGCCATGAGCGTCAAAGCAAGCACACCGGACCATGCGGATGAGATGGAGGTTGAACTAAGGACTGGAGACTCGGAAGAAGAAGAAAAGGTAAGTTAATATGATCTAATATGGATTGTAACCCCGTTAGAACTGTATATTGATGAGATTAAAATAATTTCTGTACTTTTAACTGGGCGGGTAATGTTTATTGTACGAACGTCACGAATCTTAACATGCCCTTTTGAATAGATATGATATGTCATATCAATTATTAAAACGGGAAATGTTTCTGGTAATTATTTATCTAAATTTACCTTTTAAGGACAACGTTTTCAGGATATGTCTGTATAACCATGTCGCATATTTTAATCTTTGACAATAAAATTGTAATTTTATACTTTTAAATAGTTTTCAGACCTATGACAGAACATTTATTTTTCGTCAGATATCCATTCCATATTCCTTTAAATCAACTATCTATCATTATTGTTACCTACGTGGTACACTCGTGACACGTGTAGACAACGAACNACAGGTCATAGGTATTGAGAAGGAGACGTAAAAGACATTTGTTCTCTTCATTGTGAATGTCAGTATTCGCAAATCGAGAGAAGCAGCACGTGGATGTGCTACCTGACATGACCCAGTTTTAAGGTGAAATATGTGCCCCGCCATGGTAACGTAACCACGAGAGCCACAGCTCAACGCGTGATCAGCTGGCTGGTACGTGTTTTACGGCATCTCGTCGGGTACATTTATTACCGCAAACGTGCGTTTTTTACGTTAGCATGTGGGCTTTATTTAGCAGTATATCTTGGTTTTTTTAGTATCATACAATCCTTAATTCCCACTCATCCTGCGGGTTTAATGTGTCTGATAAAAGGAGTACGTTTGAGACCACATTGTTGAAAGCTGAAGGAGTGTCTTGCATTTCATTATCACACTATTATTATTATTATTATTATTTTCTTTTCCTGGAATACTTTTTTAAAATGAAATAATCTATCATCTTAACGCTCTTTAAATGCAGATTTAAATTAAAATTTACTGTCTGAATGCATATATTGCGTTTCTTCTTTTGTAACAAAATGAAGCGAGTTTTGTGGTTGTCTAGCAGTATGACTTCAATTCATAGATGATCAGCAATAATAAAGCTTCATTTGTTTATATTCAAAGACATTTGCCCCTATACCTCTAGATATACTATGTTTAAAATGTTAAGTTTCAATGGAAACAAACAAAAAACGGAAATGTGGGAGCAAGCACTGAGTCATACAGCGACAAAAGGTGATAAAGGCACAGCGGAATTTTTTTAAATCAAGATTTATATGTTGCTGATGATCATCACATGGCTTAGACATGCCCTTCATGAGACAGATAAACTGAAATTACTTTATTCAAAAACTCGTAACCCGAGGTTACCCTTGCAGACTTATAATGGTAATAGACGGTGATGAAATATTGTCTCGACCACAGAGATCCAAGAATGACCTGAAAGACGCGTTTTCGTAATGCCTTTGGTGATGAATAAAGTTACGTGGAGATAGACAAAGAGCGTGAAGTATGGAAGGCAAGATTGAACTCTATGACATGTAATATTTCATGGCAATGAGGGAAACCATTTGCCTTGGATAAATGCAAATTTTCACTTATTTTTCAAGGTTATTTTAAGTCTCGTAAACCAATTAAGCTCGAGCATACTGTACAAACCCACAGTTTAAGATAGCTCTTATTTATTTGTCTGGATTTTTTTAAAAAGCAATTTATTTTGGGTAAGATAATTAATACAGTTTTCTATATTGCATGCACTTATGAACCGTTAAGCTTAGGCTTACCCAGGAAAGATATATATATGTATACTATTTCAACACTTGCGGTTTTTCCTGTTGTTCATGATATTCAGGTTAAGCTCAAAGTTTGCGCAAGAGAATGCGTGCTATGAATGGTTCTTGCACAACCTCTTTTAGACATGTTAGAAACACTTTGTTAACCGTTACTGACACTTGCTCTTCGCCAGGTATCTTCCCAGTCGCTCTCCAGCTGTTACAAAAGTTGATGAAAATGTACTTTCGACCAATTTTGTATCATCTAGAGAGACCAGTGATAGAGAGTATCTGACACTTATTAAGGGTTAAATGACCGGACTTCTATTTATTAGATTGTTTATGTATTCAATTACGTAGGTGGACTTGTTATGTGTTTATTCATTAATTCATTCAATATGGCTTCCTTTCGGTCCCAAGAGACATATGTAAATGCAGTTGGAGAAGTATTGCTACGTACATCAATTTTTGAAAATCGTGTCCTAGTAAAAGCATCAGATATTTGTCGTTGTGATGAGCAGCAAGGCGTATTGATAAGTCGTGTAGTAACAATCGTGTGGGTGAATTTCCTACATTTATGCTACATTAGCAATCAGGAAGAACAAAAGGAAAAAAACGTATAACGCAAATCAATGCTAAATTGACATCTATGCTCACGGCTTGATGGAATGAGACAAGTGAGAATTATGAGGAGTTTGGATAAAATACATCTTCAGTGAGATGAATGTTACAGAAATACCCAGAAGAGTATCTCTCATTATCTTATCTAAAGAATAACAGATACCCTAGTAATGGTTCTAGAATCAGTTGACGGAGTATCGATCACTAAAATCTTCCTAGATCGTTACACTGCATTAACTACTGCTGAAGCGCCGCCAGCTAGATATACCTGGGCATTTTTTTTAAAGAGGGCTTCGTACTTTTTTCAATTCCACAACATGCATTGATTTAACAAGCGCCACAAACACATAAATCAGTTCCGCAAGATGTTTTTTTTTTCAAATTGCCGATACCGTATGCACTGCAGACTTGAGAATCTTGCATTTACATTGAATTTCTAATTGCCTAACTGACCGAGTATGTAAATGAGACCTGTGCCATCCTTTATAACGCTTTCAAGATTGAGAACACACGCCTTTAGCGATAGAAAATAAAGGCGTAGACTAATTCGATTTGGTCGTCGAAGATATCACTGCCACATAGATTTGATTTGCCTAGTCAAATCACAGAGCATCAATTGACACTTCCTGTGTTTAAAAGGTTAATTAGCATTATAGTCCATGTTGCTTAGCTGTATTGCTAAATTAATTTTCTGTGTTAAAAAGGTTAATTAACGTTAGCTTCCATGTTGGTTAGTTGTCTTGCTAATTTTTTTTTTTTTTTTTCGTTTTTAATTTACCACTGCAAACTGTTTTCCTTGAGTTGCAAAATCATTGTCTGTTGAGTTTCAGAACCAGCTTTTACGTTTTCAAATTTCCAGTTATGCCCGCTTGTCACACCCGAACTTGGCAAAATTTGATCGAGGTTTTTGCGCTAATCACATATGTTACACGGGTCTGTAACCTACGCAACACACCCTTCCACCTGTTCTGCGAGCCCACGATGTCCTAATGAGTGGGTGCGCGGCTGTTCTTGTTGCGGTAAATTTTCACAAAACTTACTGCTGTCGGCCAGAGTTCGATAAGCGTGCGCATTTGAAAGGATGAGCATCAAGAAGCTGAAACTCATTAGACAGAAAGTTCAAGTAGTATAGAGCACAATGCCCGTTTATTGAATTACTGCACAGCATCTCTTGGACTGCGATTTAGAAGAGTATCGGTAAATTTTGCTTTGACAACAACAGGAGTGGTCTGTACTTTACCTGAAGGAATGGTTTATGAACGATTGCAAACCCTCATTTTCTACCAAGTAGGTCAGTTCCCCGCTCCCCCAACCACCACCTCTTAAAACTAGCTTCTAACTCACCTGCACTGAGCTGTGAAACCACAAGTTCTTTTGTTTTTTTTTTACATCAAGGTTGTTCTCTAAAAAAATTTACAAATCTGAGTTTGCATGAAACTGGATAATTGTCGGAAATTCTTCGACTTTTTTTAGTTTGCGTTTTGTAAAATGAACCAGGTATACGTAACAGACGTAATGTCTTTCAAATATTTTTTCCCAAATGTAGTTTTGACACTTTGAATAAATGAAAAGGGTTGTGTGTCCGTTATTCGAGAGCATTACATCTTGCAGTCTCTTGTACATTTACTAGTACTGTTATCAACACAAATTCCCTCCTGTTTCAAACGCTCGGCAAGGTGCGCATTTGCCTTCTACCCAGGCGGTACAGATCATTTAAGGTTAGGAAATTAATTTTCTCTCTCTGTTTTTCTTGTGCTCGGTTAGGCACCACCGGGAGTGCAATTTTAAAAAGTACCAATTCACTTCTGGAACACTGGCAAAACGATGAGAAAAAAGTGTTGTATTACAGAAATGCCACCATTGTATTATAATTATGGCTTTCGAGGAACCACATGAGAAGTCCAGCACACGAGCGGAGTTTTCCCTTGAGTCAGGAAAACGAAGCTGGTTCAAGGTGATCCTTGTTGTAAAGGTCATGTTATTTGTACTCAGTACTTACAGTAACTATGTAGATTTTCTAGACTTATCATCTGTATCATTTTTAAGCCCCGGTTGGTTGCATTTCTATTAAGCCAATGATTTCGATCATTCAAGAGAAGCAGTTTTGACAAGCTTAAAACATCGTCTAGTCTTGATTGATGTATTGAACAATTCTAAACGTGTTATGGACCTGTTCTTGTGCTGGATAGTTTTCCTAAAAACAGTTGCTAACTGAGTTTAATAAATAAACACCATGCTATGTGCATTAAACAACAGGCTGTTTCAAAAAAAAAAAAAATACCCTTATATATTGATTAATATCTATGTGAAACGAAGCTGAAAGAGAGAATAACAGTTTTAAAATATCAATAACTGGATTGCAGATCTTTCTGTAAAACGGCAATCTAGAGGAAATTGAATTGTGTACGATATGCCACTGAATAGCCTGGAGCATATGAAGGGGAGGACCGATTTCTGCGCAAATGATGTCAGAACCTGACCGAAAAAAATCACTGAATCTCAATAAGTTGATGGCGGATGGTTACTGTAAAACAATTAGCGAAGGGGAATTGAATTGTATGCAATATGCCAATAAATTCCCAGGGGCTTGTGAAAAAATGACCATTTTTGAAAATGCTCCATAAATATTTATGCTCTTCGCTAATTCATGCCATCTTTGTAGTTATTAGTGTGATCGTGAAGATGAAGCGAGAAAGAAAACTGGTTGAAGAGGGGGGGGGGGGTCAGGATTTAACATGGTATGGGCATAGAATTCTTTTTAGATCAAGTTTCCAAGCGAAAAAATCATGTAAGAAAGCCTGAAGAAGAGGACCATGTGCAAATGGAGACTAAAATTCATTAACCGCACGGTATCGTGTTTCCTCATGGTCTTTGAGACAAACTTTACCTATCTATTTTTGTGTCGCCCCCTACTTTTTCTCGTTTATATGAATTCGATTGCAGATTTATCTTCCAGTTCGTCCCAAACAAATGATTTCAACAAAAAAAGATGTCGATATATGACAGTTTTACACAAATCATTATAAATTTCAGCAGTCGAAAACATGCTGCCAGAAGATCCGCAGTCAACCTATTGGTCGTGTCATTGTCCTGTTAGCCTCCTTCTCTACGATGGTCATCATAGGGGGCATGGTATACAACGTAGGGATGTTATATGTCGTCTTTCTGGACCAGTTTAAGGCGGATAGAGCAACGACGGCATGGATTGGGTCGCTTCAGTTTGGAATGTTGAATGTGGCAGGTAAGGCAGTAGTAGGTGTTGCCGTATTACGGCTTGTTTGCTTTTTGATAAATTATCAGATAAATTTTAGATAAATGTATCCTTCTAATAAAGCTTTTAACATGGTTCTGTTTCATTTTTAAGAGTACTTTTGTGTATTGCTCATTTTGTTTTGCTTATTTTGTTTGGCCAGAGACGTACTGCAATACCTGCACATCCTTTTGTGGTATCCGAACGTGCGCGCAAATGTAGGGCTTCGCCAAGTTATTTGATTGATCCTAGTTGGTTTTCAGTTGAGGGCCGCCAGCAAAGAGAAAAACACAAATTCAACAAAAATATTCCCTGTGGCGCCGTTGTAATACTATTGTAATGAATAATTTAAAAATACACAGACAATAATGCAACCCTGGATGGTCTATTTGCAATAACGCAATTCATTTTCAGTGATCGCCTCAAGTAACACAATAACAATATATTGCCTAGGTATCAAATACGTTGTAGCTTGCAACCTGTTTTAACAATAAAAATTATGATGATGTAAAATGCCTCCTTTTTGCTAAGGGCAACTTCTTGCTGCAAAATACCCCATGAAAACTATAATGAAATTCAAATGTTTGCGAAAATTCATATGCATGCAGAAGTTATGGTATGGACATCTTTCTCTAAGTTGGCATTAATTGGATACAAGTATGTATCTATTAGGATAACTGACAAGATATTTAGACTAAATTACCTCACCTTTCAGCTATACAGGGTACACAAAAGCCATGATATGCTAAGGTCGTATTCTAAAGGACCAATAAACAGTCATCTAAATTTAAAAAAGAATAATAATATCATTAATTAATAGGTATATAAAATTTAAAAAGTAACTTTTTGAAACAAAATCAAAATCAGAAGGACAGGGATAACTTCTTTCACAGGCTGTGTTCGTTTATCTAAAATCAATTTACTTTTTTTTATACTTTGCATGGAGTTCGCGGAGAAGACAAGTGGCTGATTCTACTGTCTACAGTAAATAACATAAATCTATCAGCAATTACATAAAGCAAATACTGAAGTTCATTGTTCCAAAGTTTTTTTTTAATGTATTTTGCCATGTCATGTATTTTTTATATTTTTAATATTTTAGGTCCAGTTGCTGGGGTAATCTCTCAAAAATTCAGCTGCAGGTTCAGCGTGATAATAGGTGGACTACTGGTATCAACAGGGTTGGTTGTAAGTGCTTTTGCCACCAGTGTCTATTACCTAATAGCTTCATGTGGACTATTAGTAGGTAAGTGATGCTTTTAGCAGATGAGATTTTGCAAGTGGATCCTGTTTGTAAGACTTGCCCTGATGGTTTTAGCAATTCATCACCACCGCATATTGAGTAAAGTGTCAGGCAACTGAGCAATTTTCTATATGAGAAATGGCAATAAAGGGATTTTCTTACAAAAACATACAAAATAATTGAAGACAACTTATTTTGTTGCCATGGTTTTAGGAATATTAGCAACAGCAGACACAATATTTATTTCTCGTTGCCATTAATTCAATAGTGTTGCTCATATCCTTGCAAAGTTAGTGAAAGAATTAATACACAAGGATATGGTTATTGCCATGATACAAAAAGAAGCAACACTCAATTATGGGCTGGCATGGCATGATATATTACAATACAGTCTTGGGATGGAATTAATGAAAAGCATAGAAAGCAATGCATATTTGAACTGAAGTCCGTACACTTTATCTTATCCATACCGTGCTTCAGCATAAAATGCCATAAACAGTTTGTATCCAAATTGCTGTAAAGTAAGCACTTTACCTCAAGTGATCACATTATCCATGGTGTTTTACCTAAAAAAACATGGACTTTGGTGAATGTAATTAGCACTGGCATTTTTGAAAAAGACACCAGGTAGATAAAACTGTTTCAAATACAGATTTTTCATTAGCACTGGCATATACGATACTTCTTCAGTAAATTGCCTGTTTAAAGCAATCCTCTTTTTCACATTTCATTTCACAAGATACATTTCAAGACACTCAAGAATATTTTCCAATCTATTTCAGGTATTGGCTATGGTCTGTCATACTCTCCCTCCGTTGTTATGGTTGGACTGTTATTTGCCAGACGCAGGATCCTAGCAACAGCATTTGCCGTGGCAGGGATGAGCATCGGGCAGCTTTCTTACCCCTTCCTTATCGAGAATTTAGTGCATAAATTTGGCTGGAGGGGTGCATTGCTCCTTATGGGAGGCATTGCACTACACATCGTATTGTTTGGGTTTCTTATGAGTCCTACAATTGCCTATGCAGGACGCAGCACTACCAAGAAGGGACCACCACCAACACATAAAAAACAAATGGTCACAGATCCAGGGATTCTTTGTAACCCTCACTTTGACATCTATGTATTCAGTCTGTTTTTATTTGCTTTTGGACTGTCAATTGTGTCAGTCCATCTCCCTGCCCTTGGGAATGAGATTCATTTGAATGCAGATCAGAGAGCAAGACTCATGTCATTTATGGGCATGGCAAACCTCCTGGGGCGTATTATCCTCGGGATAATAGGTAACAGTGGAAAAGTAGGCGTGGTGCTTCTTCACTGTATCACCTGTGGTTTCTCTGGACTTGTGATGGTGTTCTATTCACAGTGTCATTCCTTTACAGCATTGGTGCTCACATCCATGGCCTATGGATTGTTTAGCTGTGGATTTGCTCTCTTTTTATCTCTCGTTGCCATCGAATTGCTAGGTCTGAGAAATATTGCCTTTGGTCTGGGAATTGCAATGATGGGAGTGGGATTTGGACTCTTCACGGGTGCACCTACTGGAGGTAAAAATAAAATTTTATTCAGTTTTTTTTTAATTCACTGCCAAGTGTATCTTACATTTAAACACGTGCAGTTGAACCGTCAAAATATATTTGACAAATAAATAGGTATCCTATAATGATTGAATTGATAAGATATTTTCCCATATGTCAAGAAACTGAGTATAGTAAGTAAAGAGGATGACATTTTTACTTATATACCTATCTGGCCTGTGCATAAAGAAAGTACATTCAGGAAAACATGTGGATAAGAAAAAAACCTTGAGTTAATTGATGAGCAGGACTACTGCTTAGGCGAGGTGATAAAAATTGACTAGCAGGATGAAACACTTTCCGGTGTGATATCCAGGACTATTACTGTCAGCCTAAATGTCATGATAGTGCTGCGAAGAAATCAATTAGATAACAAACAGATGGGTTATTTCTGAAGTAAAGGTCACAAAATGTAAGAGATGATTTAATTCAATCATCTCTTTTTCATCAATTTCTCAGAGGCACACGTCTGTGATTTTTCTGCAGGTGTATTATTTCATACATCAATTTAGTATAGTTAAATTGCAATATTATTATATTTCTACAATCAATTTTGGATATTTACACAAATCAGGAAGATGTTTTTTATGATAATCACTTATTATCCAGGGCATATCATCCCAAATGCATTAATAAGTTAGTTATTGTTAGTCAAAACGGAGGTGACCTATTAATAACACATGTAAATCAGGTGTGTTATTTCTTACATTATTTTGCGATTATCATTTTCTTTCTTTATGCATTTAATCATATTTGTTTAGCTGCATGATCAGGCAAGAATAAAACACATTTCATGATAGGTTTATAGTAGTAAGTTAATATAGTTGCTTTAAATCAAAACACAGACGACCTACGAAATGTAAAAGCAATATTTCAGGCTGGAAAGTAACTTCTAAAAAGAAAACGTAGCTCGTGTCTATACATTTCATCGTTTTGCCCAAGCTGCTGAATTTGTCTTTGTCCTATGATTTATAAATCAAGAAAAAGAATGTTTTTTTTCTTTGTACATAAAGAGCAGAAAGCCCAGGTTTTCAACATGTGTTAGCTTAAAGAGCCTTTTTTTCTGAATAAAACCAACCCATGACCCTACTCTTTTTATATAAAAATAAATACATTTCAGAGTTTGCCTTAGAACAAAACATAATTCAGCATTGTTTTATTTTCAGGATGGCTTTTTGATTTATCTGGTAGCTATAATGTTCCATTCTATGTTGGTGGGGCCATCGTCATCTGCAGTGGACTAATAATGTTACCATCCTGGCGATTATATGTCCATCCAGCAGAACATGATAAAATTACCATGAAAGATGATGAAGAAGATGAAGAGGATGAAGGAGAAGAAGAAGAAGATGAAGAAAAGAATATTCAAAGTTCAGAGAGTCCTGTTACAGAAGAAATCCCACTTAACCCAGTAGAATCAGAAAACGAAGTTATTAAAGATGATAATGAGAAGCAAAATGAAGAAATACAGTAAGTTCAGGTTAATACAGATTAATTAATTTTTTAAAACTTTTAATTATTTGTCATTATATTTTATTTACTTTATTAAAAGTTATTTCAAGTGATTCTAAAAATTACTTTAAAAGTTACCATATGGCATTTAAGACCTGTGTTAAAGACCTTAAGCTTGTTTGAAGTACATTCAAAAGTCACATCGCTCCAGGGAAATCCCTCAAAATGTGCACCGGAAATTAGAAAATCAAAAAGAAATAGGGCAAAATTTGCAGCTGTAGAGCTTAACAAAACAGCTACATGTAATATATATTGCTCTTTAGTTGTTTTCTTTTCAAGCGGACAGATTTAGGCAAAACACAATTCTAATGAATCTGTTTCTAGGAAAAAAGTTAGTATTTGTGTTTTACTGTAGGAATGGCGAGCTTCCAACGAACAAAGCAGCAGTTTAACTTCACTTGTGGCAGCAACCTAACACAGCGGGATGCAAAAATCCAATTACAGACAGATTCCAGGAAATGTCAGACTCAGCTTAGTTCTGCAGTGATATTGATGGATGCAAGGGGATTTAATAATGACAAAAAAAGACTGTATCATCTGCAGAGACATGAAGCAAAAGGGTGAAATTCCTGTTACTTACAGCACTTGTTACACTGTCGTTACAATATTGGTGCTTTTAATTTACACTTTGTAGTCACATTTTATTTGGAAGTATGAAATAAATGAATTTCCACCTAGATAAGCATGTCGACTAACATGATAATTAGAACTGCACAAACATGAACATTAGCCTATCGATGGCTGAATGGATAAATCACGTCTGGTACACAGGTCATTTAACTGCTTGTTTAAAACACAGATCAAAAAGCTGTGTCCAAATGTGAAACCCCATCTCAGCTGTTATCTGAAATATGAACAGCATCCTTGATGGCTAATTGGGGTAAATATTGACCTTCAAAATACCAATCAATGCACAGAAAATTAAGTTGATATGGTGATATTCTGTATTGGCAAAACAAATTGTGTGATTTAGAAGATATTCAACTTAACATCACTATGCTGTTTATGCAGATCAATTTCACTATGCACGATTGCAAACTAATGTAGAGAACAGTTGTAATTGTGCTTCTATGTGTGGATATACAGAAAGTGTTTTAACTAATTATAAATGACTTGACTTTTATGTACCAGTACTGTTCCTAAAATATGTATCTTTAAGGGATAACAACCGTTCGTAAGATATCCATATTTCACAATAAATACATTGTAATTGACTCAGAAATATAATAAATTCTATTTTACCACCCAAACACAATTATTCTGAAATTTGTGCTTGCCATCACATCGCGTGACTTCCATAGATGGCTTCACTCTGTAAAAATCTCTAAAGAGAATATTACAAAAAAAACCAAACTTTTTAGAAAAAAAAAAAAAAAAACATGGACTAACTTTGAATGTGGGAATGGATTCATTTACCATTGGTAAGTATGGGAAAATTGTCCCTTACCCCAGGAAAATCCATTTTTTTGGCCAAAATGAACAGTTGTTATCCCTTTAATATTGAATTATAAGATGCATGGAAGAGTCACTGCAACTGGTTGTAATCCTAGTAGGGTAGCTGCTTTTGAAAACTTTAGTAAAGGGAAAAAGATTAATTCATCATTAAGGTAAGATAATAGCTTTTAAATGTGTAATGTTTTCTGCATTACTTTTTGAATTGTATTTTATATAGAAATGCTGTGGGCTTTTCTCATACAAACACTGTTTTATCAAGTAGCCTTTCTAAACTTTAATTTTGCACATACAGTCCTCATACTTTGACAGGCCAACAAAGCTATTTTTTATTAATCCTGAGTAAGAATACAGCTATGTTATTGATCAAAGCTGATAAGCACTAAAACATTTCTAAAAGGCAGATTTGATAGTCCGATCCCCAAACCTAGTCTACAGCTAGGTTAAGCCATTATGGGCACTTGCCCCATCTGACATTTCCAGGGTGAATCATGTTATCAGCCTGTCCCAAGGGGTCTGGCACATATCCCCTCAAGCCACCCCTTCCAGGGAGTAATTGTGCCTAATCTTTTTTCAACCTTTGGCCTTTGGACCTGGTAACAGTAAATAAATAGCACAGTAATATCTCATCCAAGATCACACTCGTTTGACATTTCTAGTCACTGAACTATGCAAAAAGGTATAATTTCACCCCACCCATTTTTTCAGCAGTTACATTATCATTTAATGTACATTATACTTGTATTGACACACACTTTGTACTTTATCTCCTCTACCTCTCCTTTCATGCTATTAGCGCTTTTGTGTTCCATGTATTAAATAGATATTGCTTATTGCATCAGTCTTAATTGACAAACAAACAAACAAAAAATTAAACAGCTTTATTTTATATCCATAATCTTATATACATATATTGCTTACCAACTGTCTACCATATAGATGGCATTCAAAAACCGATGCATCCTATAGAAATGAGATTACATCAGAGGGAGCAATAACATCACAATTTTTTATGCCTTAGATCTGTATTTTTTATGCCTTAGAACCATACATTTATGGGAACTTCAGTCTTTCTTTATTTTCAAACTGCCTTGTCTTTTCTTCGTTTTTACAAATATTTTACTAGTATATAACACTATGTCATAATACATCTGTGCACTTTTGAGCACAAAATGTGAAAAAGTTAGTAAGTGTTGTGCCAGAAATTAATTTACATTTACTATTTGATAGCCGTTTTCTATTATGTATAGAATTATCGAAATCTTGCATTTAAAAATTTAAGTAAAACAAAAGAAAATATTTTGCACAGCATCTTTTCCAGTTGTTTTGTTACATAAAAAAATGTTAGGCCCAACAAATGCAGCTGCAGTGAATTTAATTTAGTGATCTCTGATTAAAAATATTCATATAACCTCTTGGTTGTAGGGGTAACTGCTGCATGGTTACAAAAAAAAAAAAAAAAAAAAAAAAAATCAGTGTTAATATATAAACTCTACGAATGTGTGCATGTTATTTTAAAGCAAATATGTATGGTAAACTAAAAAGCTGCAGACTTGAAAATTGAAACTTAAATGTTTTGCTACAAATATATATACTGTAAATAATTTATACATAAACATCTGACAAAGGTGTTTGGTTGAAGTGAAATGGCTTTTGAGGTTGTTATAGGTGATAATTATTGTTATGGTTTTGATTAAATTATACATGCTTAAATGGTGTCATTTTGTATACAATGTATACACTATTAGATTTCAGAGAGTGCTACTATATTGCACATCTATTTATTCTATTGTTATTGTTGAAAGGTCACTGCTTATATTACATCTTTAAATACTCTTTTGTTGTGATATGCTTAAATATAAACACATCTATCACTATAAATTCCAAGTGAATATATTGTCTATATTTACAAGACAAAAGACGAGAAAGTCCAAGTCTTTACGACTTAAACATTTATATATTGTACTGCTAATCATAATTGGCCTTCATTAAAATGGAATAGTTATATCATGACAGTTATATGTAATCTTTGTTATATTGGTTACTCATTCTCTCTGTATCACCACCAGTTATTATTCTCTATTACACAGATAGATGGCACCAGTGTGAAAGTGTCACTGCCTAAAACAGGTAATCATCCCTACAACATTTATATGCTATACATGTCAGCTGCCATACTTAAAGATGTTATTGTGGGTGTAAGATTATGAAAACATTGTTATCCAGTTCTACACATTTGTATTGTTCTTTGGATATGCTGTGTAAAAAGCAACTTACATCATATTTGCTTCAGTTAAAAATGTAACCATTTTTTTTTTGAAAAAAAAAAGCTTAGCGAATAAAATGTAACCATATATTCACTTATTAATATTTCTTTAAAGTGTTTTTTTTCTTTTCTTTCTGACATTTGAATCTTAACTGATGTTTTAGTTTGAAAATAAATTAATCTGTGCACCCGATTCTGCTTAGTAGTATTAATACTGCCAATATCGAAAGGCAACAAAGAATCTACCTGAAATGGTCAGATTATAATGCACAATACAGCACAATTAAGTGCAACACAGTGCAATACACTAGAAAAAGCAAATCCAGTTGCAAGTAAACACAGGAAGCAGTCATTCCCAACAAGTTCCACTATAATGCGCATAATATAATTAAATAGTCTGACCAAAACGTTGATAATTCATAAACCACCCTAATTCAAATTAACAATTATATTCTTAATCAACAAATTTATGTTAAATCAGCAAAATTTTATTTCATATCTTAAATAGAATAAATGAATCTAGTAATAATCGTAATAGCTGGGGAGTTAAAAAAAAAAAAAAAAAAAAAAAAAAAAGAACGCATTTTTACCTAGGNAAAAAACGAGGCAATTATAATGTATTAAGTACACTGTACATGTACCCTACACGTAGCACTGGCTGTCGTGCATTACAGCCGGTTCAACACTGCAAAATATCATATCATAGACGGGTACAGCTAATGTTTTCTAAGCCATCATACAGGGAACACATAACTTTTAATTGAGATTTTTTGAACTTCAAATAAATTTTGGATTTCCTTCTTAATTTTCGTGTATCATCAGACTCGGAAGCCAGTATTTTAACGTTAGATCTACGTTATTTATTTTTTAAGCCTTCAACAAAGGTATGACTCCTTGCAACGTTGCTTGCAATTTGTATGCAAGTTGCTAAACCTTCAGTTAACTCAATCTTATTTGTAACAACACTGGTAAAATCAAAACATTCACCCTACTACTACTACTACTATACCCACCTCTCACCCCCGCCCCCTAGCACGAAAATTCATGCGTTAGCACTCCTATTGACGATTTTCATATGGACCGTCTGTGCACAGACAGTACAGACATATCAGAACCGTCAATAGGAGTGCTAACGCATGGATTTTCGCGCTACCCCGCCCCCATGCTATTTACTTACTCCTTGACTGGTTTCTAAATACCAAGGCGAAAATTAGTTTTATGTAGACGCATATAATTCACGAGAATAACCAGTAACACATTTATCTTACCAATGATAATCTGTTCAAGTAGTTAAATATGAGAAATATTGATAATATGTCAAGAAAAAAATATACATATCATGTGTCTACATTTCATATTGTATGAAATGCAGGGAACCAGCTCAGATATTTCAGTTTATGAAACTCCATACACTAAAGAGCCCATTATGAACACAAACGAGCCGAAGCATCACGTGAAAATGGGTGATATATGGACTACAGTTCAATGTATGCATATATATATTTGAAATTGCTGTGCCACGGAGGTTTAAGACCTCAGGACCTCTGCCGTCATGGAGCTGAACGAGAGGCCGAGCTGTTATTCTGTCTACGTACTTGTTGTCCTTGTGTTGGTTTTTCTTTTTAACCAACTTGACAGGTACTGTGCAGTATTATTATATAACGTGTCATCTGCCATTAGTATAAGTATAATTTAAATGAAAATGGTTTGTTATTGTAAATAGGTGCTTTTAAGTAACAATCTCAGGGCTTGAGTTTGAATGTCCACTCCTATTTATATTTATTTGCAGTATACTAGTACTTGTAGGCCTGCACGGATTTATCCCCCCTCCCCCTCCCCCAGCCGGCCCCTTTAAACCTTATGTCATATACAGTAAATATACGTGCTTTTAAAATGCGGCATTTAAACATTTAATTTTTAATACATTTAATCTTAGTAATTAACAAATCAATTTAACAAGAAGAGAAAACATTTTATCATACCTGAGAGTTATACAGGTAATATTATCTTTTCCACATCTGTACCGGTAGAAATTAAAATTTAAAGCCAAAACAAAACAAATGTAAAATACTGCATAGTCAAATTTGCACTGGATTTATTAATCACAAATGTCTTTTGGCAAGTTGAAGTGCATACGATGTATGTTTATTTAACCTGATTATGGTACATACTGTCAGTCGATGTACAGTATGTATTCATAGACCTGTACTCTGTACCTGTGATGTCATGTATTAAGCAATAGATGAGTAATTACTAGTACATCAAATCCTTGTCAATATCAAAGTTGTTTAGTAATATAAACAGTGCAAGGTCTGAATCTGTGAAAAGGGTTTTTGAGCAAATTACTGACCCCCCCCCCCCAAGTGATATAAATGATTTGAAATTTGCTGTCTCATGTAAATCTTATTTCTAGAGAATCTATCAGTAGAATAGAAATTATTATTACTCAAGCCATTAGACAAATGTTTAGGCAAATAGGCATGCAATCTAACCTTCATTTGTAACAGTTTGTATCATCCTATCTAAGACACAATTTCATACTCACAGTAAGGCAGTGTTTGAAAAGGCCTAAGAATGTTTAATTAACTTACTTTGACCAACATTTATTGTAATTTAGGTATATTTTGGTCACTACAAATGCCAGTATGGCCCAAGAGCTGAAATATGGGGATAGGGTCTGTATTCCCTCCAATGCCACTGCTATACAGGCCATCCTGGATACACAAGGAGAGAACATAACTCCAGATGCATACTGTGCTAATACACCAGCTCTGTAAGTACTGTAGTTACAAGAACATAATAATATATCTTGAGCTTAGACTAGTTTTAAAACACAACCATTTTTGAGTATAAATTAATTCTGCCAGTCTTGGACTTGTAATGCTCATACACGATATGCATGTGTCTGATGGTTCCAAGTGTCAAGAGATGAACATAACAAATTAAACAGTAATTTAAATATAAGTCTGAGGCTTTGTGTTGAGGCTGTTTGGTAAAAGAGAGGCACCACTATGTTAAAGTTTATGAAATAATCAATGGGTGTTCATGCTTGTCAGTTTGGCATCTGATGACATGTCATGTTCAAAATTTCAGAGAAACAATTTGAAGTCAAGTTAGTAACAAATAACTGAACACATTTTCTTGATTTTCATTATATTTGGTAAAGATAAAGGAGCAAGCTTTTTAAGTCCAGTTAGTAACAGATTAACGAACAAGATTTTTTAAATAAAGATAATTAATTACATATCATTTAATTGTTTGCACCAGCTGCGATCCTCAAGAAGGCCATGCTATTCTGTGTGGGTGGAAATATTTGGGCACGGGAATAGAGTACCAAATGTTGGCTGGTCCTGTCTTCATCCTCTTCTTTACATTTGCAGGGGTACCTCTAGGTAAGTGTTCCTTAGCTCCATTAATTTTGTAAGATAAAAAACCCCTGTAAACATACACATAAAATAAGTGAAGTTTGAAAATGGGCAGATTAATCCTTATGTATTTGTGATAAATATTGGCCTTGATTTCTTTCTTTCTTTTTTTTTATTTGTATGTTTTGCCAAAGCTTAGAAATGGGAAATTTTTTCCCTTCTAACTTCCTGGTATCATATGCAGGGCTTAAAGATGGATATAAAGCTGATACTTATTGTCAATAAACTTAACCAAATGCCACAGTAAACAGGATAACTTTAAAGCAGGTCTTTTATAATATTAATATGACAAAATTTTTTTCCTCAAACATCTTTTTGGTTTTATAAACTTATGTAAAACTTCCTTTAAGTCTTAAAAGATGGCATTTCATTGTAACTAAGATGTTAAAAAAGTTCATTCTTCAAAATATTTATCATTGTTTGATATTTACTCTTTTGAAATTTTATCAATCAGTTTTATTTCCTTATTTTACAACCTACTGGTCACCATTTTATTGTCATTGATTTTAGGCATTACAGCAGAAATAACAAGAATGAACAGGACACTGTTTTTGTCTGTGATCTTGATGTTGTGGAGCTTGATGACAGTGTTAACTGGTTTAGCACAGGCCTACTGGCATATTGCAATTTGTAGGATTTTACTTGGATTATTGTGAGTTTTGTCAGTTTTACTTCATATAATTTGTTGCATTTTTCTTTATAAGTGGGTTTGTTGTCTCTGATTTACATAGTTCTGTTCAGTTCTATTTGTCACTTTATTTTTTAAAGTTCAGAAAAAGGATATAGTAACCCAAATTTCCCTGCCCTGAATAATAATAATAATAAGAAGAAGAAGAAGAAGAAGAAGAAAGTAATAATGAAATGAACAAATAATTAGATGGTTAAATAAATAAATAATGCTGATAACAAATTAATGATGCCTCCCCCGAAAATTAAATTCACAACTGATAATGGCATTTGCATTAAGTTTGACATTATTGAAGTTCTGTTTGCTAAAAAATTTTGTTTTCTGTCCTAGTGAAGCAGGATGCACACCCTTTGCTGTGAGCATCTTATCTGAGTATTTTACAAAAGTAAGTATAATTCATCATGTTGTTATTAATTATCATTATTTATTTCTTAATTTTTAAAGATGTTCTTCTTAATTCAAAAAGAAGGTATCATATGATGTTCCTTTTTTGCCCCTCACGTACAATATATGCCAGCTATTTTTTCACTACTGAAATTCATGATATTAAAATTGATATGAATATCTGAAGTTTAGTAATTTGATTGATATGAAATATTCTGTTTTGACAGGACTACAGAGGAGTTGCTTTGGGTATATATAATTTAGGAATCTATGCTGGTTATGGATTCTCTTTCCTGGCAAACATAATAGACAGAACCTCTGGCTGGCGGACTGTGTATTATATAGCTGGAAGCCCTGGTATAGCCATTGCCCTATTGCTTTATTTGACAGTCAAAGAGCCACAAAGAAACAAATTGTTTGACTATGTCGATGTAAGTTTTCAAGATGGGCATTTATTGATTATCAACTGACATATATATTTGATTGCTTATGTGACTTTCATTCAGTTGCTTCACCTTTGGTAACAATTTCTGTTGATTAATTTATTTTCATACAATGCTTATCTCTATTCCACTTACCTTTATTCTAAGTTACTTTATTTATTTAATGAACCATTTATTATCTATTTCTTAATACACTATTCTCTGTTCCTTTTTCATCTCCAACATTTATGTATAGTGGTTATTTTATTTATTTGTGATGATTTTCAGCAAGTGATATGAACTGGTACCTGATAGAAATGTTAACATCAGTTATGTCTAATATATATTTTTAGGTAGATAAAACAGGTCTTGAAAAAAATTCAATTGATAACCATGAGGTAAATGTGCAAAATAATGCCCGTTTTGCATGTTGAATGTTTTGAATTTGTTAAGGTTGATTTGCTTTAAGCTAGGCTGTATGTATGTACTGTATGTATGTATGTAGCTTTATTGTTGTTGCCGCAAAAGTACTGATATAAATTTTGTATTGATCTTGTTAAAACCTTTGTAGCCAATTCTTTTATTCCAGTAATTTAAAGTGTTGTTGATTTTGGTAAAGCTGTAATGTATGTGCATGCATGTTTGCATCTGCATGTACATGTGTGAAGGGAAAATAACTAAATTAAAAGTGTGTTTTAAAATTCAGGGAACAGGAGAAAGAAAAACTGCAACCTGGAAGTTTTTGACTGCTATGAAGTTTTTTGTCAACCCAGTGCTGATGTGCCTGTGTATTGGTGGTGCCATCAGGCAGGGAGGCGGCTATACATGGGCTTACAACATTAAGAATTACTTTGACCATTACTTTCCCAGTGTAAAGGTAATATGAATATTCCTTAGTCTGTTGGGGTGTTTGTTGGGTGCTTAGGGGCTTGACACCTGGGGAGTGGCAAGTATCCCTTTAGCATTGGGTGGTTTGCCGTATCACTTTTTCACCTCTGGCTGCAATCCTGCTACATGTATAATAATGCAAGCACATATCACCGTCATGGAGATGCTGGCATTGTAAATTATGTGAGCCCTCCAGCATGCCAGTTTCATAAGGTCATGTACTGGGGTGTTCATAATCAGACCAAATAAGAGGAGATGTAAGACTATTCAGCAACCAGGTTGTTAATTTGAATTAAATTTGATGGCTTACAATATTCATGGGTGTGTGTGTGTGTGTGTGTGTGTGTGGGGTGGGGGGGGGGAGATGATGTGTATAGTGGCCTGGGGGACCAATTACTTTTTCAGCTTTAAGTTTGTCATATTCCACACTTTGGAGCTGGCACACATCAGATTAGAGGCTTAGGATAATATTGAAATCGTCCCAAATATGGAAAACAATATATCAAACAGCAGCTCATCTCACCGTGACAGTATTGTATATCATGTTATCTTTTGTCTTATCACTGTCATGGCTGTAGTGATAGATCTCTAGCCTGACTATCATGTGAGGGTCTGTCCAGCTTACAGATCATTATCTAAAAATGTGATACGCTGGACACTTGGACCCACCATACAGGAAGAATAATAGTGAAAGAAATAAATCTATTACATTTTTCATTGTTACAGTATATATTACAATACTTCATATTTCATATGAATTTCTATAACTTGATCTCCCAATCTTCAGTATAATGTGACATAGAGATTTAATTGATTTTTTTTTATAAAAGTGGTTGAGAAATATTAATAAAAACAAATTGACTTTTATTATTGGTAATATTATTAATATTTGTAGACTGAAGACTTTATGACTTGGATACCTACTGTGTTTGGGGCAGGGGGAGCTGTCGTTGGAGGTATGATATCAGACAGACTGGCAAGCAAATCGGGGATCACATCAAGATTGAAAGTTTTAGTTCTTAGCCAGGTAAGTTTGTAAACAGTGAGCCTTTTTGTTGCTCTTTTGAAGCTTTTTTTCATTGTAATTTTTTTTCACAGTAATCTTATAAAATCGTGATTGCAACTTTAAGTGGTGAGTCCAGTCAATAATTTTATCACCAGGTGAATTGAAGAAAATCAAAAGGCAAAGAGAAGAAATGGTAGACAATAAATGATCAAAGATATTTGTTAGCTTAAACATACTCTGTCTGGTCTGTCAGTGTTGCATATCTTCTGAAAGGTATGCATTTAATTGCCTTAGGGAAAAACAATTATTCTCATGTGCTGTATGGTTTAAAGAAAAGCATAATTGCATGTAATTTTTGTCTACATGTATATCATGTCTTAGTTTTTGCGAAAAGTTCAGGTACAAAACAGCAGGAGCTTCTGATATCGAAAATAATAGTGCAAACACTTTTCAGTTTAAAAATACTTGCATAAACAATACCAATTCATTCAAAAGATGTAAATATAACATGCTGTAGTCATATTAGTTTTAAAAAAATTGAACTGACATCAGTTATACCTTATATTCATTTACTCACTTTTTATTCAAAATCATTTCAGGTTGTTGCAGCCCCATTTGCTGTACTCACCCTGTACGTTGACCCTCCATTTGCCTTCATAATGCAGATTCCTGCCTTCTTCATTGGAGACATGTGGATTGGCGTTTGCCTGGCTGTGGTGATAGATCTCACCCCGCCACAATTACGAACATCAGCCGTCGCCATTTACATGTTCATTATAACTGCTATTGGTGGCAATCTGTTACTATTATTGCCTTCTCTATCGACAGCAATGAATGATATGAGAGGTGCCTTAGTTGTTCTATACCCAACTTTATTTGGGGCAAGTGCAGTGGCATTTTTAGTGACAATCTTTGTCTTTTGGAACATTCAGAGGAAAAAAATGAAAGTGGTGCAGGAACGGACTCCACTAATATTAAACATCGAAGAAGATACAACAGTGTCAAATGAGTCTCTTCATAATTTAGTTGATACCAGTGAGGAGAAGTATCTCAGTTTGGAAGCTTATGGATATTAAATATTATTTTTACTGGTGTTTGTAAAATAAGGGATCATGTATTACATATAGCGTTAAAAGCTGCAGACTTGCCACTAATTTACACATTGTATAAATACTCGAGCATGTACATTTTTAAAACTCCATTACATGTAGTGTCAGTTTGGTGGTATTCAAAACCATTCCAGCTCATTAATAAAATAGTAATGTTACTATGTGATATATTTCTAGTCATAGATATTCTGCATAACCTTTTATGCTAAAAAGTTAATTAAAATTAAATATAATGGTTTCAATTGTTGCATCAATAAATTATGCACATATAGGCTTCTGTGATACTGCCTATGGTTATTTATGGTCTTTATTTTTAAATAAGTGAGATTCTTTGCACTTTGGTGTCAGTGGTTTAACATTTTTATTTCATCGTAAGAACGCACTCAAACTTGGTTACATATTTTTTCTAAGTATGCAAAGTATTGGACATTTGCTTAAGAGTTCAGTTCATTTTACTAAATACTAAAAAGTCATTTCAACAAATAAATTCTGATAGGAGGGTGCTTTTTATCTTGCATTGAGTTACTGGTTTAAATAAAGCAAGTTTTTTATGATAGCTTCTTTTCCTCAATCAGGAAAGTGATTAAAAGTTATAACAAGCAGTTGAGATTTTTACAAAGTTGATATTATTGTAAATTAGACTGACTATGACAATATGATGGTTATTCCAAATTTAGGAAATAATTTTATTTAGCAGTCACCTGAACGAATGGGTTTTACCTGAATGGTTTATATATATGACAGTGATCTCTCTGTCAGAATTGCAGATCAAACAGGTTTGGTGCAATATTGACAGTATTGTTTTATCATGTAACAAAATGTATGTTAAGTATATAGATATGATTAGCATTCTGTATTACGTGGAGCTGCTTAATTATGAAAATAAAATGACTGTATGAACAAATTTTCATATTTGTGGAGTTGTATCAAATACCCCATTTCCATAGATTTTAGATCGATCTATCCCTGTGGGGAGTCTCACTAGATTACTGTCAGCTTAGCCGGCTTAAGCATCTGTCCCGCCTACTAAAAGCTGTAAGGGGGTAATTAACTATGGTCGCACTCGGCTGACTGCAATTTAGCATGAACCCCCAGGGAGTTAGGTCGATCTAAATCTTAATCTCTGGATCGATCTAAATGTCTGGGAATGCACCCAAAGTAAAAAAAAATACATTTATCTTAACCAGACAGATGACTACCAGAAGTTTGAGGGAAAATTATAGTTTTCCAGGTATCTTGAAAGCTGGGATATAGTGCATAAAAATTTTACCCGGTTTGTGTTATCTCAAAAAGTTCTCCAAACATTTTGATAAAAATTTTCATGACAGTTATGCAAGAAGGAAGTGACAACAATGTCAACTGACGTAGGTCTCTGTATAGTTTTGAATAGCAAAAATACCACACGGTTGCCTTTCATATTTCCCAAAACTTATGTTTGAACAGATATTTTCTTATTTCTTTTTTTTCAGTCATTTCACCAACTCTTTGCATAATGCTATTATATGAACAGCAGTAACGCTTAATACATTTCTAGTTTTACATTATGTGGCAGACTTTAATGAACTAAAAGGATAGATAACTGGGTGAAATTAATGACCAAAAATTTTTATTTTGAGAGTGAAGCCTTAAAGATTTGTTTTTGCTGACTCAGTGATGAATTTGGTTTATCTTTTGTCATGTGGGATTTATTTGAGTTGTATAAGAAACTGATAGTAGTGATTTATCTAGTTGCAAAAAATCTACACTCACATTTTCTGTTACTTTAATATCTTTATAAGATTAAAATTGTAGCTTGTATACTACCTTTTCACAACTTTGTGTCACATTTGCAGTATGTAGAAACAAAAATTGTCAATGGCAGAAATCTATAAATGAGGCCATTCCACCTTAGGAATTCATCAGAATTTGAATCAAGAAACAGAAATTATTTTCTGGAAAATAACTTTGAAATCTTTCTTGAATTTTTCTCATAACCTAGCAACATCCATCACAAAACACATCCAAAAGCTCCTGGGAAATCAATCCAAAAGACATTTGAACTTTTTAACAACTTAAGTGATGACAATGCCATTTTCTTTGCATTGAGAGAAATCTGGCTAAGGAAATAAATCTTTATAAGTGCTCTCTTTCTAGTATATGTCAGATACTATAGATTTGTTTCAGATGCTTTCTTGTTCACTGCCAGCCAATATGCTCTCAACCTTCGTAGCCACAAGTACCAATAATCATAGCACTGTCTTTTATTTATAACATGAGCATGTGCTGGCTCTCCATTTGGGTATGAAATAACTAGCAGTCCATAATCAACCTAAAAAAAATTGATAAGAGGTACTAGTAGATATGAAGGACTAAGGTACATCGAACATACTGATAGTTAAACATACTTTCAAAATAAAAAGCACCAAGGAGGAATACCATAACTGCACTTTTTATATGCATGAATGCAGACTTTAGAATAACTTGATCTTGAAGATGATATTAAAGGCATTCTTCACAGCCAAGCGAACTTTGACCTAGAAAGTCAAACTGATGTCACAAGATCGATCACAATTCTAAGAAAGGCATGGTGAGGATCCCACATAAATTTGGATGGTTGAAATGGCATTGGACTTTTCACAGTCTAAGAGTCCATTCACAATGAATTTATATCAACCTAGCTACTGCACACTAACTCCACAGGGGCTCATGCTGAATGTAGTCAGATTAACAGACTGACACGCCTCCTCTTTTCTCCAACATACTTGAATAATCACCAGCTTTTCTGTATTCTACCCAACACCAGGAGGTGGCAAGACAATCCGTTAATCCAATTCCATTAAGCAAGTGTCCATGTAGAGTTGGTGTGCAGTAGCTAGGCCAAAAATTCATTTGGAGTCTAGTTGGTAACATGACCAAAGCATACTGTTCTCTCACCTTCACATCAAGGGTCTTGTCAAAGTTGACAGCTCCAATATAGGCAGCTATTTGCAAAGGGTTGTCATAAGTGTGATCGAGCAACTTCTTGGGTTTCTGAGAAGTCTTCCAGTCAATCACACAAAGCTTGTCCCTGTAAAGGAGGTTAAAATGTTAATTGGTTCAGGATTATTCTTTTTCTTCATATCATATAATTCATCAAGCAATGGATTGTGTCACACTGATTCCTTATAAATACAATGACCTTGTAAATGTTGGATGAGCTGCGCTAAATTATATTTCTCATGAAATGATCAAATTCAAATGAATTATTGTCAAATTAGTCACCCATTTTGTATGCGTCCATAGTAACTCAGGGTAATACACACACACTCAAACAAGACACCTCCACAATTTCATAACTTTGTCATATCATCAGAAGTCCTAGTACCTGTATCTCCCAATACAGTCAAACACACCCCCATACTGCAAATAAGGATGGTGAACGTTGCACTCCACAGCTTTCACATCTGTGATCTCTTTCAGTACTTTCTGAACACTGTCCCAGTAGCCTGTGATACTGGGCACCACAGGGACATCTTCCTCTGGAACACCCCCTAGATATGCCCTCAATGCTGAATGCAGGTTGTGACCTGTGCGAAATGTCTCTGGAAAAAATAGCAATGTTTTGCTATAAAAGATGATGACAATAAATCTAATAAAATGTTATATAAAATCAATACAGTAATAGTATAAGAGATTTGGAAACAAAAAGAAGTTATTTAGTAATAAAGAGATTAGGAGAAAAAAATGTTTTTTTTCCTATGACTGAATTGAATGCCACAGGGAATGGAATGCCATGGCTTTTCTTTTCTTATTAATTTTGAAAATTAATTTCTAAATCTAATGAAATAATCCTGAAAAGAGCAATTTTTTCTGATGACAGGAAACCATTTTATCTTGATATAATTCAAGGATAAGTAATATGAACCAAGTAAGTACAATGTTAGTCTTTTTTCCCTTCATATTAGCCTTCCATACAGTGCACGGGATTAAGGTCTTTTTTAAAGTCTCTCTTTGTATAAACCTGCTCTTATTTCCCAAATGAATAATTGCATTAAAATAATCTCTATTCTGTATATTTTGCGGCAAAAAGGGGATTGCTTTCAGAATAGCTAACCCATTACTTCTAATCAACAAATTTTGATAGAATCACCACAGGGATGATATGCGTAAATTCTTTTGATTGTCAGACATCCACAAAATGTCAATTGCTTTTTATTGTCAAAATTGCCAATCATCCCTTTTTTTCCTGTTCAACTGAACATGCCCAAATCCAAATAGGACTTGATCCAGCCTCTGCCTGAATATAAATACCAAGTGATCTCTAAATCAATGCTGTGAAATATCCTGAGAAAGGGTAAAATGAAAACTTTTTCAATCCTGTCCAAATTGCAGACATGTACATTTACTGAACTTTACATACCGTCCATTATTTAAACACTGAATCTTAGTCAGTTTATCACCTCGTCTTTGCTCCTCAAATCCTTCTTCTCCTAGTTCTCTGATCATCCTCTTTTCCCATTGCTTAAGAACATATATTTGTTCAGAGGGCATGGTAGCCTGCAGTATTTTAGTTACAGATGGTGCAGACTTCATGCTACTGGGGAGGTCAACTGTAGGTAGATTTACTTGACCTGCATCTGTTTGCAGGAGGGGAGAGAGGTCCCCATCTGTACCCTGCATCAAGGGGAAATGAAGAATTTGGTGCATAGAGTTTGTGCTAGTATCTTTTAGGATATTTGCTCTAGCTTTATTTTCTTCATGATTTCCAGTTGGTTTGGTGACATCTGCTTCATCGTTGTTGCTGGCACTGTTCAAAAATCTTAAATTCAAATTCCATATGCACATTCCATGTTCTTTAAGTCTCAGTGTACAGAATAGATTGCTGGCCTTGGAGCCTCTTGTGAAGCATTGTGATGTTGGTAACATGACTGAAAACATGCCTGAAACAAATTGAACAATACACTAACATTATGTTTGTACTAGTAAATGTACATGTACCATATACACCCCATTTCCATAGATTTTTAGATCGATCTATCCCTGTGGCGAGTCTCACTAGATTATTGTCAGCTTGGCCGGCTTAAGCGTCTGTCCCGCCTACTAAAAGCTGTAAGGGGGTAATTAACTATGGTGCCCGCTTGGCTGACTGCAATTTAGCGTGAACCCCCAGGGAGTTAGGTCGATCTAAAACTTGATCTTTAGATCGATCTAAATCTCTGGGAAAGCACCCATAGATGTTTATTTTCCTTTTATGTTGTAACTTTTGTTTCACTCTTGTTAACATACAAAGTGCACTTTGAAAATGTGCACTTTGAAAATGCCGACAATAGAAAAATGAAAATTTCACAAAAATTTTCATATATTCAAGAAAAAATAATAACCCAATCAAGCTGGTTTTCCAATTTGAGCTGCATTTCAATCTTAAGAATCATTCTTTTAAGTAACAAAATAATTTTTTTACAATTTTGATGCAATATTACATAGAGATTAATAGCATAATCACCACTAATCTTTAATTATGCACTGCAGGTAACCTGGATATTTAGAAAATATGACTGCCAAAGGTCTTCAGACCTAGCTATGAAAGTTCAAAGTCACACCTCGAAAATGCGAAATGCAAACAAGAGATAACTGTAATGAAATCAGTTTATTTCCATTTTAAACAATTTTAACATAATACAAAATAATCAATTTACTTTAATTTTTCGATGATCAAATAAGAAAGTTGCTGAGATGGGACACATCTGTGGCTGTACATAAACACAAAACAGCTGCTCCGCCTCCCCTCCCCCCCCCCACCCCCCCACCCCCGTTTCTCTCTTGATATTGATAATCTGCTTCTCTTCTTCTCTCATCTGACAGTAATCAAGACAACCCAACTGCAATTCCCGAGTAGCATATTGCATTCTGTGCAAGTGGCGGAATTAACACCCCTTATTAAATTGTGTAAGCAATGGAACAGCTTATTTTTAATAATTTCTTTACTCACAATGGCAACACAACTCTGAAACTCAACAATCCTTCTTACGCCGCATGTTTTTATTCTTTTCAGCCTAACCTAAAACCCCAAGACGGTTACATCATTTTATTTTATTTATAAAGTCACAGATGAACATCAACCATAAAATGCTGAATTTAAAAAGTAAAATTCTTATTGAGTGGTAAGTTAAAAGTCAAATAATGGATATTATTTAATCAAAAATCTTTAAATGTAAAGCGTTGAGATTATTTTACATCACGTGATCAAAGGCAGCAGCCATGATGGTGGGTGTGCAGGTGCTTCGTTTCTAAATTATTGACTTGTAAAGCGGTAAACCTGATTGTCGTTGGAAATGACAACAGTAGGTGGTGAATTTTTTTAATGCAACTGCGTATATCGTTTTTGAAATGTATTCTTGTTATGTTACAGGACGGAAGTGATGAAGGTCCTGACCTGTTGGCTGAGGACAAGGTAATTGTTGCTTCCTTGTTGTTAGTTGTTTTTTCTTTTCAAGCATATGTAGGGTAATAGGTATTATTGCACCACATGTAACGACTAATATATTTTGCAGACAGTTAATAACATAGTAACTGTAACAATGAATCATACATAACCCTTATATATTTGGAATTCATGATGAGTCAGCTTGACATGAAAATGTAGGCTGGAAATGACATTTTAGCAGCTTGTGAATAAATTTTACGAACGGTGTTTTCTAATAAAAATAATAGTAATAATAATAATGATGATGATGATGATGAAAATAAATGTTTTAGTTCATTGTCACAATTTAAGACACATTTACTATATGGATAATTATTTGTATTGAACATTTGTTTCTAGCCACGGTCAGTGTCTGTTGATCTTGAAACTGATACTTCGCTGCAAGTAGACATCTCTGATGCCTTGAGTGAAAGAGATAAAGTCAAATTTACTGTGCACACCAAGGTACATTTTGATTTGTTCATTTAAATGCACTTTTCCCAAATGTTTATTGTTTATTCCATTATCAATTAATAAGTGGGAAGAATATGTAAGCATTGTTTAATTTCATTGTTCACAGTATATTAAAGTTTTTTCTTGAATATGTAGTCATATGAAGTGATGTTTCTCTTTTCAGACCACCCTTCCTGAATTCAAGCAGCCAGAATTCTCAGTAGTACGACAGCACGAGGAATTTGTTTGGCTGCATGACAGATATAATGAAAATGAAGAGTATGCTGGTATTGTGGTAAGGAACACATCTTGGACTGTGTGTGTCATGTGAGCATGTGTATGAGCATGTCATGCATCAGAAAGTAATAGCTTACATTTCATTACTGAAGGGAAAATGCATTTTCTTAATAGGTAACTTGTCAATGATAAATTCAGATAAACAAGATTCAAGAAGTAAAGAGGCTATGGCTTTGAATGTGTTTTTTATTTAAGAATATATTAGCTCTGTATATGACTGATCATTTTTACATACAGATACCTCCTGCCCCACCCAGACCTGATTTTGATGCATCTCGGGAGAAGCTGCAGAGACTGGGAGAAGGAGAGGGAACAATGACCAAAGAGGAGTTTCAGAAGATGAAACAGGAACTAGAAGCGTTAGTATTGTAGTGAATTCCAAAACATATTGTTACTTGATTTGTATGCTGTGTGTGTGTGTGTGTGGGTGGGGGGGGGGGGGTGGATTTGTGTGTGTATGTTAAAGTATGCGAAAAAATAATTTGTATTGCTGACATAAATAATTGATTGAAAACATATAATTATAATGAAGCCAAAGTATTATTAACAGGTATTCCTTAATCTGTGTGTCTTTTGATTTATGATGTGAACGTACCCCATGTGTCAATTTCAGTGAGTACCTTGCAACATTCAAGAAGACTGTAGCAATGCATGAAGTTTTCTTACAGCGGTTAGCAGGTCATCCTCAACTTAGGAATGATGTCAATTTTAAAGTATTCTTAGAATATGACCAAGATGTAAGTTTTTAATATCTCAGTTTTATTAAAGAATTCTGAAGAATACTAGCATAGCATTTTTTTAAATTGGCCTCAGACAGTTATTTGGAACAATTCATATTGTGAAAAGCACCTATTAACAGTAATTAGATAAAGTTTCATTTAATATCTATCAGATCATTACATGATGGAGTTGTTTCATATTACTCTTTAAATTTCAACAAAATGTCTTTTTAAATTATTAGTAATATCTGTAAATGCCAATTTTGAAATTGAAAAAGTAAGTTGATTCTCGTCAGGATCATTAGAAATGACATATTTAAAAAGTCTTTATAGCAAAAAAAAAAGGTGAAGCAGTTGAAAAGTTGTAACTGTTATTACAGAATGTAATTTATCAAAGGGACATTGATTTAAGTATTATGTATTTTTTTTTTCAGTTAAGTGTAAGAGGAAAGAACAAAAAAGAAAGAATAAGTGGCTTCTTCAAAAATATGACAAAGACAGCAGATGAAGTTCTTCTCTCCAATCAAAAGGTATTGACATGGCCGTAGTTCACATCGTATTTGTTGACTTATTTATGACTCTATTAATGTTACTGTTTGGGTATCTCTGCTCTTATTTTAGGCAGCTACCTTATTTCATAGTATTTCATGACATTTCATGCCTGTGGTAGTGTTGCTTGTTTGTAGCTCTGTTCTCATTTTGTGAAGCTTTCATATTATTTTATGCACCATATTGTTTCTGATTGTGGCAGGATGTGGATGAATTCTTTGAGTCAGAGAAAGGTTTTTTGGTGGAGTATCATTCAAAGATCAAAGATGCCACGGCAAGAGGAGACAAGTTAACCAGGGCACATAAGAGTAAGTTTGCTCATCAGATATGAGAAACTTAAGTGTGTGAATGGTTTAAGTAATAAGATTTATCTTTACTTTTGATAATAAATAGAATTGCCTGTGAAACGGCATAAATTCTTCTATGTCTTAATTGTATTTTATATGGTAGTGTTTTTATTGCTGTGAGTCTTTGTACTTGCTTTTCATAACTATGCAAATGTCCTTTTCAGATGTTGCAGATTCCTACATAGCTATATCTTCGGGACTTACACAGCTAGCAACAATAGAGAATACAGAATTAGATAAACTGTTTACTAAATTAGCAGAATTCTTTGAAAAGGCTCGGGTAAGAATACTTACAATATATTTATTATACTTTTCTTTAAATTAACCTTTAGACTGTGTTTAATGTATTTGTTTTCATGACATGAAAAGTGAACTCAAACTGAAATATATAAGATAGTATGAAAATTATAGAATGTAATTTTTCATTTCTCAGAAACTTGAAGGCAGAGTAGCTTCAGATGAAGACTTAAAACTTTCTGACACCTTGCGGTATTACATGAGGGACTCCTCTGCTGGTAAAGACCTTTTGTATAGGCGGCTTAGGTCATTGGCTGACTATGAGAATGCAAATAAAGCCTTAGACAAAGCCAGGTCAAAGAACAAAGATGTACATACTGTGAGTATGCCAAATTTTGATTTTACAATATGTTTTACAGTTAGTTTAGAGGTAGACAATGGGATAAATGAAATAGAATTTGCATAATGACCAGAAAAATCTTTTGGATAAGCTGTTGAATGAGTAAGGTCAAGTTGATGTGGAGCGTGAACAGGAAGGTATCAGAAGTATGATCAGTAAGTATAAGTAAGTACATGATTTGACTCCTGTACTTTTTAATCTGTAACTGGCATCTGAGGACCAGTATATGCACAGTTTTTTTTATTTTTTATTTTTTCATCTTCTGTCTTTTTTGTTTTATAGGCAGAAACTCAGCAACAAGCTGCTTGTGATAAGTTTGAAAAGATTTCAGAAACAGCCAAAGGAGGTCAGTCTAAGACATTTTGATTTTAAAAGTACTTACAACCCACCATGCAAACTTTTGGACATATGTTAATTTGTATCAAGACATCATTTATTCACTGTAATTTTTTCCACAGCAAAAGCAGTGACCCCAAATATATAATTTGCACATTATATACATACTTAAACTTTTCCTCCATGTCTTTCAGAGTTGACCAATTTTAAGACCAGAAGAATAGCCCATTTTCGTAAAAATATGGTAGACTTGGTGGAGTTAGAGTTAAAACATGCAAAGGTAACATTTAGTAATAAAGTTATTGGTTGTATATTTTCACATTTTTTACACTGGTCTTTTTTTCTGTATTTCTGTAATTCCTCACTTAAATCATCAAGGTATGCTACAGTTGTCAAGATAGAAGGTGAAATAAGCAGATTATTTGTATGAAAGGAACCAGTTTTAGAATTGTTTTTTAACTCTACACCTTCATTATGCCAGGTTTAAAACACACCTGGATTTTTTTAAAGACCTAATGTTTGGTCATTCACATTGTTTCTTAAGGACACTGGATGGTAGTGAAGTTTAGAAGGCATCCAGATAAATGGTAAAATATTGTCACCTCCACATTTTCTTTCAGGCCCAGGTCCAGCTGCTCAAGAATACGCTAGCAAATTTGAAAGAAGACTTGTAAAGGGCGTCATGTGGGAATAATCATAAATGCAACTAAATTCTTGAAAGAAATTAAAGACTAACATAATTTTGTTTAAATGTAGACGGTGTGTTGAGAATCCCTCTTCAAATCACTCCCTTCTTAGATGTATAAAAAAAGTGATTGTACATATAACATCAGCCTACTCTGCCTAAGCTATGGATAGATGAAGATGAAATGTTGCTGCATTGGCTTTAAACTATCTTCCCTCCTTGGTGCTTTACTGTGGATACAAGGCAATACAAATGTCATTCTTGATGTGAACCTTTCCTAGGTTATAAGCTGTAATTGTGCATTTCATTTTTTTAAAGTTATGTTTGCACTGTCTTAGCTGTTATCATGTGAAAAAAATTGGTCAGAAAAAATTAAGAATATCAGCATTGTTATGATAGTTGAGGAGTGATAGTTGAAAGTTAACTGTCCATGCTTCAGTAGTTAAAGTTGATTTTCTGATCAACTGTTCTTTACTGTCCGGAATCTTTTATCATCAAGTCATTGACTACAATTACTCCCCTACAGGCGCTCAATTATGGCATTCCATACTCTCTGTAATATATTTTATATTAATCTGGAATTTACATTTACCCCTGTAAAGGTAGATTTCACTGATATATCATTTCATAGTTTTTTTTAGCTTACAGTGTGTGGTAAAAAATGTACAGTAAAAAATGGGAAAAGGTTCAAAAGAAACAAATTGTTAATTTTGCATAGTCTGATAAGTATTCCTTTGGAATGCATTGTAGATAATTTAAGCACCCATTCATGTTGCAATTTGACAAATCTAGTAGAAAACTCCACAATATGTTGAAACTATTTTAAACTATTTTGAAATTTTATATTGCAGTTTCAACCAGGCTATAGTATCATGAAATGCTATGTAAATATATACCGATTTGAGAAATATTTTATTTTCTGTAGCATTAAAATAAAAAACACATGTTGAAGACAGAGATGTTATTTTGCCCATCAATGATGATGATATTGTGTAGAACATCTAAATGTTGCAGGGTTTTGTTTGTATCAAGTATATAAATTGATCACATGCACACAAATAAAATATATGTAATATGAAATGTGGTATGATTTATTTTAATTATAGAATTTTTTATTACAAAGATACACAAATAAGTGATTCATCCAGTATAAAAAAAATGTTTTGGTGCTTTCAAATTGTATGACACGTATTTTAAAGTAAATTGATCCCATCTGCTGTAGTCCCTTCCCCTTCCATAACTTCCTCGAGTGTCACAACCTTCCTGTGGGAAGCTCTTGAAGGAGACCTTTGAGGAGAGTCGCCCCTCTGTGAGGTTTGGGATTTAGAATTGAAAGGAGATCCTGACCTGGTATCCACCTCGCCTTTTAGCAGTGACTTCTGAGGAGAAACGGACCTAGAAGGTGAAGCTCTCTCAGATTTCTCAGCTCGACTTGCGGACCTGTCTTGCCCAGAAGCCTTTGCAGATGCCATGGTGTGTCTTGACTGACTTCTTACACTAGTTCTGCTCTTGCTCCGTTGGTTTCCTGATGCTTTTAAATTAAATATATTATAAGGGTTTATTCAGTCATTGTACGTTACATATTATTAAATACATATAAAACATTATTTATTATCACTAACTGACACTACTAATGTTGTAACATTTACAAACTTCAATTATAACAGAGGTACTTTCATGGTTAACAACCATATGAACAGACTATACAATCATGGTAATTAAACAGTCCTGAAGATGGCCTGTATTTAAAACCACTGTATCAGAAAAACTAACCAACTCTTACAACATGCCTTCTATCTGGATAAAAATCTTAAAACTCACCTATTGAAAATTTTAATTAAGATTTTATTATGGCACAATGGAGTAAAAAGCAGAACTATAGTCTATAAATAAAACTACCGCATAGGAATTCTTGCCTAAACTTTAAAAAAAAGTGTAAGTACTTAAATAAATAAAGATCACAGGTGTGAAAACAACACACTAAAGGAAGATCTGAAAGACGGACAATAGAATCTTAACATCGCTAAAAAGATTTGCTTATATTATAAAATTCTTAAATTGTTTAAAAAAACTTATAGATAGAAACTTAGTGACAAATAAAACTTACGCTTTGGTCTTCTCTTAGCCACGTTCTCAAGAAAGTTGTGCAAAGCCAGCAGCTCACCCTCCAGCTGCTCAGTAATGCTGCTGATCTTTTGTTCTCTCTTTTCAGTACGATGAAGCAAATCTGTTATCTCCCCAACAGTGGTTTGGTCCTTCTCAGCATAGACCTTTAAAAGAATCAAATGGCTTATTTCTGGGTTTGAAGGAACATGAAAATGTGCCATTATTTCTTTCTTCTTGGAGCTTTCTTTCTGAAAGTGTGACCATTTGTAACCAGAACAGAAAAGCTGAATTTGTTGGAGATGTCTTAAGTAAATTAAAGATATCCACGTAATAAAACTTTCAAACAGCAGGTGCATGAATTCAGCAGTGATGTTAAGCAATTTGGTGATGTGTTGAAAGAAAGGCAAACCTTTTCTAGAGCATGATCTGCCTCCCAGCCTTTTAACAGGATGCCTGTAACACAAGAAATTTTCACAGATTAGCAATTGCAAACCAGGAAGTAGATAAAAGTTATCTCATGGGAATTGTAATTGTTTTTTATGGATATTGTAAGTCTTTAAATAATATGTTTGTTACCTTTAAGAGCTATCAGTTCATCCAACAATGTCTGTTTCATCTGCTCATTTTTTCCTTTGTGTTCATTTAAGTCCACGATGTCAGTCTCGTACTTTTCAATAGCCTGAAATATTATGTATGTAAATCAATTAAAAAATTATAAATAAGAATAAACTACATAGCTCATTGCAATGAAAAAGTGAATTGACAATGCCTTTCTGAATCCATAACCTGGCAAAAAATATATATTCTATGAGCATTTTTGATATATCCTACAATTTTTCTCAACTAAAAAAGTTGTAACTTTTCAAATGTTTTTTATCTTTATGTACAAAGGTCACAGCAAACCTCTCTGAATTTGTGGTTTTCCTCCATAACAGTCTTGAGCTTACAACCCTCAGTGTAAATATCACTCTCTACTACTTTCGTTTCCTCTGCATGCTGCTTCAGCTGTACCAGAGATTCTTCTTTTTTCAGTTTGAGTTCCTGTTGATTTTTTACCTGAAATGAGACATAAATTATTTAGATTTTCTGGTTCCTCTTCTTTTTGCTGACAGAAAATGACCATCTGTTTCATTTAAATGTGGAGTCTATCTGCCCAGGGTCAGAGACAAAATATGTACAGAAATATTTCTCATTTTCTAAAAAAATAAAACTTTACCGTTGGCTCTTCAAGTTTTTCAATATTTTTCTGTGTCCTCTTGCAAGTTTCTTCCAAACCAGTCTTCTTGTTTTTCAAAACTGAAAGAAAATTCAGAAACAATTACATAAAAAGAAGTAATTTTGTACTTTGCTAGCTATCATATATTGCACTCTAACCTCAGGCAGCTCAATGACTCTTTGTACCACCCTCTCTATATAGGCTAATGGCTATCTAATTTAACTATGCTCATCACCTCAATATGGACAATAAGTGCAAGACTTTTATACAGCAAAAGTTAAATTTTCTGAGTGATTTCAACATTTTGCCTTAATCATGAAGGCATACAATATCCAAAACTGTTCACAGAACTACAGTTCATAAATTTGTTTTGTAGTTCCTTGTTTTTGAGTCACTTTTGAGTCACAATGGAGACTGGTGGGTTTCAGTCATGAAATTAGAAATTTAGAACTTGAAAATTGGTCTATAGACTGAAATTTTTTGATCGGTTTTGTAAGATGCAATCTAAATGATAAAAGAAAAACTACTTAAATTTCCAGGAAAATGGATTTTTGATATATAAAGGCCTAATGCACATTGTGTACCTTAAACAAAGTGTAGTACATGTAAATGTTAAAAAAGAGACCAAATAGAACACTTACCAACAATTTCTTTCTTTCTGGCTTCATATTCTTTTTGTTTGGCATCATGTTCCTCTTCAAGTGAACTTAAAACAGGCATTTTTTCCTCCAAATATTTTTCCCTTTCAGTTTTCCTTTTGCCCAGATGTTCTACGCTAGCCTGAGAATTGAAATAAAGTAGATTATTTGTCACAGCTACTATATGGTTGGGTTTTACTAAGATTTTAGTGATTTTGAATATTGAGCAACAGTACGTCATACCTCTAAATCTGTAAGTTCCTTCTCAAGAGAAGCTTTCATTGAGACATAGTTCTGTTTTGCAACTCTCAGTTCCTCATGTCTTCTCTTGATGGTCTGGTCTCCTTCTCTGATGTCCTTCTGCAGTTGAATTCCCTAAAAATTGACACAAATCCAAGAATGGATAACTTGACCTGTAACATTTACCATTAAATTAAAAGAAAATAAATATTTTATTTTTAAATGTTGAAATCTATAAAGTTGACTTCTATAACATTGCTTTGGACTGGTCTTTCAACTGAACACCTTTTCAATTTTCTTCTAGTATCTGCTTATAAAACATATTTCAGTTTTGACAATAACTGTGTATGCCAAGTCTTTTCTACAACGATCTCTTGCTACATTATATGTGTCAAACATTTACCTCTTTATTCAATGACTCAATCTGATTCTTGGTGTCATTTATCTTTTTATTCATCAATGCCATAAAACGCTGGTTTTCCTGACGGAAATCATCAACATTTTTCTGCACATCATCCCTCTCAGCCTGAAGTTCCATTCTAAAAATATGACATTGTTGTAAATTAAAATATTGCTTGACCACTAAAATCTTTATCACAACTGAGTGAATGCCATGGAGATGTTAGGAAACTTTAAATTATCAATTTAGTGCTACAAGTCTTACAATTATAACGAAAATTTTCTCCATCAATACAATACCACAGAAATTAATTTTGCAAAACAATCACTTATTTGCAAAATGCAAAGAAATATTGTTATTATTTTGATAAATTGAATTAATAATTACATAAACATATTATGTGTTACTGAAAATCTAACAATGGCTTAGGTATGGTAAAGAACTTTCAATCTTTTGTTATCATTCTGGAGAACCCATTAGTTATACATTAGTAAACAAAGTTTAAATTGTGAACTTTTTCCCTTCACCAATGCGCTGTGTTTGTACAGGCTGTTAGAAACACAGGGACAGGCAAAAGTGCTTTACCATAAATACAATTATGCTAACTACTTTAACAGGGATACATGTTTTTTAAAATCAGAAATGTTCAAGCTTTAACATTGATTTTGAACATTCAAGCAATAACTTCTGCACATTCCCATCTTTTGCCACACATAGAGGCAATGCATATAGACAAGCATGCTGTTTTGTTGCCATTAAGCTCATGGCCCTGCCAACTTTATAAACACTTATATGCAAATAACATATCATGCTTGTAAGTTTTAACTTAAAAGCATTGACTTTAGTATAATGTAGGCCATTGGTTTAAATCAGCCTTGAATAAAATATGAATTATTACCACATATAGACTCAACTCACTCTGTTCTGAAAATACAACAATGTTAACATGGTGAAATAGAAATAGTTCACACTAGAAGTAAGGCATGTTTATGAAGCTGCAGTGCAATGTGCATATATTTTGGACAAATTCTGGTACGTGGGTCAACATAAAAAAGCAAAAAATTAAGATGATGGCCAATGAATTTATTCACACAACTCAGAGTCATAAAGTGATACTGTAAGTTTTTCAAAAATGTCACTTGTGTTAATGTGTTTACTAAAAAAATTACCTTTCTGCCCTCTCCTTTGAGAGTTGGTCTCTGTATTCTTCAATCTGTTTATTCAATGTTGCAACAACTAGCCTGAAATGAAGAATTTTTTTAAAAATCAAAGTCTGACTAGGTACTAATATTCTACAGCAAGGATTCAGTGTATCAGTCAATATTCCTGATTGTCAATATAATCTTTATAGTTTCACCAGAAATAACAACCTTCAAATATAAATAAATTATTTCTTACGGTATAATTTTAGGAATTATATCAGTGTAATTTGCATTTCATGATATCTAGTAGACCTAGTAGACATACTCATGGGTTTCCTTGAGTTTTACAATAGCTTCTTCCATATACACATTTTCGTTTGTTAGACGGCCTGTTTCCTCTGCCTTCTTGGCCAGTGTTATCTTAGCAGCTTGCAAACTGTAATCAAAACATGTCTATGTATTATAACGTTTTAGTGATAATAATAACTTACATTGGAACAAAATATTTACTGGAGAGTATGAAACAGTTACGTTTTGCTCTTGTCACAAAAGCATCATCAGGCTGAATGCCTACATGTCGTTGGGTGTTGGTTGACCTGTGAATGATTCTCACTCAGTATACGTAGTAATTGGCAGAATGACCTGGTTATAGATGGGGGGCAGCTGGTATCCTGCCAATTACTCAGTATTTTTTTCAAATTTATCTGCAATGTGTTATCCTGATCTCATACCAAGTGGTTTCAAAGAACTTACATGCCATTGATTTCTTCAACATTTTGAGCATCTTTTCTTCTTTGTTCCATTGCATCTTCAACATCTTTAAGAAAGAGAAAATACAGTACATAAATGAGTGTAATTTTTCAGGTTCACATTTTCTATAAACTGTGCATATTATCAAACAGAAAAAGCGGAATACGAAAGTAAAAAATGCACGTTAGTATTGACATATCAATTCATAAAGAAATTGGTAATAGTCTGCATTGTACTACTTGATGAAGTCCATAGTGAACAGGATCATGCTTAATGATGCCCAATACTTACCCATTTCCAATATCATTTTCTGTCCATCTAGTCTTTCAAACTTCTTGCTCTGTTTCTGAATTTCAACTTCAAGCTGTAAACAAGAGTATCATTCACTTATTTCTCTTGAAATTTATCTACAAATCTTCATTTGGGTATGTAAAAAATCATAAAAATATACTATTTACATCAGAAATAGTTTTCAGATTAAAACTGAAATGTATATTAGCAATCATAATAACTTGGCACAATGTATTTAACACTTTGGGACCTGATTAATTCATTTCTTTAATTCAATTTTTTTGTCTAAATTCACACTGTATTTCACTACCATGCATAATAAGTATGCTGGAGTATCTGGAGACATAAAACTGTATTTTTGACAGCTCAGGAACACCAACCTCTTCCAATTTTCCTTCAAGTGCAGCTTTGCTTTCTTCAAACTCTTTTTGCTGTCTGTTACTCTCTTCTTCAATTTCAATTCTGCAAGATTTCAAATTCATAGTTAATATAAAACATACAATTTTTAGTAATATCATGTACAATTATTATTGTCAAGTCATGTTTTCAGCGTGCTTATGTGAGTGGTACAGGAATTAGTTTCCCAGATACATTCATAAACAAAATGCACCTTTTTAGTAAAAAAATTCAAACCTTTTCTGCTTAAGCTCTTGATTTTGCTTTATTTCTCTGTTCAGTTGTGCCATTAAAGCCCTCTCTTGTCCTTCTAGTTTAGCACGAGAAGTATCATATCTTCTTATACTCTGAAATAAATACAAAACACTTATTTTTCATGTGTTCCACTTATATATATCTGAGGTATTTCTTAGTCATTATTTTTTTTTTTGGGGGGGGGGGTATGAGAGAGAAATACTAGCAAACTTACCTTTCTAATCATGTCTAATTGACCCTCACTTTCAGCTAATTTTTCTAACAAAGCATCCAGTTCCCTAAAAAAAAATATCAATCAAATGATATCAGCATGTGTACTTGGTGGATTAAATGGAATGAGTGTTTGCTTGAGTACAAAATTTTGTTAAAATATACAATATGACAATTATCTGACTTTTCTGTCAAAAATGCAAAAAAAATATAACATAAAACAAAAAAAAAAAAGAAAACATTCATGTAATTTGGACACATTTTTATTTATTTTCTGAAATCACAACTATCCACTGAAAAAAAGAACTTACTTTTTCTTCACTATGTTAGCATCTCTTTGTTCTCTGACCTTCATGGTTGTGTCATACTGAAGAAAAATAATATCATATTAATGTTAGTGTTTGTAAGCAGACTCTAAAAATTATGATAAAAAGCATACATTCATTAAACCATTCCACAATGATATTGAAATTGAGAATGCATCTAAACATTATTCTACAAACTAATCCGTGAAACATGAAAAGAAACAAACAGTACCTATCAATCATTACATGACATGTCCAGAATAACTCACCACAGCTTTTTTCAAACGTTTCTTTTCCATCCTGGCATCTGCCCTTTCCTGGATCATATCTTCTTTAAGAATAAGAATATTTTCTTCAAGATTAACAATCTGAAACAGAAACCAAAAAACAACACAATGAAATGCCTATTTATATAATTGTGTTATTATACAGAATGGTTGGATATCAGTTCTTTTTCCTTTTGTATCATCATAAGCACTTTAACATTTCAATTCTAGAATTGAACTTGAAAAATTACAGCCAACAAATATGATGCCCATGGGAAATAAAGTTTATGAACAAATCTGTGCTTTTTGCTTTACTTTGACAAGATATTTTTTGGCATATTTAAAGAAAAAAGTTTGTATGACTCACGATGCATTGTGTCTGCATACGCAGAGAATAAGTCCTAAGATGAACCACAACATGGGAAAGTGGTAGATGTGTTTTTTGATATCTGGATAAATGCTTTTGGATGGGACTACTCTCAATTTCTCTTCATTTATTAAGAACACTAATCTGAACATATTTTGCTCTCCTTTTCTGGTCAGACTTACATTCTGATTTGTTGCTCGAAGTTGGTCTCTGGTTTCATTTAAAGATATCTGGTTTCTGGTAAAAGAAAAAAGTCAATGACTAAATTTTAAATTTAAACATTTTCTTGTATTGAGCAAAAAATTTCAATAGCTGTGTCATGCATTCAGCAATAATGATATCTTCTAACAACAGATAAACTCAGAGTTATAACCACCCCAATATTCAGGAACAATGCATCCTGTCACTTACGTTGCTTTTTCTGCTAGTCTGACATTCAATGTTGCAATAATTTCCTCATGTTTTTTGCGCATACCATCTCTCTCGGGTCTGAAAAATTTATTAAAAAGTTCAAATCAAAAGACTTTTCTAAAGCTGGTATATTTAATTGTCTCTAAAACATAAGCCAATATTGAAATTTGGCAAGGTTCAAACTCAACTGTCCAGTTTTAATTCAATGGGAATACCCCCTTAAAACAATGCTAAGATTCAACACTATTTTTATATTCTTTTTTAAAAGACACTGTCAGTTTCAATTTATTTTTAGATAAAACAAAGAGGTTAACAACTCTGAGTCTCACAAAAGCTTTGCATTTTCCTCTTCTAACTCTTGCAGTTTTAACTCCAGAAACTCAATATTCTTGGTGACCTTCTCCAGCTGGCTCTGTAGCCGTTGTACTTCATCTGCATTAGACTGGCGAGCAGATTTTACAGCAGCTAAAAAGACATGACAGTCTTTTAATAAAGCACAGACCTGTTCCCGGCAATTTCAAAAGGGGTCTTTTTCTAAAAATATGTACGTCTTAAACCCCTTAGTTGACCTAACTTGAAAGATGGCATAGAACCTTGATTAAATTTTGATTCAGAGATGATCTCATCTGACCAAAAGTGATGTTCTTTCTAACCCATCAACTGGACTGTCTACAGGTCTATGGCATGTGCAAGTAGTGCACCATTGAGCACAAAGTTTCATGTAATAGCACTCCTATGAGTTTAGCACACTCAATCCATGTCAGAAAATGTAGTAGGAGAGCTAGGGTGTGAAACTTTGTGCTAATTTATTGTAACACATACAGTGCATATCAGAAAAAGTAAACAGGAGAGTTAATACATGAAACTAAAAGCTATGAAACAATAAGATTTATCAAATTTTCTATACAAAAGAGGGTTCATTTTACATAAGTTATGATTTCCATCTTTACTGCACAATAAAGATAAACGTATACTTTTACAACACATATGTACCTTACCTTCAATTTCTCCCTTTATTTTCCCTGGGAAAACCTGTAGTTTATGGCGTAAAACACTGGCCTGGATTGTTTCTATTTCAAGCAATTCATGCAATTTGTCTCTCTCAGCTTCCTGTTGGATATAATAACAAAAAAGTCTTAATTAAGTTCAGATATTTACATTTTACAAATTAAAAGGCAAACTTTTTAATGGCTGACAACATTTTAAACCTGTACCCATAGGATTATTTAACTAACAAAACCATGATTAATAATATTTTATTCTTAGTTCTAAAATTTATCTATTTTCCTTTTCCTAGAAAAGCTGAATCTATATGTGAATGCCTTCTCTGCACTTCCTACCTGATAACTTCAGGTATCTGATAAATACTGAGTAAGGTAAGATTCATAAGTCTGATATGTACAAAAATTATCACACTAGACTTACCAATTCACCAAGAGCTTCAATTATGCTGTCAATATTTTCTACGTCATTTTCTTTGAAACCATAGTCTTCGTTCTGCATCCTTTCTCCTTTTCAATTGATATAAAAAAAGTACAGATAAGTGAAACGGCATAGCTAAGCAAAAAATTAAAATACTCCTGGTTACGTTTCGTTTCTAATATCTTGCTAAAATATGAGATAAAATGATCGCACAATAAATCCAATAAGATATTCGGAATTAAGCAAAGTTGTTTGGATGGGACATGATTACTTAATTTCAACTTATTAAACCCCTAAATAACGATTAATGCTCTTTTACATTTCTGTTTCCAGAAGTTGAAAAACGAAGTGATCATGTCAGTATAAGCGAGCGGGAAAACATCATAAATACCTAATTCTTGTAGATGATCGATGGCAAGTCGAATGCCTGGCACTTCCGCTTTCAAAGACATCCTTTTATTTTAACTTTCAACTGTATCACATAAATAGAAAAATGTATTTATTCCTGACACAACAAGAGACCGTCCAGTCCCTAACGCCGAGTAAACATTCAGTATGGGTTTCGGAACTCCTTTGTGGGAGAGCGGCTACTTGCAAGACGAGCCAATGTCAAAGTCACCTGAATATGCTTTTTAATTCGGGCACGACAAAACACATGATCATTAAAAAAAATTAAAAATCAAATTAATCCCACTAAATACATTATATAAGTTTCATTTTATTTGTAAGTATAACGACAAGACTGTTTCAGTAAAGGATTACAAATACATATTTCACTTGCATTTGTTACACTACATGTCCATATCATTCTAAAGTAGCACAATCATGAAATAATATCTCCATTACTACAGGATTACGGATGCTGCACAATATACATTTGGTAAAATTTATACTGCTACAGTAACAGTTACATAAGACATTAAAAACAAGCGCGTTCAAGTTTAAATCAAATACTTTCTTCATATTATAATAAAATAAAAACAGAAATAAGTACAGTATCTCGTCAAGTAAATTAATTAAGTAAAAGCGAAAGCTTGGCTAGGATTAACCAAATATGAGATAATTATAATGCTAGTATGCAAAACTTGTACTTTCTTGCGTTATAATGCCACTGTTGTCACATGGCTTAACAAAAGGTATCTGCAAAATACACACACACCCAGTTTACTGGTCAGACAAGGTTTTTGTGTTCAATGTCAATGTTACCTTGACCTTTGGCCTCAATATCAACAGGGTTCATCTACATGTAATGACAAACATTTTCATCAAATAAGAGGACCGTAGGACAAACCATTCTCTATTAATTGGCCAAACAAAATTTTTCTTTTATGGTCAATATGACCTTGACTTTCAACCTACTGGTCATCTATATGTGACGCCAAACCTACCAAATATGACAACCGTAGACCACATTGTTTTTTATTTATTGGCCAGACAAGGTTTGGCCATGGGCAAATGTATGGACTGATGTTAAAAACAATGCACCCAGCTTCTTATGTAAAAGCATCCACAGATTCCCTCATGTTCAAATAATGTATAAAAAGTAAGATGAATATAAGTACAATCATCTTGATTCATCCACAATGTCTGTTTTTCATTTGGATTTAGCTCTTGGCACTATACAGAGCACTAGACATGCCTGTAAAAAGATACAGTAACACTTTCCACTAATGGTCGGGTAATCATGGAGATTACAGAGTTCACTTGCTCCTTTTTTTTTTTTGCATTTGACATATCATTTTTAAATCTGTATATTACATAAATCAATGCTAGGAGTCTTTCGTTTTTCTTTTTTTCCAAATAACAGCCTGTGATTCTCTGTATATGTGTTGAAGGAATCTCAATGGTGGCCAAGAGTGCTAAAATACAAAGATTAAACAAAACATGAATTTATAAAATAGAATGACACTTAACAATAGGATTTGGTCAAGATGTCAATTACATGAAAAGGGGACTATTCCAATTAAAAATAGTTATTCACTTCTGTAACATTAAAGAGTTGAAACTTAACCAACAGGTGTTTTTTTAAAAATTATTTCATCAAAGAATACTTAAATACATTTGTACAATTATGAATAGCTATAAGGAGTAAAATTTTGTCTTCCTATCGATTATATATGAAATATTGTGAAATGTCTCTGAATGATCATACCTTAAACAATGGAACTAAAATTTGTGGTTCTGTCTGAGCATCACTTCCACGTAGTAGGAGTACTAGATAAAATATAATACTGTGCTGAAAAGACAAACAAAATGATGTTTCTAAATACTTATCAGCATATTTCTTGAAGAACTTTGTTTACATATATTAAGTGCAATTTTACAGAAAATTTATCAACCTTGACATACTCCACAGCATACATCACAGATTTGAAAACATCTAGTCAAGTCTATAACAATGACTGTTTGCTACTTGAATTTAATTTACATAAAAAATCTACTGGTCTTAAAATACTAAATGTTAAAGTAAATTGTTCGTTACCATTGTGATTCCTTCATTTATAACAATATCCCGTATGCTGGTTAAGTCATAAAATTGACAACACTTTTTGCCAAGGGCGTATGTCGTGGTGGTCTGGGCACCAATAGAAGCCATGACTAGCAAACTTTCTGAAAACAAATCAAATGTGTCTTTCAGTTTATTCTATGAAGTTCAACAAGATAAAAACAGTAAATAAACTTGAGATTTATGTTAGCATACCATTTAGGAGTACATACTGCATATATTCATATAAAAGCACCCTTTTTACTATCTTACAGTTATTATAGTGAAAGAACATCTTTTTTATTTATGAACCACTATAAATACCTTTTACAACCTTGGAACGTAGTTTAAAAAACAAAATCACAAGGACTAATCCTAGTGCAACCAACAGAATCACAATATCCTGAAACAAAACAATACCCAGTGTAAATTAGCTTTTGCAACTAATTTAAAAAAACATGCAGTTTCACTTTTACATGAAACGTTATGCCTTCCAAATATTTTGAAAGCCGAGGTCATCGCTGGGGTGAAAATTTGTTGTAATCATTGGTCAAAGGAATTGAAGGTTTATCGTTAAAAAATATAAAACATTAGTTCATTAATTTCCAAATTAATTTATTTAAATAGCAGAGACACTGATCAAAGTCACCACACAAATTAATTTTGATTAGCATGAAAGTTAAAGAGTTACAGGGTGTGTGTATGTGTGTACTGCAAAAGTACCGAGGTTATGATCTATCTATCTATAACAATGAACGTATTTATCTATCTGGCAAAAAACACGAAATACCTGCTTATGAAGCCCTATCCCAAACGCAAGCACGTTCAGAATTATGGAAGTTTGTAACCATTTTCTAAAATGAAATTTTTGAGTAATCACAAATTCTTTACAAGAATACGGACAGTGGTTAATAATCTTAAATTGCAGATTATTACACAAGTCCAAAGTATCACATTTGTCTTTCATCTTTTTTGTGCAATTAAAAAAAACTCGATGTTAACTTCCCCGCTACTCAGGGGCATTATCATTAGGACGCAGCCATCTTGGATACCCTGCACACAAATATAAAAATGAAAAATAAAATGTTTGTTGTGTAAAAAATGCAAAATAATACATCAAATCTAAATGATTATCAAGCAAGAAAACTGACGAAAAATTGTGCCATTTTAAAGAAAATTGCTTTTTAATAAATATCACTGCAGAACTATTGCACGATGTCCGTAAGGACATTTAAATCTTTGTATCTTTTCAAGAAAAGATTTCAATTCTAAATTCACACCACGTTGACGGACTATTTAAAAATGTGAGTTTACAAAATTGTTAGTATAGTATGTTAACATAATATGGGCAACATTTCCTCAATTTTAATTAAAACAGAGTTTATTCGTGTGCGCCCCTTACGAGTTGTGTTACTAATCAAGCAAGATGGCAGGAGAATGGATACTAGACGAGTTGATATGTTACTTGGGAAGCCCCCTTTTTCAGGTCCCCGTCATAACATGCTGTGAAGCAAGTTGCATAAGTAGGTTTACAACGCGTTTTCAAACCCGTGACTTATATATTGTTTTTGTACCTCTAAGACAGTAAAATATTGGATTTTAAGTGTCCGTGTTATATCCACGGCTGTTTGTTATTGATTGAATTGCTTGCATATAGATTTCGCATAACATTTCAATTTAACAATCAGTATTCCTGCCAACAAATGTCGTAAATGCATTTTATGATGACACAAGGAAAATTATTTCTTCAATTTGCAAGTATACTATTTTTAAGAGTCGTGTTGTGAGGACCTCAACGTAATAATTGCCGTATGTTCAAATGTTATCAGCAGTAACATTACTTCATTATTCATGTCATTTTCAACAGTATGCATGAATGCAACACCCCAGTGGCCCCAGACTGGTGATGATCTGTGAATAATATTTTGACAGTTATGACAGCTTACCTTAAATTGATATTGGTAACAAGCTGAAGAATGTTTGAGAGAGTTTATTTAGTGTCACTATAATTTGTATGTTTCTACTAATACCATTGTCTCATAACTTTAAATGACTAGTAATCAAACATAAAAAACTTGCTGTTTGGTGCAAGAAAAAAAATATTGAACCACATCTATGTTTTGAAACTGCATGTGACTTTAAAAAGGTCACTTATGTCACGTGATGTCATCAGACTTTACTTTTACAGATTCCTAAAAAATCTGCATGGTTTTGTTGATTTTTCTGGTTTATATTTTTTATTTTTCAACAAAGTAGAAAAAATTCACCTATCAGCAATCACAAGGGTCCTTTTTGGAGTTAGAGTTGCAAAATATTGCAATAGAATATTTTAATCACTGCGAAAATTTAGGAAGAAAGTCCACTTGTCAGGAATGCACAAGCCAGCAGTTTCAAAGTACCCAAAATGCAGACATGGCAAAACTGTCAGTCTTACTAGTCATGACTGATTGAAAGACTGTTAAAGATAGTGAGTTATTGGTTCTTTGGAACAACAAGGGTTTTCTGAGAAGTATGAAACCAATTATGAATCTGAAGATAAAAAGATGCCTCTCTTGTCTCATTATTTTCTCTTTTTTTATGCCTTTTGTTTGGGGAATGATAAAGTAGTGGTTCCTAGGTTTAATTTGATGTGCAATACACATATAGTTATACAGGAAGCAATCGATATTGTAACAGTGTAGATGACAGATGTACAGAGGCTGAATAATTGCATATCTCCATGATCAGAATGTGTGCTATAAATCAAAATTCCCCCAATGCTACAATCTACTTAATTTCATTACTAAAATTGCCATTGTCAAACTAGAGCTTGAACCATTAACACTTGTATACATCATACTGAAAACTGCAATTTTTGACTTTTCAGTTTTTGAACCCTCAACGGAGGATTCTGCAGAATACAGACAATGCTTTCGAGATTTTAAGCAGCTGGTAAGTTTGATCACCTTTTTTTTAAGTTAGTTATCAAAGTGATTGGTTATGATGTTTGCAAAAATAAATTTTTTCAACATGTATATATACCAGGTACATAGGCTCAACAAAATGACACCAAATGTGGTATTTAGTCAAGTGACTGGAAGGATGATTAATGTTTGTAAATAATGTGACTGAAGAAATGAGGGTTAGTACCAGTAAAAAACAGAACCTGATAAAACAAAATATTATCTGTTAGGATAAGCTTAAACAGTGTGACTGGAAGTTACATAACAATTCAATTAGATTGATACTGTTTGTAACTTCTTTATCTCGAGTCTACATAATGTTTGTTCTGGTTTTCATATTCCTCAAAATAATTAAGCAAATACATTTCATCTTTTTCTCTTAATTTAATAGAAATAGAAGGGACAAAAAGTATACATTAATACACAGGAGAATTGCGTTGTGAAATGACTGAACTGTGATACATGTTGCTTTTAAGGTGAAGCACATAACTTCCACTTAAAATTGTTCCTTGAACTGCAATATATGATCACTACAGGGAGCTGCAGGATATCGATAAGATTATTTACTGACAGTTTGATTGAACCTGTTGTTACAGCAAAAATTTGTTTCCTGAGATGAATGTGTTCAAAATGCATAGTTTAAAGCTCTTTCTCTCTTTCACTGATTAATGAGGATTCTCAAAGGGAAGATATTAGATACCAAGTTGAACAGTTTATTGATTTTTTGTTCACTTATGTCTCTATGATTAAGTACATTCATAGATACCATATGAATACATTTGTATAAGGCAGTAATATACATGTGCATATACAGCAATTCCTGATATGAATGACTTGTGGCACATATTTATTTTATGATATCATATTGCTGTATTTGATTTAAGTAATAAGATTTACATCAAAATCCTTCTGAAGAAAATTTTTAAGCATGTTAGCCCATTTCATTCTAAAATGGCTTAAATGATATTGACAGAATATAAGATCATAATTTTCAAATATATATTGTTGCATTACAGATTGATGTCTTGTTGGATGGCTTCAGAGAAGATGTTGGACTGACACAGAGTGACATTGTAAAAGCAGTACAGAAGTTGAACATGAAAGAAGACCTGAGGGAGATTTTCAAGGTACAACAAAAGAAATGTTGAATATCCCCATGATCTGTTCATAAGGCATTAAGACTTTCTGTTTGTGGATTGGATTGGTTTATCCATAATAATTTTTTCCCTGTTTGAAGTAGAAATGCTTATAACTTATATTGCATTGGACAGGTGTAAGGATTGTTTTGAAGTTTTATTAAAGAGATAACAACTGTTCATTTTGGCCAAAAAATGAATTTTCCTGGGGTAAACAACAATTTTCCCATACTTACCAATGGTAAATGAATCCATTTCTACATTCAGTGTTAGTCCCTGTTTTTTTTTTTTTTTTTTGTAAAAAGTTTGCTTTTTTGTAACAATCTCTTAACAGATTATTACAGAGTATAGCAATATGTGGAGGCCACTTGGTCTGATGACAAGCAAAGATTTCAGATTAATTGCTATAACTGCCGTTTTTGTGGTAAAATAGAATATATTATATTTCTATGAGTTGTTTACAGTGTATTTATTTTGAAATATAGATCTCATAGGAAGAAGTGTTATCCCTTTAAGAACCTTGGCATATAAATCATCTAATGGCCAATACAGAATGGAATGTGCAGAATTTCAGTGTTGAAATAAAAAAAAAATCGTCTGAAATTAAACCTAATATGCTTATTTCCACAGAACTCTTTTGAGCCTATTTTGGCTGTAGAAGACTACAAGTTTTTTGTTAAGATGATGACCAAGAAAAACATAGAACTGCAGGAACAGGCTTTGGCAATCTTATTGAAGAAGACAGGTGCAGTCCCAGAAATCTACTCTAATCAAGCCAGTGGTCCTCAGCCTGATGAAGCATTTGTAGCTGTGGCAAGGTGATTTTGGCATTCATTCACTTTGTGCCTTATCCTTTGGTAGAGAAGCATTATTTGTAACTTCATTGTCTTTGTGGTAGCCAAATAGAAGAGAATTGATAAAAAGTATTGATAATAATAATAATGATGATTAGGATGCTAACAATGGATTAGCATGGTTATAAAGTATAAAGCTGGTAATGAAAGTTATAATGTTAATTGTGGTAAATTGTTGTTGTTGACTTTCAGATTCATAACACGATACTTTTCGATCTTTTCAAATTCTAATTTTTAACTGTTGTTAAAGGTAGGGGAGATCTTTAATGTGAGTTAATAAGCTACAACGTTGTTTTAAACATAGCATAGAATTGTTATAGATGTGTTAATCATGAAATCAACAAATCTTTTCATATGATAGCCAAGCAGATAAGCAATCAGAAGTGAAGCAATCAGAAGAAGAGAAAAAGCAGACGGAGGACTTTGCAAAGGCAGAGGCTGTGCGGCTAGAGGGAGAGAAGAAACAGGAGCAGCAAAAGATGCAAGAGGCAAGTGTCTACAAAAGTGCAATTTTGCTGAGTAATTATCTTTTTTTTTTTCAATTTAGAAAGTCTATCTTTGTCATGTATAATTGATTTTTCTGCATAAGTCATTCTGGAGTTTTGTGGATTCATGTTGGAAATCACAGACGCTTAGCATATCTTTCAGTTATCACATAAATGCTGATTTAATCTTCCAGATGTTGTCAACACTGACTGTTGAAGACAAATTACCACCACTTCCTGCAGGAGCAGTGAAATCACCACCACCGAAGCCCTCCCACCCGACTGCCCCTGCACCAGCTCCAGCTCCTGCACTAGCCCCTGTTAAGGCACCAGCCACAGCTAAGACACCTGCACCAGCACCTGCACCAAGCAAAGCACCTGCACCAGCAGCAGTAAGTACAAATTTTTTGGTGAGAGACTTTGGTTTCCTGGCAAAAAGGTTTATCACACATAACCCTGGAAGTTTTAAAATTGTAAATGAATAAGCTAAATAAAGTTTTAGATGCTTAGTACTTAATATGTTTACTTTTTTCTTAGTACTTCATGATCTAAATAAAGTTTTAGATGCTTAATACTTAATATGTTTACTTTTTTGTTAGTACTTCATGATCTAAATAAAGTTTTAGATGCTTAGTACTTAATATGTTTACTTTTTATGTTAGTACTTCATGATCTAAATAAAGTTTTAGATGCTTAGTACTTAATATGTTTACTTTTTTGTCAGTACTTCATGACCTAAATCATGATAATGAAAATGTTGATATGACCATTTCTCACAAAACTTTAATTGCTTTCAGCCTGTAAGTAATGCAGATGCTGCTGCCAGTTGGCTTGCCTCTGCAAAACAGGAAGCAGGCCAGCCTCAAGGAGGATTACAGTCACACATGGTAAGAACTGGTACAGAGAGTACCTTTTACTCGTAATAAGAAATTGTAGAGACTTGACATATTCTTCTACTTTCACTAAGACATGTCATGATGTTAGTAATTCATCAGAGTACCTTGATTACATTATGTCAAGGCCCTGTGGTTAAGAAACAAAACATCATGCCCCATAGGTATAAAACATGTTAAGCTGCTCTAGAAACATACTCTATCATTAATAGTAGACCAAAAAAAAAACCAATTCACCAAAGAAATCATTGCATGTGGGAGGATTATGTCTGTCGTAAATTGGATGAAATTTGAGAATGGCACAATGTTATCAAAAGACATCTAGAGACAGTCATTATATCCTTGCATAGTATAATTGTATATGTTTTTTTTGCTTTAAGGCTGCAATGTCAAAACTAAGCCCAGATGAACTTAAAAAGAGACAAGAATTCCTTAAAGCCCAGAGGGATCAGCTGATAGCAATGAAAAAGAAAGAACGTGAAAAACAACTGCTGACTGCCGAGAAGGCTGCCCCTGCCCGTCCCAAGTCAGCAAGAGCTGCACGCTCATCACTGACACCTGCAAGTGTGCCGCCAGCTGAAGATAAAGAAATGTCTGCAGAGGCCCAAAAACAATTGGAAATGCGCAAGGCAATTGCTGCACGACTACGACAAGAAGTCGTTGGTAAGAAAACCTAACGCGCGCTTGACAGTTGTGGTGTGGACTTTGCCAGCTCTCTGTTTATTTGGTAAAAGTGTTGTTTCTCTTTCTTTTTTTTTATTTAAAGTTACTTTGCTCATATTCTTCTGTATATTAGACAGAACTAAAGGAAAACAAAAATGGAAACTATATATTTTCCGCCAACATACACCAGTGGTTGTACTGTTGTTGAATATTTAAAGGATTTATAGAAAAATTCTTTGGTACATCTAGTAGTTTACATTGCCACTGGGCTTTGAAGTGAATGAAGTGAAATTGGAATCAAGTGGACTACTGACCACATAAATTGTTTTGTGGGTTAAATCTTGAATAGCCAAAATAATGTATATTCAACAAACTTACAAGAACTTTATTACCAACTTGAGTTTTGCAAATAATTTCACACCAGCAAGAGACCCTGAATTTAGATTTAGAAAGTGTGGATCTATTCAACTAAAGTCCACTTTAAGGTGAAGATTTATGAGAACACATATAGAAAAATATTGTAATTTGATATATATATATATATATATATATATATATATATATATATATATATATATATATATATATATATATATATATTATCATGGTTGATCAACCTTTTGCTAACGTATCTACTCTCAGGTGGACATTTATTGTTGCTCCACACTGATGTGTTTTGCCTATAAATGCAAGCAACACTAGGAGGCTGTTCAGATGCTACTGAGAGTTAGATGAATCATTTCAAGTCTAGTCTACACATATTAGAGTGACCACATTAATGCAGATGCAACATTTGTCATTCAAAATATTTTTAGAACTCACCAAATACAAAATGAAATTTCAAAAAATTATAAAGTATGTATATTCAGGGTGTGGGTCTTGTGGAAAACCCTGTATTCTTTGATTGACATTCCATTTGTTTTGAAGAATTATGAAGTGAAATGAAAGTATCATTTTTGGCCATTTTATTATTTTCCTGAATATGTACACACGTCATTACTTTGGATCAATCACATACCATCCTGGTGCTATGATTTATGTGAGCATCTTGCTACTAAGACAAAGGCAAATGCTATAAAATATTTCTATATCATTCCAGCCATTTTATTTTTAAAGGAATACAACTCGTGATATGTCCTTACCGTCAATATTTATTATGGCTTTAGGCAATCAAACTGTTTTAATTAGTCAGGGTCACATTTTGATATTGAAATGTGCAATTTGTATGTTTAAATGGATCAAGGGATGGCACCCAAAGTTACTGTGGTAAACATAAGACATGCATTTATTTTATTGAATATGTACAAACAGATATTAGTCTTTATATTTTAAGTCTGTATCTTTATTTCTTGACTTTTTGTGTTTGCTGTGCATTTTAGATTCTGTTCACCTCCGTCCAGAGCATTTTATTTTCTTTTTGAACAGTTATGAATGTGTGTATTGTTATTAGTAAGTATAAAAGTCACTGATATCCTATTAAATGGGTTGTGTAAAAGCATTTTTGTAATGGAGAAAGGAGGCAAATAAAGACTGTCTATGATATGAATAGTTTTTAACCGTTTGAAGGTTCTTTACATTGGACATTAGGGGAAAGTGTCACCTTCACAATGAAATGTTTGCTTTTGCTTTATCCACCATGACTTATATTATGTAAAATTTGTGTCTGATAAAGATATATATAAATTTGCAGATTCAATTTTTTTTTAAATTATGGTTGCCAGCAATTAAAGTGATTAAAAAAGTAATTAGATTGCCTAAAATAACTATTTTATGCGTGATCTCACTAAAAGTTTTTGTTACCAATATATATATATATGTATATTGTTTATATTTTGTTTCCCAGCCATGCGTGATCTGGAGCTGATGTAGGTAAAACAAAGAAGCAGAGAGAAGGATCACATTTAAATTACATCATACCTTTGTGTTAATGTTGTCTTGGTAACAGGTTGTATTACCTTTCAACTATTAGTAGACTCTACTTCTAGAAATAGCTGTTGTGTTGTGTGAATTGATTTTTGTTGAACAGAATATAGAACAATAGACTGCTTTTTTTGTCAGATCAACCCGACTACCACCAGTAGTCTAAGATGTGTGGACAATGCTAAATGGAAAGTTAAGTGTGTGAATTTAATCACTGCTGTTTGCATTCTTGAGCTATTTTTGTGGCCAACAACATTGACATATGAGCTCAATGTAATAGCCTGCCTTGTGTATTTACCCAGGATATAGTTTCATTGTGTGACTTCATCACAGTGTTCAATTTCTATTTATACTATACCCAAGGATAAGAAAAAAGATAAATCTCTCCAGCAAGATAATTCTGTAGCATCCATATCAATCATCAGATGTTCCCATTAGCATCATTTCTGTAATTGCCTGGAAAGTCTTTATCAAATAGCACTTTGATCATTTGATCAATTACAATAGGAAATCAAAATTATTTATGAGAACTTTGTTGGAAACATATTTGTTCAAAAATGGACACAAGGTTTTTTTTTTCTGAAGTTACGCAGTTTCATTGAGTCTGACCAGGTATTTACCAATATTTCAGCTTTATTTTCCTTTTTTGCAAAAATGAGTTGTAACTAAATGCAGGCACTGGGTTGTACAAGTTCATAAGCTTTGGAAGGCTTTAATTCTTTTTAAATTATATTTTGGTATAACATTTCACACAGTTTGACTTTACAAGCAGGTTTTTCAAATTGATTCGATTTTTGTAGGAGTAAAATAAAGTATGCAAAGATAAATTGGGACCAAAATTATTATAGATACTATAACATTCCAGTTGACTTTTATTAAGGAAACCAGTTTCGGAAATTTGTATTTACTTACAAGCAGTTGAAAATATCTGGTAGTGCAATCAGTAGTTTAGAAAATCATTTTTCACATCCAAAATTTTGGTTCATTCTTTTAAACAGTTTGACCCATCAATAAGAAAGTTGATTGGAGCATGCAAAGTAAATTTTAGAGAAAAGAGTAGTCTTTTAAGAGAGATGTCCTTTGTGTGAACTTCATTCACAAAAGTGAAACTTCATTGTAGAACCATATCAAAGTTTCTATTATATCACTTTTTTTCAGTTCAAGGTATGAAATTATGGAATCCCTATCTCATTAGTGTGGCATTCTGCTGAACATTCCTTGAAATGTCATTTTCAGAAAAGAAATTAGTAAATGTGTAAATAATCATGTTATGAATAAAAAAATGCAACAGAGTAGAAGTTCGCCCTATTTCTATTTTTATATTTGAAGGTTACTTTTCCAAGTTTCTTGTCATATTGGAACAATCATTGTACGAAGTACCAAGTTCTTGTCTATTTTTTTTCCAATTTATAAAACAAAACAATTAAAGGAATCTAAGAATTTATGATTCAAATTTCAATTTCACATTTTAACTTATTTTGAGAATTAGTATGCACATGTAAGTGTTTAAATTGATATTTTATCCATTTTGTGAGTTGTGTTCTCATAAAATAGCAAGTTTTAATCAATATATATATATATATATATATATATATATATATATATATATATATTGGCAATAATAACCACAGAAAACATTTTGCTGAACATCTTATGTTCATTTCACCTTATTTGTCTTTAAAGTGCCTGCATTTTCTCTCTACCACATCACTGCTATATAATACAAATAACAATTCTGACTTTAAAGTGCAGACTGGTTACGTACGTTCTAAGGAATTGAATCTTGAAACAAAATTTCATACAAGCATCATTTTATTTTGTGTAATATAGTATGTGGTTTACAGATAAAAATCTTTTAATTAGTGTCAACATACACATTTCATAACTGAATACATGATGCAGTAATGTATGCAACTCTTGTTGACAAGTCTTATATGCTTATTAAGACTGACATTAAAATACTTGCTTCTCAAAAACTGCACACCCCCTTCATTAATTACAACTTTGCACCCCTTTTCAAGGCCACTAGTGAAACTTCAGATCTTTTAGCTTGTTCAGCAGTTTAAGCTTACCAAGAAATTACCAAACATATCAGTGAATAATAACATAACAAAATTGAGTTAAAGTGAACAGCAGCTGATCATAAGTTTCAAGGTACAATATTGAAAACCTACTAAGACATGATTTAGGGTTGTAAGAGAAAAGTGGGACGAAATGGCTTGGTGGCCTTGTGACTGGGGATTTGGGGGCTGCTGAAGGCAGAAAACCGCCAAGANCAAAATAACTATTTTATATGTGATCTCGCTAAAAGTTTTTGTTACCAATATATATATATATATATATATGTATATTGTTTATATTTTGTTTCCCAGCCATGCGTGATCTGGAGCTGATGTAGGTAAAACAAAGAAGCAGAGAGAAGGATCACATTTAAATTACATCATACCTTTGTGTTAATGTTGTCTTGGTAACAGGTTGTATTACCTTTCAACTATTTGTAGACTCTACTTCTAGAAATAGCTGTTGTGTTGTGTGAATTGATTTTTGTTGAACAGAATATAGAATAATAGACTGCTTTTTTGTCAAATCAACCCGACTACCACCAGTAGTCTAAGATGTGTGGACAATGCTTAATGGAAAGTTAACTGTGTGAATTTAATCACTGCTGTTTGCATTCTTGAGCTGTTTTTGTGGCCAACACCCATGCCTTGTGTATTTACCCAGGATATAGTTTCATTGTGTGACTTCACCACAGTGTTCAATTTCTATTTATACTTTACCCAAGGATAAGAAAAAAGATAAATCTCTCCAGCAAGATAATTCTGTAGCATCCATATCAATCATCAGATGTTCCCGTCAGCATCACTTATGTAATTGCCTGGAAAGTCTTTATCAAATAGCACTTTGATCATTTGATCAAATGCAATAGGAAATCAAAATTATTTATGAGAACTTTGTTGGAAACATATTTGTTCAAAAATGGACACAAGGTTTTTTTTTTTTTTTTTTTTTCTGAAGTTACGCAGTTTCATTGAGTCTGACCAGGTATTTACCAATATTTCAGCTACCAATATTTCAGCTTTATTTTCCTTTTTTACAAAAATGAGTTGTAACTAAATGCAGGCACTGGGTTGTACAAGTTCATAAGCTTTGGAAGGCTTTAATTTTTTTTTTTTTAATTATATTTTGGTATAACATTTCACACAGTTTGACTTTACAAGCAGGTTTTTCAAATTGATTCGATTTTTGTAGGAGTAAAATAAAGTATGCAAAGATAAATTGGGACCAAAATTATTATAGATACTATAACATTCCAGTTGACTTTTATTAAGGAAACCACTTTCGGAAATTTGTATTTACTTACAAGCAGTTTAAAATATCTGGTAGTGCAATCAGTAGTTTAGAAAATCATTTTTCACATCCAGAATTTTGGTTCATTCTTTTAAACAGTTTGACCCATCAATAAGAAAGTTGATTGGAGCATGCAAAGTAAATTTTAGAGAAAAGAGTAGTCTTTTAAGAGAGATGTCCTTTGTGTGAACTTCATTCACAAAATTGAAACTTTATTGTAGAACCATATCAAAGTTTCTATTGTATTATCACTTTTTTTCAGTTCAAGGTATGAAATTATGGAATCCCTATCTCATTAGTGTGGCATTCTGCTGAACATTCCTTGAAATGTCATTTTCAGAAAAGAAATTAGTAAATGTGTAAATAATCATGTTATGAATAAAAAAAATGCAAAAGAGTACAAGTTTGCCCTATTCTATTTTTATATTTGAAGGTTACTTTTCCAAGTTTCTTGTCATATTGGAACAATCATTGTCAAAGTACCAAGTGCTTGTCTATTTTTTTCCAATTTATTAAACAAAACAAAGGAATCTAAGAATTTATGATTCAAATTTCAATTTCACATTTTAACTTATTTTGAGAATTAGTGTGCACATGTAAGTGTTTAAATTGATATTTTATCCATTTTTTGAGTCGTGTTCTCATAAAATAGCAAGTTTTAATCAATATATATATATATATATATATATATATATATATATATATATAAGCAATAATAACCACAGAAAACATTTTGCTGAACATCTTATGTTCATTTCACCTTATTTGTCTTTAAAGTACCTGCATTTTCTCTCTACCACATGACTGCTATATAATGCAAAATAACAATTCTGACTTTTAAGTGCAGACTGGTTACGTATGTTCTAAAGAATTGAATCTTGAAATAAAATTTCATACAAGCATCATTTTATTTTGTGTAATATAGTATGTGGTTTACAGATAAAAATCTTTTAATTAGTGTCAACATACACATTTCATAACTGAATACATGATGCAGTAATGTATGCAACTCTTGTTGACAAGTCTTATATGCTTAAGACTGACATTAAAATACTTGCTTCTCAAAAACTGCACACCCCCTTCATTAATTACAACTTTGCACCCCTTTTCAAGGCCACTAGTGAAACTTCAGATCTTTTAGCTTGTTCAGCAGTTTAAGCTTACCAAGAAATTACCAAACATATCAGTGAATAATAACATAACAAAATTGAGTTAAAGTGAACAGCAGCTGATCATAAGTTTCAAGGTACAATATTGAAAACCTACTAAGACATGATTTAGGGTTGTAAGAGAAAAGTGGGAAGAAATGGCTTGGTGGCCTTGTGACTGGGGATTTGGGGGCTGCTGAAGGCAGAAAACTGCCAAGAAAAAAAAATATCTGATTTATTTTGGTAAGAGTCATGTCTGTCTGCTAAAGTAGAATTTGGTACCGTTTTCTCAATTTAAAAAAAAATGTTCAAAATGAAGAGGAGTAATTAAATAGACCTCTGCTCCTCAATGACAGCAACCATAACAAAATATATCTTGGGGCTAATAAATTATTAGCTTTGTACTCGATACAGCACTTGGGATACAGTTATCTTAACCCTGCAAAGGTCCATTTGATCTCCGGTGCACTAATATACGCAATGATGACTAATGACACACTCAAATACTACACAACTGTACACCACATATTACATCTATTTATGTTCTTTGCAGAATTCCACATTAGAATATAATTTAAAATTATTCACAATTGAAATCCTCTTCCGTGGTTAAAAAAAAACTACCTCATTTTGATGGTACATCTCAATACAATACTTATATTCCTGTTATGCTCATACAAAAATTTCATTTTAAATGCGTCCCTGAAGTTTTGAACAGCGTCTCACTTTAAAGTGGTAGTGATCCCAACCTGCTTCTCTAGACTGGTTTTCGGACTTAAACTGCAGCTCTATCATATAATGGTGACATGTTTTAATAAAACTATGAAAAGAAGCATTCTAAAAGATAAGACGTAATTAACAAAAGAGCAATTTTGAAAATTTTTTCCTAAAATAGGTAACAACATTAACCATTGGTCTATGAACCACTGACAAAAGAGTCCTAGCAGCAATTCACTGCATCTGGTGAAAAAAATGGTCAATTTACTCCTCTCAGCCATAATGTTCTACTGTTCACTTGTGAGGCAACTGGTCTCTAATAAAAGAAATGGATATGAAAATTGCATGCTAATTCAGCATGCTTTTACTACACTCTATACGAGTCACCATGTGACTTGATTGTACCACCAACGAAAAGATCATTATACTTTTAAATGCAAAAAATTATAACAACAATAATAAATAAACATAATAATCATAATCATTATAAATAAATAAAACTACATGATAAAAGGTATTACAAGGATCCTTTGAAAAAACAGATGGGAAATTATGCCATACAAATTGATTGAAGTTTTGAAAAATAATAATGATGAAAATATTATGAACTCGACTAACCTCTTTACCTCCAACTTCACAAGCTGGTGGTAAAATAATAGGCTTAAAAATTCTGTGGCACTTGTCAAAGAATCAATTAACTATATACACCTTGATAAAATGCCTATTCCATGCATGTAGAATAAAATACATCTTTGTTTGTACAAAACTATCAGAAAACTGCATGGACATGACAAGTACTGCTCTAGAGATAAAGCTATTATTTACACATTAGTCATGGGCACACAAGAACTAGAATAAGTATCTGAAGTGGATAATGAGATCACAATTGTGAGGCAGACTGTAAATGTTTTGTTTTTTTGTAGGACGTCAAACCTCAAAAAACTAATTACAGTAAGCTGGCATGTTCTATGTCTGATGCAGAGAACTGCATCCCATTATTTTGTAAAGGTGGGACAGCTCTTGAGAAGTCTCCACATTTTTTCTCTTACTAGAACCTACCAGTACACCTACCCCAGTCATATAAGCACAGAATGTACGAGGTCTTTTTTACCCATAATCTTACCACTGTATCAATGCTTGCGAGGTGAACTAAACACATTAGCTGTCTTAATCAGCAACCTAATTCAATTTTGATAAGATATTACAATAGACTGGGGTTATTGCTGTGCTGAACTCACACGTGAACAGTTGGCTGGATGGTTAATAAGGTCACACCAGACAGTCACAGCAGCAATGCCCTGACAATGTTCCAGACAAAAAAAAAAAAATCTCAATCAAAACAAAAATTGCTGATTTAGCTTGCTGTGGTCCCTCAGTATTATATTTTTTCGTTTATCTGCAAAAAAAACTTGGCTACTATGTCAGTACCGCCTGAGTTGCATTTCATTGAGTTATGAAGATCAGTTCAGGTAACTGCCACCAGTTAAGACAGATTGTACTTTCTATGCAATCTCAATCAACCTCTGTTTATGTGACAAATTCTGAACTGTACTTTGCACATGTAAGAATCTGCAAGTTGAAAGTAGTTAGCTTGCCAATCTAGGTCGCTTTGCTGCAGGCATGCTAGATTGGTCCGCCTCCTCTTCTTCCTCATCCGAGTCTTCATCTGGATAGTCCACTAAACCCACTAGAGGCTTAAATGAGATAAAAGAAAAATACTAAGTAAAAATCTCATTTTTTTTATTTTAACACACAAAAGATATATAGGGTAAGGACATCTACGCAGGCAAGTACCTTTTCATGATAAAAAATTTGTAGAAAATTAATTACAAAAAATGAACTATAACCATAATAAATCAAAAGTTTACTATTTTTAAGCTTGACTCAAAAGACAATCAAATTTCCAATTACTGTATCACATTCGAATTCGTCCAAAAAAAAAAATAAATAAAATAAAATAATAATAATAATAAAATAAATATATAAATAAAAAAAAAGAAAAAAAAATCACCCAAAGTCTCATATAACATTTGTCTCTACCTTGTTTGTGACTACATTATTTGGTTTGACTTCCTCTTTGGGCGGTGTGGGTGTCCCATTAGGGCTTGCAGGACTCCCCACAGGACTGGTCAAAGGACTATGCACGGGACTATTGCTTGGACTAGTCTTGAGATTTATATTGATAGGTGAGGTCCTGTTGTTCATGCGTGGCGGAGAATCTCGAAATTCATTCTCCTTAGCTGTAAGAAAATAATCGTCTTATCAACATAAAAAACAACTCTTCACAACCATAGATCAATTCCACTATAGTTTAACTCCATTTTTATTTCTATAAAGCACCCTAATGTGTACACTTTTGATTCTCATACCATTCAAATAAAACAGAATATGGAATCATAAAATTATTTTCACATGGACTATTTTCATTACTTTTATAAAAAATTGCATGTGAGGAAAATGAAAGAGTTTCAAAATGGTCCTCAAATAAATTTAAAATCTACTTACAAACACCCATAACTCTCCGGCTCTCCAAATACTTGTTTATTTGGTCAAAGTCCGATTCCAGTTTTTTACTGAGCATTTCACTAACAGGTTTCATGGTATCGCCATCTTCAAAATCATCGTCCTGATCAAACCACATTTCCTCATCTTCTTCCAAGGTACGAGCATCTCGTCGATACCGATTATTTCGAAGTATTGTGGGCGTGCTGAAATTTATTTCATAATTCCTACAGATATGTAAATTCCAGAAGAACAGAAATGCAACTTATTTATAAAAGACTGAGGCAAGAACACTCAATCTTATTTTTAATCTTATCAAACATCTATCCATCTATTTCAAAAACTTATGCTATCACATGCTAAACTACTCTGAATAGCTTCAGAGCAATTGCCAAATACTCACTTTTCTAAAGATGCAGTTTTGTCTTTTAATCTCTCTTGTTGCTGATCATATCTCAATTTCAGGGCCCTGAAGGTCTGCACGTAGTCTACATGCTCAAATGCTTTGTAATGCACCTCTACTATGTGAGAGCAAACAGACTTCACATCCTCCTGAAAGATTATGTCAACAAATGTTTAAATGACAAAGTAATCCCTTCACTTGTGAAAACTATGGACTTATCTTGAATGAAAAGTAAGTTTTGTCTTTAAGTCTTGATCATTTTTCTCTCACTCTCCTCAAACTGTCCCATGGCTATAATTTGAAGTCCTTTGGCTCTGCCACAGTCTACCTTTTATAGGACTTCCCAATGTGAGAATTAAGCAGTAACGCATGTGATAGCCCAATAGCAGCAACAGTGCTCATAGAGTCACCACTAACCTAATCTTATCCCAATGTCATAGCAATTAACACCTTTGAAAAGTAAAACTGCCTAGAAAGGTGTCAGAGTGCAAAAAAAAAAAAAAAAAAAAAAAACAGATGCACATAATGAAAAAAAGTCCTCACTATAAAGCATTAGGTCTTACTTACCACTCTTATAAATTCAAACATTTCTATGATTGCAGAGTTGAGCAGATTGTATCTGTCCCCATTTGCCTTGAAGGCATCCACTACAGGCTGGAAGAGACACCCTTTGATAATATAGCGATTGTAGAATTCATCTTTCAAAGACAAAACTCGTCGCATAAACCGCAAAGCACCTGAAATGAAAAATACACAAGTGAAAGTAAAAGAAAATCAAAAAATTAAAAATACCCAACACCAAAGCTAACTTCAGAGATGGCAATTACTAAAAGTGAATTACAAACAGAGTACGTTCAAATAGCCAGAAAGCATGTAAAAACAACAAATCTGTTTTAAAACTATACATCAAGATAACAAAACATGACCTTCAGTTCACAAGAAGAGGAATACTCACACAACGCAAGGAAAGCGTGTTTGGAATTCATAAGCACCAAAACTCTTCGCAGCAGATCCTTGTTTATTATGTAATTCTTGATGTGGTAAGTGTGGTGCTCCACACAGAAGGCCAGAAGCTCTAGGGTAAGTCCCAGCAGCTGAGCAGTGCGATAGTCATCTGAAAAATTTACACAATATAATGTATAACTAAAGAAACACATTGCAATTTTTGTGTTGGCTTGCAAGTCAAACAAATTCCTCCAAATTATTCCATGTGACGTGCCTGAAATAATATCAAGATTGCTCAATCCATTCTTTAACTATTGTTATGAAGCTCTCATGATATTCAAAATTTCATACTGCTTTCAATGTTTTCACCATATTTTCTTTAACAAACACCAGTTTTATGCACCTCATCCTAAAATAATAAGAGATACAAACCTCTGTTTGGTTTGTCACCAACTGTGTTTGCAAACAAGGGTGCAGTCATAACGTGCATACAATGCTTGTAAAAGAAACTAAGGAACTCTGTTTTCTCAGTTTTCTGAAATAAAATGAAAAAACTCTGTGAAAACAGACTTTCCTATATTGCAATTCAAACAATTTTACATTCTAAACAATGACAGACACAATTCTGATGAAATGCACAGTAACATATGAAAGTGAGAAATTCAAATTATCACAGCACAATGCTGAGGACATTTCTTTGCACATTCTCTGAAACTTTCCAATACAATTTGTTCTCGCCATCACTACCACTATTTTACTTTTACTAGTTCATCCTTCACCCATTTCCAAGCCTTACCTGAACACAAATATCAGTCTATTCAATAATAACTTACATTGGCAGTTGCCAGCATGTTTTCAGGATCAATCAGTAGTCTTATAATTCCAATTAACTGCACTGCTCCACCAAGTTCTGAAGGTAAACCTAACAAGTATTAATGGTTTGATACAAAATTATGAACTCATCCACATCAATATTTTGTCAAATATACTGTGGATGCTGTGGTCTTTCTTCGGGATATGGAAATCATAAATCAGGATTTGACAAACCAGTGCTTAATAATCAACAATAAATAGTTAAAAGACAGCAAGCACAAGAGCACTAACTCTCCCATGCAGTCAGTTTGTACATGGTGAACTTACCTGGATCTGGATCACTAACCATTTGTTCTATGACAAGATTGATCAGCAAGTCATCCTACAATGTAACCAATAAATATCTTTATAACAATGTTCAATGAAGCAAGACCTCTACCATCATCAAACAGCTGTTAGAATAATCATATTATAATGCCATAAACAAGATAAAAAACAATAAATGAAAAACAAACCAGTTTCCCCATTGCACATGTTGAGACTTTCACGACTACAATTTAAACCAAGCAGAGGATAAATGTTATAATACACAACAGAGTTTATCACCCAAAAAATTATCTCCAGAAATTAACAAATATGTATCAATTCAAAACCAACAGATTTCAACAAACCATAACATGTATGCACCACTCACAACAACCAAACTTTCTAATATGCTACATTTCTAAACTACGCAACATCTAGATTTTGTGGGTAATCATATTCACTTCACAAAATGGCTTGCTCACATCATCTTGTATCCGGCCTTCGTGCAGTATAAACTCTCGCACCATGGACGGACTGTACTCAACTATGAAGGAAAAAATGTCAATGGCAGCTGACTTCATCACTGGATCTTCAAGACCCTGAAATTGAAATAATATACTATCAGAAAATGTACATGCAGGAAAAATTTCTATTATTTCTGAAGAATTTAGTATAACTTTCAAATCTTTACCATCCCTTACTTGGCTATACAAAAAAGCATTTATTCAAAAACAGTGGTGACTAACTTCTTTTACTATTTTTCACATCCATTTCATTGGTTCAATAGTTTTTAGAACTGTACAAAATGCCTCAATTAAACTAGCCTCTCAAATAAATAAAAAATTTTCTAACACAGCAGGTCAAATAAAAATAGACTTACCAAAATAACTTCTAGTGCTGATAAAATACCTAAGTTTGAAAGAGCCTGCAAATAAAAGATAAAAGCAGGACGTTACCCAGAGCTCACAACTCATATTTTATTTATTTATTTATTTATTTATTTATTATTATTATTATTATTATTATTATTATTATTGTGTGTGTGTGGGGGGGGGGGAGGGGGGGGGTGAAACCAATGGAACTAACGATTAAGAATTTTTAGTCAACGGAAAAAATCAACTCACCTTAAAAAAGGAGTCCCTATTTTGCTGCTGCAAAGTCTGTGAAAATGTACAAAATTCCTTGAGAAATAAAACCAGATCTCCCCTCTTTTCATCATCTGTCTCTTCATCCCGTAACTGCTTGAACAGTGTCTCCAAAAAACGTTCATCATTCTGTAAGGCAGTAAGTACGATTTCTAATTGGCCTTCATTTGTCTTTGTTGGAAACAACATCAAATTTAGGAGAACTTTGTAAGAGGAGCATTTCATTAACCATCAATATGACTTACAAAATTTTACATCTAAATAATAATCATTAATAGAACAAATGGCATCAATGTGATGACTTTTGGTCATTTACAGAACTAACCTCTGAACCAAAGAACCAATATCTAACTGATCATTTATTTCTTTTTGGTGCCCAATGGCAATATATATATATATATCTTCATCTAAATGGTTCTACATTAAAAAAAAAACAAAAGGCTAGTCCAAAAAAGCTGACATTACAGAAAGTAAGAAGAACAAACACAATACAGTGGCATTTAGATATTTAAAAGACAAGAAGTTACTACCTGAATCATTCCAACAATTTCCACTTTGTTGAAAAAGATGAAAGAACCTAGTGTTGATAACATATTCTCCTCAAACACAGATGGGGTAGGCAATATGACATCTTGTATGTACTGCACTTTGTAAGTCTGATGGATCTTCTGAAGTAGCTCTTGGCTTGTAATGGGAATAACTTCCTTGAATTTTGCTGTTTTACTTAAGTACTCTCGATGTTTTGCAGGCTGAGGTAATGCTGGATCGTATTCCAAGACACCCACTATATCCATGATGACGTCGTCATTGAACATGATCTCAAACAGTGCGTTTTTGTTCAATAAAAATATACTTTTGAATATGTCATACAAATGATGAAGTCCTTCTAAATTTTCTAAATCTTCACACATGTGAAATAAGTCTATCAGCTTTTTGATGTAATTTTCATTTTCAATGGCAACAGCCAGTTTCTCTCTCCGTATAGGAGAGGGAAGAACACTTGTGAATAACTCTGATATCTCCTCTAAAGTTGATATTACACAAGGTGGTAACTCTATAGGTGGCGCTGCATCTGGAATCTCATCAAAATGTTCTTCTTCAGACTCCCCTTCCACAATATCTTGAGTGATATCAACAGAGGGATCTTTCCCTTGAACCTAGTTAAACAAAAAAGAGAAAAAACTAATTATGATGAAAATCATAGAATTTGTACTACATGTATGATTCAGGTAAGATTTGACCAATGGCTGTATAACTTACTAAACCAGATTTCACATAATTTGTTATTGGTCTCACCAAACTGAGATCTTTTAATATTTGCATACAAATTTTGGAGAATGTCCATTAAATTATGTAGAAAACATAAGTAATTTTTAACAAAAGACAATGACTATATGCACCACAACAATAGCTTACAGCCATATGACCAGTAAGCTAAACATAGTGTTCAACATAATGCATAAGTATATATCTGTGTGCATCACATGCTAAAGCCATCAAACTTCATTTCAAACAGTAGGCAATGCATACAGACATGAAGTTGTATATTAGCAATGAAAACCAGTAGTGTTAATCTCATCAAGTTATTCCAATTATCCACAGCATGCAACTTGGTTTTAACTTTCAACCAATCACACACTGTATGCACAGTTTTGAACCCACATATTTGCAACTTATCATTTCCGGGGAATTTCATTTCTCAAACAATCAATAAACCTATATCTAAAAAACAAGATTTTTTTTTTTTGAAATGAAGTTTGAAAGGTCACTTGGGAAATCAGAAAACTGGTCTCAGTAGGAAAAAACAAAATTACTTACAGAGACACGTTTACATTATGCAGTATACATTTATGCATATTGGGATTCATTAGAAATATTTCGAAAATTCCATTTTTTTTCACTTCCTTTTTAAAGGTGACCAACAAATTACTGCACCTGCTGCACATGGTTGAACAAATGTATATTGTTCCCTTTTTTCTTTTGTTTAAAGGTTTGAGCCAAATAAATCCCAATACAGATTACCGACACCATATATTATCACAGATTGAACAACATGCCAGGATCATTTCTGCAATTTGTTTGCAGAACTGTTACTATATCCATTTTCTTTCACAACTGAATGACTCTGGGTGAAAAAAAAGCAGGTTTTACAATTGCTTTACAACTGATGACTACATCCACCTACTCAAGGATTGGTAAAATGAGTGAAATACACAAAATCTATTTGATCCATGTGGGCATGCATCTATGATATGATATGATATGGCCTGTAGTTCACAGGTAAAGCTGGTGCACACATTACCTGTAAACTTCGTCGCCATGACAGAATATTTTGTGAGTGCTGAAGTTGGGTTTGCTGAAAATACAAACCATGGGTCATGACTGCTTATAAACTGCTTTCATTCCATATCTTTTCTCTCTTGTAAAACAAACTTTTTCTCACATAAATAATACATGGTAAAGGACGGATTCATCTTTTTTTAAATACAGTGTCCTAGCAATGTTGCAAATGTATTGTGGGCTCATAACTGTGCTTGGATCTCACTCTCAATATATAATAGTGATACAGCCAGATACACAAATTTGCATGGAGTGTTATATATGCTAACTTCAATAGAGCCTTAAAAGATCAAGACTTCTAAACTAGTCTATTTGCCAGTATATATATGGTATAATATAACCTAAAATAAACACTCTGATTTCAAATGACTAATAAAGCTCTGGCTTTTTCAAAATCAAATCAATACACATTCAATTGACACCATGTTAACAACAATAGGAAAGTATTTTCAGGGAGTGTCATGGTTTGGAAGTACAGATCAATGGTCATCAGTATAGGCAACATAATATATCTGTAATGGACACTGTTTTATTGGTCAACCTACACCATGCAGAATCAATATAAGCTGCTGGATAATATTACAAAAAATTTAATTCAACAAGCATCTAGGTGAAACTTGCATTGGATTGTGGCAGTCCTGAATAGTTTTTTCAATAAAATGGTTTTAACCTTAAAGCAGAACATTTTTGTTTATTTATTGATTTTCATCAAAGGCTTTTATAAAACTGTCAATGAAGAAACAATCAAGACAGAGAAAATTGGCGAATCTGTACTTATAAATGTTACTCCTTCTATTCTATATTTGAAGAATTATATCCTTCATACATTTAAAAAATTCAGTAGGCAATTAGGTGCTTACTGCCACAAAAGATCAATTCAATAACAGTGGACACTCATTTCCTATAGTGCACCACCAACTTAGTCATCTCATTTTCATTTTATACATACAGTATTTACATTGTCAGGCATCAAAATATAAGTCATATGGAGGTTTTGTTTCCAGTTACGTATCTTTAACAAGACAAATAGTCCAACTTGTCATGTCACATTCATGACATTAAATCCTCAAGGAGCTGATGAAAATCTCTTTATATCATATAAAAGCTGAAGTAGAAAGTCTTTGTTCAGTCTAAACAGCATGTGGGACTTTTTTTTTATCTTTCAATATTGTAAAATTTACTTTTTTAAAACAAAATGAAAACTTTAAGATCCACACTCATATCAGACTGAATGGTACTTACAGTATGCATCTGTGACCTTACAGTACTCATGTGGTGTCACAACAATATGCCCATTTATGCCAATAGATGGTGGGCATAAAAAGCTCAACATGAAATGGGAACACAGCCTAATCTATACAACATGCAAACATATTGACCCCACCTGGCAAATCTTCTCCCAGATTTCATCACATCCAGCTTTCTCTTGAAAGCTGAGTGCCAAGTCATAGTTCTCTCCTTCAGACCACACAATCAGGGTTTCCTAAAATATCAAAATTGTTTCTTAATGATCCTACAAATCAGCCTTTATATAAGTACTGTAAACAACATATAAAGCAGCATATATGTATTATTTAAACCTATAAGGGCCTGTGGTATACATATTTATGAAATAAAAGGTGTAAAACTAAAAATCCTTCACCAATTTTGTATTTTTTCCCATATTAAAATTTAATGACCGGCAGAAATTCCGAGTTGTCACTTAACAATTCACAACCATCTTCTTTTATGTTTTAAAATATTTATTTTTTCATTATTTGTTTATTCTACTCTTTTTATAATATATTTCCCAGCAAAACACATTATTTTCAATCAGACTAGTAAAATTTAATAATTTCCTTAAGAACATGCTCATGGTATGTTCATTAGGCACGTTATGTATTGGTTGAAAAATATACCAAGAAACAATTTTTCAAATTTCAATCTGAAGTATGGTGGCAAAGAAGACATCATCTGGGGAAGAGTATCTATGCAATTCAGTGAGTCAAAACTTTGGAGTATGTAAATTTATTTCCTGCTTACTAGTGACTTCAATTAAAAAAAATTCTTTATGGAAATACATAAGAAAAAAACTTGAATTTATGTATTATTCTCACCTGCTGTTTTTGGTAAGCTGTATCTGGAAGTATTTTTGATTCCAGCAATAACGATCCTGCAGAAAAAAATAATATATTAAAAATAAGATGGCAGTGAACAACAATGAATATAATAAAAAATTAATAATATCTTCAGTTCACACTATTCCAGTGTTCATATAAATATTAATTTGCCTACCTATATTAATTCTTTAACAGGAAACATATCAAAAAATAAACCTTTAAATCTTATTCTACACAAATTTGACTTTGTCCAGCCATTTTATGAATTTTTTCCTCTCTCTCTTTGAAAGTGTGTGCTCGTGTCGATTTCTATAGATCAATGTTTAATGATTACAGTGTAATAGATAAATGTTGCAGGGGGGCGGGGGGGGGGGGAAGAAGGCAAAAAAGCCTTTGTATTTCTTAATTGGATGTTCAAACAAACACCTTGTTAACAAGGTATGTCATATTCCCTGCTCCATCTCATGATCTGTCCTTCTGACATCAATTTCCAAATCTTGTTGCATGCTTAAGATTCCTACTTCATGGCTTCCTTATCTGCATAGGGCTTTTAAGTAACTTAAAATTAAAACTACATCCACTAGGACACCTTTGAGATCCATATAGTAAGTTTTTTATGTCAAATTACTGCCACAAAATCCGACCAAATGTCACTATACTGTAATGTTTCAGTTCTATTACATTATTTCCAGAAAAATGATATTTGCTCAGGTATTTTCAAATTTTTTTCTGTGCCTTACTGACAATGGCATGAGGAAAAAATAGCTCAAATAATATATACAACCAGAAATTTGAAAACTTTAAAAATTTTAACTTTTAAAGCATTTTAACTTAAAAAGCTTTTTCTTCTGCATGATTAATTAATTTTGGTTGGCATTTTGGCATGTAGACTTAATGTATGCGGTGTAAGAAGTTGGTACTAATAAACTATATATATTTAATTAGATGTTAAGTATGTGTCCATGTCCTGTAGATTTACATGTTTGTAGCTTGAGTTGTATATTTAACCACTGTGATTGTATCTTGTATTCAAAGGTTGAGATCAATAAACATTTGTCGCATATATACGTTATAGGGTTTTTACTCTCCCTTCCAATATATTTTCATTTTGTGATCTATTGTAAATGCACTGAGACTTAGTATTTGTAGTACCGCACATAACAATCAGACTTCACTTTTTTACTGCCCCTTAGACTATGAGGATTAATCAATATACCAATCAAATGTGCACAAGAAGGTGTCATCTACAAAAAGTCTTGCATCCCTTTAAGTATCTCATAATTGGACATGAAGCCATTGTGAAGTCTAAAAATATACTTGCATTGTAGGAAAGCCTTACAATCAGCTCTGTACTGAGAAACATGTTCATATTGTTATACGTCTTTTTAACCTGTCAACTTGTGTTGATCGAAGCATAGGAAGCAAATTTGGCAAAAACCCAAAATAAATTATGTATCTTACCATCGGTTTCTGATAGCACCAAAAGAGACATTCCTTTTAACCGTTCGACATAGGCATACGAGACATGACCGGTCCCTCGATCATCCCATGTTCTGTTCTCATTCAACATGTACAGCTTCACTCGCCGTCTCGTACTCGTACCCGTATCTGCCGCCATTTTATTGCTTTATTGTAGCACAAAGCCCAATATTTCTCTCCCGTGCCTACTCTTCATCTCATCTCAGGGACTCGGCAGCAATCATTTTCCCTGTAAATAATCATGAAATTAAGCCTCTCCAAAATGTTTACTAAATCTAGGATGTCACAGTAAGCAAGAGACTGACGTCAACTACGTCTACAGACGGGTAGCATACCAACAAACACCAATGCCGATCTCCTGTATCTTACCATCAAGGTGATATTGCAGAATCAAAAATTATTCTCAGCAAAAGTATTTAAAGAATTCCTATAACCTAAACGATATGTACACATGGACGAAGCAAGAGGCATAACAGACGACTTACCGTCTACTCTCCTGAAACAACCATACCGATTTCGTAGGCCGCCATCTTGAATTCTCAAACAGGTGTGCGGGGTTCACATAAACGTTTCGCATGGAGTTCAGCGGAAACTACAAATTTCGGAAGCGCTGTGCAGTGGCATAGTCTTGTTTTCAGCAAACAAAATATGTAAAAAGATTTTTTTCCGTTATTTTTCATTTTACCTATCATTATCATGTTGTTTCCCCACATCAATGACAAAGCGTAAAAGAGAAAAATGCCCTTTAATGTCTTTAATATATTACGTAAGGTAAAGCCTAGCCTACTAGGCCTAACTAGTAGGGCCTACATCTACCCCTTTTCCAGAGTGAAATATTGTCAGCATAGGCCTATACGCAGCAGCTGACATGAGCTGACTTAGGCCGAGTCAGCCGCCAATATAATTAAGTAGAGGCCGTCGACCTATCAAGCCTAATACAGACTAAAAGCCTATGCTTGGACCTCAGCTTACATGTAGGCTACGCCCCTATGTACATGTACATGTAGGCCCTATATCAGTAGGCCTAAACTCATTGCGCCAGGCCTGCTTATTTTGGACATCCCATAAGCTTTGCGACAATGCATATATATAGGCCAGATATACTTTTTTAAAACTAATATATATATAGGTCTAAAATTATGAAAAACTAATAGATGTAGGCCTATGTTTACCCAAATAGGCCTAGGCCTATTCTTTAAATAAAAAGAATTTTTAATTCTCTTTAAAAACAATGATAAAAGCCATAAAAAGACACATTTGATTTGTTAATAAAATTCGGAACTCTAAATTGGCGCATCAGTCTCAAAAATCCCGTGGGCTGTGACCATATGTTTAAATGTCTTTTTGTAGGCTATCATTTCGCTTAAGTTGAAACGGAGCACTGGATCGAAGAGTTCCATCTAATAAAGTGTAAAGTTCCATAATATGGGCCTACTTGTTTAAAATGGACAGGAAAATGGACAGTCGCCCTTTAAAATTATAAGACTGCATTCCCACAAATTTAGATCGATCAAGAATAATATTTTAGCCTATTCTTTGAGACACTATTTGGCCTATTCTTTGAGACACTGTTTGGCAATGAAAATCGTGGAGAACTGGGTAGGGCCTATGATGTGGTCGGACTTATGAGTTTTACGGAGAAGACGAGTGGCTGCATTCTGAATAGACTGTAGTTTTTCCATTTGATAGTCAGGTATTCCAAACGAGGTTACTGCAATAATCAAGTACACAATGTAGAAGTCACAGATGTATGGTTGAATAGCTCTGTCTGCTTGCTGTTGATCAATCATAAGATGAAGAATCTTAGATATTCGTTGCAGATTAAAGTGGGATAATTTACAAACTCTTTTTATGTGTGATGCCATCCAGGTTTCTTTCTTTTGTGCTTGGCTTGATAACAGGGCCTCCAAAATCCTATTTACAGCCTAGCCGTATTTATAGGCCTACGAACGGTAGGCCTTCATGTAGTAGACCTACTAGTCCGGAAGGTACAAACGTAAGGCCTACAGTCAATTTTTGCCCTAAACCCCCCCCCCTACTCCAACTACCCCTGTCGCTCAAAATCTGCATTTGTGATGTGGCAACATAGTCCCAGACCTAAACATTCCGTTTCTCATGGCTTGTGAACACGCGATTTCATTGAAAGGATTTATGTCACCTCATTTATGTAGCCTTACACCTCTTAATTCCATTTTCAAGACTGCACCCTTATAATTTTCAATTTACCAAACTTGTAGGGGCCTATCCCAAAACGGCCTAAACCCGCTTTTTTATAATAGGGTCCCCTTGGGAGAGGGGGGGGGGGGTAGTGATCACAGTTCACGGGAAGGGAAGTAAAATCATCAATTCACAAACCACAGTAAATCATGGTAAATAAAACTTTATTCAAATATCTCACTGACGCGTGTCGAAAATCCTGAAAAAAAAATCCCCACGAATCGGTAGGGCCTACATGTAGGCCTAGGCCTATTTATATTGATGACTTGGTTTCACGAAGGGCGGAGAATGAAAACTGCATTCACAAATTACGTAACCTTGATAAATCCATTAATCTAAAGAAAATCATAAAACGCCTTCAGAATACCACACTAGCCTACCAGAACGGGAAAAAAATCAAGGTGACGGCCGTGAGAGACGGTCATTTAGTGTATTCAGAAAAGTAAAAACATCCATGTAGCTAATATTAGATACGGATCCTTTACACTTTTATAAACATGTAGCTAAATGACGTATGAAAGCAGACTCTAAAGCACCTAAGGAGATTTTAAAAAGCGTAGGCCTACCAGAAAGATTCACTTTTCTTGAAAATTTTGGGAGTTCAATCCACCCCTACAGAATGGGTAAACGAAAAAAAAATGGGAATATGAGAAAAATATACCAATTACAAAAGCATTGGTGAACTTTAAAGTTAGACTTGATAAATTAAACTGCTTTACATAGATTCTATCACAGAAACCACAATAATTAGCCTTCAAAAATTATGGACCGAGGCCCATGTCAGTTTCCCCAGTAAATTAATATAGACTCCTCCCCCTCAATCCTAGCGTCATCCCTTTCATGATCAAGGCATTTGACTCACAAAATACAGAAGTAAATAGGACCTACAGGTCATTTTAAAATATTGACACTGAAGTATAAAATCAGCGTTTTAAACGATTCGTGTTTTAAAGACCATTAAGCCCTCGCTGTTTGTTTTAGTCGGGTTTTCTCAATGCACCGAAAGGTCACATGACTGATCACATGACTTAATAGAATGGCTGCAAAGGCTGGGGGACAAGTTGCAGGTGGCCTGCTGCAAGTGAGCGCACGATCCATTTACTGCAATATCTCTACCTTAAGGCATATAAGCTCATGTCAACAAAGAAAATCACCAGCCCCTTCGGCATCTGCATCTCCTCTTAACAGATACGCAGAGAAGGTAAGGATCGTGAATGACCCCACAAGTCACGTCTCTGCGAACTTTACTGTTCAGTGTTTGTACCTGTAATTACAGTATGACGTTGCAGTCGAGTTCGCACAGACGTTTGCATATCACACAGATTGAAGTAGTGCCCGTAGGTTCTGCTTCGTTTACCTTAACACAACTGAGTGTCTGAGATTGCTTCACTATTTACTTCTAATACATTCAACGAGCTCTGGGTGCACATTCTGCAGGGATGTGTTTATCTGTGACTGGGGATTAGGAAGATGACTAGGCTATTTTCTTAATCCAACATGTTTACATTGTTTTTAGAGTGCATGTTAATATATATATATATATATATATATATATATATATATATATATATATTTAAAAGTTTATTCCAAGAGCTCTCCATTACACATATTATTATGTTCTGCATTGTATAGATATTGACATAACTGATTGTGTTTTAATTTCAGGCTGATTTCCACATATTCTAACCTTGCATTAATTGGGTAATTTTGAGTGAAATTGGTCTAATTAAAGAGAAAAGCTAAACCAACTGCAAAAATGTGTACTCCAACAATTTATTTAATTTATTGTAAAAGATACTGAATATGAAACAACATTCGGTATTTTGTTTACAATTCAGATATTTTCTGTTTACTCTTTATATCATTCAGAGGCAGCCTAGCCACTTCCAGGGAAAGGATGTTCTACCATTTTCCGAGTTTCTCACTGACTCTTTTGGCCGACAGCACACATATTTGAGGATTTCACTGACTGAGAGATGCAATCTGAGATGTAATTATGCTATATAAATCAATGTGCTAAAATGTTATATTAATGTTCTGCAACAAATCATTTAAAAGGGATTGTTGTAATACACTGCATCTCTTGAAAATAAAAATAAATATCCCAAATAGCTAGCATATAAACATGGAAATAGGAGTTACAGAGAAGAATTTTTCATTTAAATGAGGTGAAAAGATGACTGCCAGGTGAATTACAGTATCATCATATTTTTTTCTGATTTCTATATAATTTCCTATATTTCTAGGTCAATACTGTATGCCAGAGGAGGGAGTGGATTTAACCCCCAAGAATAAACTCCTGTCCACAGAAGAGATAATAACCCTTAGTAGGCTATTCGTAAAGGAGGGGATTGAAAAAATCAGACTAACAGGAGGAGAGCCACTCATCCGGAAAGATTTGTTAGATATAATAGGTACAGTTAGAAATATGATATATATCTATTTGTATAGTAACTAATGTGATATGCAGGTAAGATTAATGCTTCAGTGAATAGAATTGAAATGAAGACAAAAGCAACACTGTTAATTTTGTTTTTTTAGTTTCTCATATAACAGTATGTGTGAAGAACAAAAGAGCCAGACATGGGGGAACTCACAATCAGACACATTGTGTAGTACATAGATATGGGCTAGACCATGTCTGAGGCTTTTGTTATTTTCATCTGCCATATTAAGCTCAGACACACTAATTCTGTCAGTATGGCGTATGTGACATATGCTCATGCTTTGCACTGGTGTATGTCACATTCAGTCTTGATGTTTTGTGATTGATCTACAGTATTGCTTACTATGCTCAGACTTATCATAGTTAGATCTTTGCTTCATGTATTGTTGTCTGGTGCACATGGATATCATTTTCTGATCACTCCTCTTTGTCCATTTTTAGGTGCATTACATACTTTGAGAAGTGCTGGTTTACAGAAAATATCAATAACAACAAATGCGTTGACATTGTCCAAGAAATTACAACAGCTAAAGACTGCTGGACTTGATCAAATTAATATCAGTCTAGACACACTTCTTCCTGCCAAGTTTGAATTTATCACTAGAAGAAAAGGATGGAATAAGGTGATTGAGGGCATTGATGCAGCTCTTGAGGAAGAAATGCATCCTGTAAAGGTAAGTTTCCAGTCTTTTATTTATTTATTTATTTTCTCACTCTTGTTTAATTTATTTATTTTCTTGCTCATTTATTTATGATAAAAATATAAGGAAACTCTGAATGTAATGTTTATAATGACTTTTATATCTGAACAGGTAAACTGTGTAGTGATGAGAGGGATCAATGAAGAGGAAATCTGTGATTTTGTACAGTGGACCCAAGACAAGGTACCTCTGATCACAATTTATGATACAAAATAAGAGCATTGAATTTTTCTAAGACTAGCCAATTTACTCACAGATTTAGATAATTTTAAGGATATTTTTGATAAATGTGTCAATTGAGTGTTCTGTTTAGTCAGAGTTGCCGAAGTGATCATAGATCACTTAAAATATACATTTGTAGTTTATTGTGCTTCATGTTTGTATAACATTTGAGAGACAAGACAGTGTGGGGAAAATGATAGTTAAAGATCCATGAAATATGTGTGAATTTTACAACTAAGACTTATTAAAAGAAGAAAAATGCAAACATTACCTAAACCTTTAAAGATGCATACAAAGTCAATTTTTTTGTCACAAAAACCAACCAAATGCCAGCATATAGTTTCAAGTAGTATAACTAAGAGAATTACCAAAAGGCATTGTTTAATTTTACCCGAAAATGATGTTTGAACAGATTTTTCTGCTGGCATTCTAAGCTGTATGTCAATGGGGCAGGAAAGTAGGTCACGGAAGTAGGTTAAATTTACAACCAAAAATTTAAAGAAAGGAGCAGTCTAAAGGTCTTTTATGGCTGATCGAGTGGTCTATTCAGGTTAACCCTTGGCATGTCGAATTTATTTGAGTCATATAAGAATCTAGTAGAAGTGGTTTACATGTGTTACTGGGAATCCACGCTCCACCGATGCTCGGTTCGTATGTACCTTTAAGACTTATTAAAGTTATAGCTAGTTCCAACCAGAAAGCATATTTCACTTGACTTTAAAAGTTTATTGATGATAATGATGATGGATGTATATATAATATGTATGTTATATATTTATTTATAGGCAATTGATGTACGGTTCATTGAATATATGCCATTTGATGGGAATAAGTGGAATTCTAAGAAGATGGTTCCATATCAAGAAATGTTAGGCATCATCAGAGCTAGGTGGCCAGACCTGGAGAGATTGAGTGATGAAGTCTCTGATACTTCCAAGGTAAGTTGTCTTTATAGTAATTTATATGTGATATTGTTTGTGTTTGGTGTGTTCTTTTTGTTAAAGGTGTGTGTGACTACTGCATGCTTCCTATCTTCAGTATTTATTTTGAAAATATATGCTTATGAAAAAGCATAATATTCATTCACAGTTCATATAAAAGTGATGGTAATGGTTTTCTTATATTAAATTTTTTTTAAATGAGTTAGCACTGCTCATTTGTCTCTACAGATTTGGTCTTGCAATTTTTTGACATTTATCATTCAACTGCTTTAGTGTTAGTTAGTGTATGTCTTTGAAAATTGCATATGGAATTAACTAACTTTTTTTTGCATGGCCTGGTTTGAAATGTCCAGTGGCGTTTTATTTTGATAAAAAAAAACTATTTCAGGCTTATCGGGTCCCAGGTTTTGCTGGTCAGATCGGCTTCATTACCTCAATGAGTGATAATTTTTGTGGAGGATGCAATAGGGTCAGAATTACTGCTGATGGCAATTTAAAGGTAAGTTTAATGCAGTTAATATCCAAAAGTATCTGATTACTCCATTGTTGTTAACAATGTCAGGATAAGAAGGAATACATAACATTATAGATAATCATGAAAATTTAATTGCACAATCAACAGTGATAATGAAACATGGGCTAACTTGTATTATGGCAAAGACGTATCTAAATTAACTGAGCAAGAAGTTTTTAAATGTCTGAGGTGTTAAGCGAGTGATACTATGATGATTTCCTCCCTTGCTGCCTTGCCCACCCCAGGTATGTTTATTTGGAAATGCTGAGGTGTCCCTGAGGGATGCCCTGAGATCAGGCACATCTGAGCCAGAACTCTTGGAAATAATTGGAGCTGCAGTGAAGAGAAAGAAGAAGCAACATGCAGGTAAAAAAAGAAGAGCATGTCACTGCATGTGTTATTTTTTTCTTCTTCATTTTTGCCCCTTTAACATGCTGGAGAACTGAAGTAAAATTTTGAGGTCAGGCATTGGATTGAAAATTGTGTTGAAAGAAAAGTAGAAATATGTGAAAGTGAAGAAAAAAAACTCTGGTTGAATTTTTTTCAACATTTTCTATTATGTGCTGCTGTTTCATATTTTCAGGCATGTTGTCCCTAGCAAAAATGAAGAACAGACCAATGATTTTGATTGGTGGGTGAATACTCATTTTATTTTTCACGTATGTATATATTCATCACAATACAAAAACAACTTGTGGCATACATGTACATGTATATATAGAAATGCAATGCAAGACATTAATATTTGAATCATCATTTCCTTCTTATTCCCTGTTTATATATTTATATAACTGAAATTGGAAATGAATAAAATCATTGCCGTTCTCAGAAAGGTTTTATTTTATACAGAAAGACATTGGCAAAAGGCCATTCCATAGTTTTATGTTTGTTACAAAATGTAGAAAAAATGAATCTTGGCAGCTATTAAGTAGTGTAAATATGCACAAACTTTTAATGATGACAGTAGTGATAGTTGCCTACTATATATATGCTAACTTATAAGGTAAAAAAAATTCTATCATCACATCTTGATTAAAATGAAAAGTGCTTATCGTAACAGAGAGAAACAGGAAAAGTTCATGATATTTAAGAAGAAACATCTTTGAAGTATGCCAATCTGTTATTATCTTCACATTACTCTAGTTTTCTAAATTCAAAAGGGACTTAAACTCATCGTTCATTATTTTTTATCATGAATGAGATTAATCTTTATAAGCCTCTGTGAAGAGTTACGGTGGTATAATTAAAGAGGGAACAATCAGCTTTAAGTACTTTTAGTCTAACCTCATTGGAAAATGACTAGGGATTCTGAATTTTTTGTTGCGAATTGAATTGATAGTTTGTGGCTAGTAAATATTTATTAAGTTTTAATTTTTGATTTGAAATAAGTTTTATTGATGTAGGAGTAAGAAAATATGCAAATAATGATGATGGGTTAAGTTCAATATTTCCCTGTACTTGACTAATTATTTATTTGCTCATCCAAAATATATTGTGGACTAGTCAAATATTGATTATTCATTGAATATATATATTTTTTACAGATAACAAACACCAAACTGTGATGCCAAAATTTACTGCAAAATACGCACAGTGTCATTTTAAGAGTGCTACTGAAGGCATGAAGAGTCCCATGTATAACATTAAACACTGTTCATTACCTGGACAGGGATTTGTATTTTATTCACAGAATTCTTATATGCAAACCCAGTATGATGGTGTTTCTTGTCGACATTACTCAAAGAAAACAAGTGACATCAGTGGGGACAAGGAGCACCATCAGAATACCAAAGAGAAAGATCAACAGAAGCAATATACAAATTTAGAAAGTGACTGTGTGACTGACATTGACACCATGAAGTACTGGGGGAGTGATTACTATACTTTTGTTAACACAAATAATCAAAAGAAATTAAAAGGTGCTGACAGTGGAATGAACCCTCCACTTGCATTTGTCCAAAATAATAATCCACCCAAGTATCCAGATGTTGATACCACATACAGTGAACATTACAACAAGATTTCCCAGCTGCCATCAGAAATTGATGTCCCTGAATTGACCCACATTGATATGGAGGGCAAGGCACAGATGGTGTCTGTTGGACACAAGAAGAACACACTGAGAACAGCCACAGCATCAGGTGTAATCACAGTGGGAAAAGAAGTGTTCCACCTCATAGAATCCAACCAGGTGAAAAAGGGCGATGTGTTGACTGTGGCAAAACTAGCTGGGATCATGGGTGCAAAACAGTGTTCAAACTTAATCCCACTGTGCCACAACATTCCTTTGAATTCCATTGAGGTAGAGCTCAGTTTGGATGCAGTCTCTCACAGTATTCTCATTGAGGCAACTGTTTCCTCTTCTGGAAAAACTGGTGTTGAGATGGAGGCTCTCACTGGAGTCACTATTGCTGCCCTGACTGTGTATGATATGTGTAAGGCTGTCACGCACAAGATGGTCATCCATGACATCAAATTATTGTCTAAATCTGGTGGTCAGAGGGGAGACTATAAATATAAGTAATACTGCTGTGATGAACTGTGAAACAGAAAATTTAAAAAAAAAACAATATCATGTGTTGACAACGATCAGGTAGACAGGGAAAAGTAAATAGTTCAAATATTAGTAAAATTGTTATACTGAAAAAAGATTAAAGAATGTTAATTGTTGATAAAGTCGGTGAGACAGGGGAATGAGAGTAAACTTTTAGCATTGAAAGAGTGTTTCAAATATTTGACATGTTTTTAAAAAGCTATTTTTATAAGTTAAATGTTAAATTAAGTTTTTAAAGGATCTATTTTGGTTCCATTATGGTGTTGTTCAGCATGGGTATGTCAGAAAAATGCTTTAATTGGGTAATGTTTACGTCTTCCTGGTGACTTGTCATTTTATTGATAAAAATCTAAAAGTAATATCATGTTATACATTACTTATTTGAAATTGTTTTGTAAAAAAATTTAAGTCGAAACCTCTGGTAAAAAATTGTTTTTGATAGATGTAATTGATTTTGATATTAGTTGACATTGGAATGTCAAATGAATTTTTAAAATTTTGTTTATAGTTATTTTACAATATTCAGAAGCTGGTATAATAAAGAGATTTTCAAAATTGTATTTATATTTTATTAAAAAAGAGATTCTGTGTGTTATTGGTTGTGGGTTAATATGGAATTGCTTATGATGGAATCAGTGAAATTGATTGACTTAACCGATATTACTCTCTTTTGTATTTAAGCTATCAGTGAGTTAATGGAAATTGTGCTATGGGCAAACAATAAGAAAGTGACAACAATATTGTTATTAAACTGGGCATTTAGATACCATGGTCAAAGAAATGGTTCATTTGATTGATGATCATCAGTCTCAAATTCTCTGCCAGTGACTGTAATTACATGTATTACTAGTAGTATCTCAGATGCATTTTTAAATTATTTTAGTAATGGGATTTATTACTCCTTCAAAATTGCTTTGTGAGTGAAAGATGAAACTGGGAAAGATGGGTTCCTTTGCAAAAGTGGTCTTAAGAGTATTTTAATACAATGTTTTGGGATTTTTTGTATGAAGTGACGGATGGTAGAAGGTGAAAAATGGTTTGACACCCATCGGGGACAAATTCAAATTCCACAAACTTCTACTTTGGTAGATTTTAAAGATTTAAGTGATATCAGACACTGTTTCAGCTATCTTCCTTTTTTATTTTGATTTATTTTTAGAAACTGTGCTTGTAAATGATTAATTATTTATAGGTTGTGAAAACTGTCCGTATTTTAGCTGTTAACGAAGTGTATTAATAGGAAAATTGGGTTTCCATTATCAATTTCATTAATAAACAGTAAACAAAGCACTTATTGTTTCCTTTTATTTAGTTATTCAAATTTCATAATTCAACAGTTCGAGCTTGGTTACACTGTAACATGCATGGATTCTATAAACTGCGCATATAGATTTTCACGGATGACATTTGTAGCCCAGAGAATTATGTAAACAAAGCTAATTATATGCAATTTATTTATGCGTAATTTTCCCCGTGACATTTCTTCTACAATAGTTAGAACCCCTACATGGGCCCCAGGGTTTCTTCGGTGGCAATGTTGAATAGAATTATGTAAATCATTCATAAATGCTATACAGTAATAAACAATAACTAACGATATTCGCTATACTCCAAATGATAAACCAAAATGTCACTGATGCTGAATATTGCCGTCGTTTGCAAATTTCTTATTGGCTTGATATTGCGATACATTTATCTCCTGTCTGTTGTGGTTTGAATTCGTAGTACTTAAGTCGTAGTTTGAATCGGGACAGCGCTTTTAAGTTACACGGCGAGAATGTGGAGTGTCCTCTGCACAGTTATGTTTTTATCTGCTATCCAAATGCAGCTTAGCGTTGGTAGGTGAATATTTATGCTTTGGAAGAATTTCTGGGATTGGAATTAGCATGATAAAATCCATTCGCTATATACATTTTGATGAAAATTAGAAATAAGTAGTGTTAACATTGGGACCATTCCCAGACCCTACTAACTGTGGATCGAACTATTTCCGAGGGGATTCTCGCTAAATTGCAATCAACTTAAGCGGCTTAGACGTCTGTCACGCCTACTGAAGCTGCTACGGGGTATTTAATTATCGTTTAGCAGCTTTAGTAGGCGTGCCAGACATCTAAGCCGCCTAATATAAGCTGAAAGCGAGAAAACCCCTCGGAAATGGATCGGTCCTGTTAGATCGATCTAGGTATGGGAACAGTTCTTACGAACGCAGTTTAAGAAAGTTCACCTTTAAAATTTTTTTACTATCTAATTGAAACACCATTAAGGATCCACAGCAGACTACGGTTTCTACCAACATGAAGGCATTTGTGTGTTTTCTAATCCAAGAAGTGAGGCTTATTCTGAAGCAGAAGGTATTTGCCATGCCTTGGATATGGAAATGTTCAGAATGGACTCGGTTGAGATGAACGACTTGTTCTTCGAAACGGTGAATAGCACCGAGCTTACGTAAGTCTTTGGTTAGAGTTAAAATACCATATTTTATCGAAACGACAAAAAATGGAGGCAGATTAAAATTTAGCTTCAAAGTTAAATATTTTCACACACAAAAAAAAAAAAAAAAAAAAAAAAAAAAAAAAAAAAAAAAAAAAAAAAAAAAAAAAAAAAAAAAAAAAAAAAAAAAAAAAAAAAAAAAAAAAAAAAAAAAAAAAAAAAAAAAAAAAAAAAAAAAAAAAAAAAAAAAAAAAAAAAAAAAAAAAAAAAAAAAAAAAAAAAAAAAAAAAAAAAAAAAAAAAAAAAAAAAAAAAAAAAAAAAAAAAAAAAAAAAAAAAAAAAAAAAAAAAAAAAAAAAAAAAAAAAAAAAAAAAAAAAAAAAAAAAAAAAAAAAAAAAAAAAAAAAAAAAAAAAAAAAAAAAAAAAAAAAAAAAAAAAAAAAAAAAAAAAAAAAAAAAAAAAAAAAAAAAAAAAAAAAAAAAAAAAAAAAAAAAAAAAAAAAAAAAAAAAAAAAAAAAAAAAAAAAAAAAAAAAAAAAAAAAAAAAAAAAAAAAAAAAAAAAAAAAAAAAAAAAAAAAAAAAAAAAAAAAAAAAAAAAAAAAAAAAAAAAAAAAAAAAAAAAAAAAAAAAAAAAAAAAAAAAAAAAAAAAAAAAAAAAAAAAAAAAAAAAAAAAAAAAAAAAAAAAAAAAAAAAAAAAAAAAAAAAAAAAAAAAAAAAAAAAAAAAAAAAAAAAAAAAAAAAAAAAAAAAAAAAAAAAAAAAAAAAAAAAAAAAAAAAAAAAAAAAAAAAAAAAAAAAAAAAAAAAAAAAAAAAAAAAAAAAAAAAAAAAAAAAAAAAAAAAAAAAAAAAAAAAAAAAAAAAAAAAAAAAAAAAAAAAAAAAAAAAAAACGACTTAAAACATGCATAAATGAGATATTCGCGGCATTGCCTTGGATTGTGTAAATCAATTTGAATTTAAACATTTACAGGTATAATTCTACCTACTGGATAGGACTGTACAGCAAGGAATGGGGGACAGGTAAGTCACCGACGTGGGTATGGAGTGCTGGCAACGAAACTTTGGCGGGAGATGCTTGGACAAACTGGAGTAACTCTACAAATGGCGGCACTATATATTATGGGCCGGGTGACAAGTGTGTGGCACTGGACGAGGAAGGGAAGTGGATTGTTAAGGACTGCGGACAGTTTTCATATTTCTTATGTACCAGAGGTGAGTAAAAAAAACCGTCAACAGGTTTAAAAGCTTGAATGTTAAAAGACACAGGGAGGGCGAGAATGGCATATTATTATTATTATTATTATTATTATACGTGCAACAAACTTTTTACATCCGGCATAATTCATTAACTTCTTAATTTTTATATTGAAATAAGCCCCCAGCGCTATACACGACAATTACCCGTTTTGTCCGTGTGGCTATCACCAGTGGAGCGACTCCTGCTATCACGTCTCTGAGACGAGGACGAGATTCGAAGAGGCAAATTTGATTTGTGAGGCAGAGGGTGGCCATCTAGTCACCATCAATTCATATTTAGAAAACCACATGGTGCAGTATTTTTCAAGGTGAAATTTCACAAATATATATGAATGTTCAGATATATTATAGCCAATTACTCTCACTGGCTTCTTTCGTGATAAGTTTGATTTTTTTGGATGCGGATGTACTGTTTTTTGTTTTTTTGTTAATATTATTATTAGTAGTAGTAGACGTAATGTTTATTTATTTATTTTATTTTTCTTTGCTATATTTTGAGCATACATGTGCAACTTTCGTTTTTCAAAGGAGTTGCAATGTATTGCCTCTCTGTCCTCAGTTTGACAATTCCGGGCGACCAATGGACTTCCATATACTGGATTGGCTTTGCACAGCTGACACCTACCGCACAGTGGGGTTGGGTAGATGCGAGTCCAGTTGATTGGACCATGTGGGATCAAGCACAACCTATAGTGGCCGCTACAGTAGCGGACTGTGCTGCTGGAGCAGTAGGACAGAGTGGCCTTTGGGAGGCGTACCACTGCTGGCAGTACTTCCGTTTTATCTGCGAAAAAGCTGTCATCGGTATAAGATATCATGTCTTTCATTGGCCCTTTTGGTTTACCACCTTCTCAGCCAAGTTTTGCCACTCTGTATTCTTCTTTTTTTCTTTGTGAAGTATTTTCCCACAGGGGCCTTAGTATAGTTGACACTGTATATCTTTTGTTTGCTTGTTTGTTTGTTTTTACAATTTCTGTTCTATTTTGACCCCGTGTATGCTAAACCGCAATCTTTTACTTATTGCGATTTTACTATATCTTAGCACTTCTCGGTGTAATTCATGTTGCACTGAACACAATTTATTATCTTTAATTATTCGTAATATATATTGTAAATCACAGGCCTTTTTGTCATTATAAGAAGAAACTCTGATCCAGGAGCAATAAAATATGAAATTCTAAATAAGGTGTATTGCAATAAAACAGTATATTTAAGCGGTAACTGGCAGGAAAGACTGTCAATTAGTGTGGTCCGGCGATGTTGAGAAAACTGTAATCTTTAAGACATATTGGCTAAAAAATGGAAACCCATGTGTATTATTTAAGATACATTGTTTAGCATATTCAATACCTCCAAAAAACTCATGAATATACATTAATCGATGCAATGTATCTAAGATATCGTTTTCATGTGCTTTGAAAAGGAAACTACTATAACTCATCAAATACCAGCGAAACTTCAAACGAAATACAAAGCACAAACCCTGTCACTGTGAACAACGTACCGACAACAACATCCTCCCCAGTTATTACTACTAGCAGCGGAGAAATGGATGCCAATACCACTGTGAAAGGTTGGTGTCGGTCAGTGGTTAAGCTTAATTGATTTCATATTTCATTTATTACAGAATTCTGTAATCTGGATTTGTAATATTCGTCCCTTGTAAGATATGTTGCAACAGGGGCCTAAGAAATTTTATTTCAGGTTAATAAAAAAAGCTTTTCGTTATTTTTTTACTACCGTGGCCGTGAAGATCCCATCTACGAGCACCATTGCTTGCTCTTCTGGCCAAGAGGAGAAACCTACAATGAAGCTGAAATACTTTGTAATACCATGGGCATGCAACTGTTCAGGATCGACTCCCTTGAGAAGTACTATTTCATGATGACCGACGATATGTACACGTGAGTGGATATTCTTACTTTTTGTGCCTTATCGGGAAATATGACGGCTAGGGTTATTAATCATGAGATTACGTCTTTGAGTATACTAAGTGTGTTTTGAGTGGACGTCATCTATAATGCTTAAAATATACTTTCCTCTTTATCACTAAGCCAACCTTTTCTTAAAATGTTTAAAATTACTTATCTTAGCTTTCATAAGTTAAATAATGGCGCCTATTTACAAATTTCCATAACCTTTACGTGAGTGACTCAAGAATTCGAAAAAGGATAACAATAAACAATCTACTTATATAAATACAAATGACTATAAACAGGTTTATGCATAATATATGTAACTATGTCAACGGTCTTGAAAATTTTTTGTGGTTGAGGGACAGAATTTAAATTTTAACGAAAAAAATTACTAAATGAAGATATAGGGTTCCCTGTGTAATTTTGAACAGAACGTACTTTTTGTTTTAGGCACAATTCTACGTACTGGATAGGACTGTACAGCAAGGAATCGGGTACAGAAGAGTCGCCGACGTGGGTATGGAGTGTTGGCAACGAAACTTTGGCGGAAGATGCTTGGACAAACTGGAGTAACTCTACAAATGGCGGCACTATGTATTATGGGCCAGGCGAAATATGTGTTGCACTGGCCGAGGAAGGGGAGTGGATTGTTAAGGACTGCGGACAGCCTTCATTTTTCATATGCTCCAGAGGTAAAGCCAATATACTGTGAAATTCACATCACAGTTAGAAATCGCGAGGTTTTAAAACGATAAGTAAGGTACACTGAAGGCTGTAGATTTAAAAATTAGTTTTTTTTAAATTAATGCTGTACTGTATTTATCATTCCAATTATTGTTACAGATCAGCCAGATATCGTCATCAATAGCTACCATTATCCGTCGTGCCCATGTGGCTTTCTTCCGTTGGGTGACTCCTGCTATAATGTTTCTAGAATAACTGCAAATTTCACGCACGCGTCTTCTACATGCGAGAAAGAAGGTGCCCATCTTGTCACCATGGCATCCATTTTGGAATTTGAGTCTTTGAGCAATTTTGTAAAGTAAGTTTGAATTTTGTTGTCTTGGATTCATGCCTATTTTTTAGATACTTTTCCTTTGATTCTTTCTTTGGTAGGCATGTTTTGGCTCTTTTCATTAATAATTGTTTCATTTTTATCAAACTTTTTTATCAGACAGTTGCTTGGAAAAATAAAAATGTTTTACACAGCTAGTTTTGAGTGTATACTGACCGTCAGTGAATATGTCCTGGTAAAAATACTAAGATCTAGCAGTTATAAGAGTGCATTTGTTGTTGGAGTTTGTTCATATAAGTAATCAGCTGCTTGCTAGTGCTTTCTAAGTTTTGCCATGAAACAGCAGCTATGCATGGTAGATATGTGACATGCTGTCCTCCTCTTGGAAATTGTGATCAGGGGTGTTTGTTGAGTGTCGCATGGGAGGACTATATATATATATATATATATATATATATATATATAAAAACGCTACCGTGGTCTCCCTTGGTGTGTTTTATCATGCCATGTATGGCGAGGAACGAACGTTTGCGTGACTTGGTCATGCTACAGGCTGAGCTCGGCTACAGGAAAATAGCACTGTTAGATTGGTAACGGTTTACAGACCCAACACCTTTTAATGTGTTCCTTTTTATATGTGGTATTTTAATAATGAATTATATATTAAAAAGACTCCCTTGAGCGTTTTCATTGCTGATTAGATTGTATTTTATACCTGCTTATACATGCAATCAGGATTTTTTCAGCGGACACTAAGTGGGGAAAAATATGAAAAATTGGTAAAAATTTTGTTTAAAAAGGATCTAACCACAAGTTATTACTTTTCCAAGTTTAACTGTTCCCACTGACCAGATTGCGGAGACTTATTGGATAGGTTTTGCACAGTTGACACCTAACGAGCAGTGGGGTTGGGTAGATGCGAGTCCAGAAGATTGGGTTATGTGGGGTCAAGGTCAGCCTAGTGTGAACGCTTCAGAGGAAGGCTGCGCTGCTGTAGCAGTTGGAGAGAGTGGCTTTTGGGAGGCGTTCAACTGCAGACAAATGTTCAACTTCATCTGTGAAATCTCTCTTGCCGGTATGGTAATACTTTAAGGTCTAGAACATATCTTGTTTTCAATAGGTAATACTGATTTCGTAACCGAAAAGGGCGAAGTTTAAGCTCGAAATTTACAAAATGAGCTTCCAATATGTGTATTTTAATAAAGATATCATTAATTGGGCATGTTTTCTGCAGAATATGCTCCGTTCAAGCCATTTTGACTGTATACCGCAAACCCCTTAACTGATTTCTTATTTCATTTGTTACAGACTTCTGCAATCTGGATTAGTAATACCCCCCCCCCTTGTAAGATATGTTGCAATAAGGACCTAACGATATCTTATTTCAGGTAATTAAATTTTTTTTTTTACTTCTATCGCTGCGAAGATCCCATCAACGAGCACTTCGATAATGAAAACCATTGCTTTCTCTTCTGGCCAAGAAGAAAAACGTACAATGAAGCCGAAATTCTTTGTAATACCATGGGCATGGAACTGTTCAGGATCGACTCCCTTGAGAAGTACTATTTGATAGTAGACGATATGTACACGTGAGTGGTTATTGTTACTTATTGTGGCTTGTCAAAAATATTACCAATAGTGTAACTGGGGTTATGTCTTTGAGTATAGAAAGTTTGACTTTAGTGGATAACAGAACACTGCTTAAACACAAAACTACATGTATAGAGACAAAAATGTTCGGTAAAGCTTTACATGCATACAATGCTTGTTAGATATTTATATAGTGAAACGTTCTCCTTGGAATTTTATTATTGTGCTCTTTGGCAATAAAACAAAAAAATTCAAAAGTAAAATACTGTTCGTAATTAGCTCTAATTTTCACTGTCATGAGTGAAATATTTTAATATTTCAATATTTCAATGTTAAAATATTCACCAATAGCGATCTCCGTTACTTGAGTCGTTAATCTTAATTTTGTCAACAGTTTTGAAAATGGTATACCGTGGTGATTGTGGGACAGTATTAAAATTAAAACGAAAAAATTACTATATAAAAGTATATTTGTGTAATTTTAAACAGAACGTACTTCTTGTTGCAGGCACAATCCTACGTATTGGATAGGACTGTACAGCAAGGAATGGAGGAGAAATGACTCACCGACGTGGGTATGGAGTGCTGGCAACGAAACTTTGGCGGAAGATGCTTGGACAAACTGGAGTAACTCTACAAATGGCGGCACTATGTATTATGGGAGCGGTGACAAGTGTGTGGCACTGGACGAAGAAGGGGTGTGGATTGTTAAGGACTGCGGACAGTTTTCATTTTTTATATGCTCCAGAGGTAATGCCATATACCATGGAATATACAGTTACAAATCGTGAGGTTTTTAAAACGATAGATAAGTCCCACTGAAGGCTGTAAATTTTAAATTTGTTTTTGGAAATGTATGATACATAGTATTAACATGCAACATTCTATTAAATGTATTGTTACAGATCAGACAGATATCGTCAATGATGGCGTCCATTACCCGTCGTGCCCATGTGGCTTTCTCCCATTGGGTGACTCCTGCTATCGAGTTTCTAGAATAGCTGCAAACTTCACGCAAGCGTCTTCTACATGCGAAGAAGAAGGTGGCCATCTTGTCACCATGGCATCCATTTTGGAATTTGAGTCTTTGATCAACTTTGTAAAGTAAGTTTGAGATTTTGTGACATTGGCTTTATGGTAAGAATGGTAAGATTAACACAGTCAGAGCACCACCTTTTAATATGTTTCTTTTTGTATGCGCTAATTTGATTATGAAAAATATATATTTAAAAGACTCCCTTGAGCGGCAAGTATACTTTATACTTGTGTTTACATGCACTCAAGATTATTATAAATAATGATGAGATTTTTTTTTACCGACCACGCCAACGGGAAAAATACGACAAATTGATGGAAATTTTGCCACATTTGATTACTTTTCCAAGTTTAAGTGTTCCCACTGGCCAGATTGCGGAGGCATATTGGATAGGTTTTGCACAGTTGACACCTGCCGACCAGTGGGGATGGGTAGATGCGAGTCCAGAAGAATGGACTATGTGGGGTCAAGGTCAGCCTAGTGTGAACGCTACAGAGAAAGGCTGCGCTGCGGTAGCAGTAGGAGAGAGTGTTTTTTGGGAGGCGTTCAACTGCAGTCAAATTTTCAACTTCATCTGTGAAATCTCTCTTGCCGGTATGTTAATACTTAAGGGTGTTTTCAAAAGGTAATGCTGATTTCGTAACCATGTCAGTTTGTGTCATATAGGCATTGGTTTAGGAACATGTAGAAGACGTTCAGTTTTAATTCCATGTAACAAGACAGACACCTATATATATATATTTGTTATTTTTTATTTTACTTGATTTCACTGTTAGTAATCAAGTTAAATTAACTTACTTCAGTTGTTGTCCCTTTCACTATTTCCCAAAAATACTTTGACTTCTTCTTGAAAAGGGTCAACATTCACCAGTTGGATGGTGTTAACTATGGGAATCCTACATCCTCTTAGACTTATATACATGTACTTCGTCACTAGAACGCTTTACACAAAATTTTCTTTTTAGATGAGGAAAGTAAAGTGCAGAATAGTACCAATTCCAGTACAACAGCAAGCAGTGGAGGAAACTGGAAATCACAAACGTCTACTCCTTCAGGATCGCCAACAACAACCTCAACCATTGAAACAACGCCGAGAGATAATGCTTATGTAGTAACAACATCAACAACAACTGCCGTAACAACTCTCAGAGCAACATCTACTGCCCCAGCTACTCCCACAACAACAGCTACCATTCCAACAACTCCCACAACAACATCTACCGTTCCAACATCTCCTACAACAACAGCTACCGTTCCAACAACTCCCACAACAACAGTTACCGTTCCAACAACACCTACGACAACATCTACCGTTCCAACAACACCCACAACAACTCCGGTACCTAGTGTTCAAAAAGTAGCCACAACAACGTCAACTGTTCCAACAACACACACAACATTTACTGTTCAACGAACACCAACCACCTCAAGTACGAGTGTTGGTACAACAAGCAGCAAAGGAAGCAACGCACCTTCAAGCACCACTGACACTGCTGAAACAACCGAAAAAGGATATGGTTTTGAGTTGACAACTGAAACTGCAGGTGAATGTCTGTAACTCGCCATTCTAAATGTTCCAAATTCCAATGCTTTATATAATGAAGTTAGGCAGCGTTTCCTATTATAAAGTTGATATTATGGATTATTCAGAGGTTGCAGTGTTAGGGATAAAAGTAAACACATAATCCCCTTACTTATTCATTTTCTGTCACAATCAGTTTAAGTAGTCCCTGGAAATTTACATCTGTACTATTAGCGTGTCTCCTGACCCCTATTAACTAGGGGTTTGCTTTTTGGACAGAACACCACACTTACGGTTTTACGTCTTTTCAGAAATACGATGTGGCGAGGTACGCAATTTTTCAACAACTTACAACAATGGCACAGGTTCTACGTACTATAGTCCGGGTTCTGTGGTGTTATATGTTTGCCATGGCAACTTAACCTTTCTTGATAACACGACGTCACGTCTTCGCACCTGCAACAACCAAGGGGAGTGGATCCCATACGAAATACCAATGTGCAGAGGTATAGCCTTCAACACCTATACAAATTATCATTATTATTGTCATCATCATTATCGCTAAAGAGACACAGGTCTACATTGACACAACTTATAATATCGTCCACATTCTATTTACCGATCTGCCATCTAAACAATGGAGACGATCACCACTGACAACTACAACAGAATCTGTCAGGTTGGGTTTTGGGTTTCGGTCCAAGTAGAATTTTTAAGAATATGCAATCATTGTAGCTTATGAAAGGTTTAATATTTCACATGTACTCATATTTTAATCGGGATGATTTTTGCGTTCAAATTGATTATCTGTAAATCACCGAAAAAGGTTGTCTTATATAGGAAAAGTGCCATACTTCGTGTATGTCAATTTGGCGCTTTTATCAGTTAGATAATATTTTTAATTGCTTTTTATTTTCAGAAGGATTTCAGGGCCCAAAACCTCGAAGATCAAAGCGCCCTGAAAACCCAAAAGAAGCTGAAGGAGCACCCGCGATCGGATCATTTGGTCTGCTAGCCGTCCTATCTATAGTGTGCACTGTAGTGGTTTCAGATGTCCCCACTTTTTACCGCCAACTTCGGATAATGAAGCGTAACATTTTAAGCACCTTTTAAACATTAAATCCACCATAACAACAGGCAGGCAGACGACAGAAGAAGATTCAGGTAATCTTAAATAAAGTGCACAAGTTCAGAGGTCAAGATTATAATATCCAGACAATTCTGAGGCCAAATAAAAAAATCTCATTTTTTATTAGCTGAGATATTTTTGAGTGTTTTAAAAAAGCAAAAATAGCAGCCATGTTAATTATTATGACAAAATGAACAATAAAGACTTCCTGACGGCGCAAAATCTAAACATATCAAATTAACTTTGATAGGTTGCTTCTAGTAAGTTTAACATGTAAATTACAGGTGCTACGTAAAACGAACCACGGATTTTGGAAAAGCAATTTGTCTTTATTTAAATAGAAAGTTTAAATATGAAAAGAATTTAGATATATCTATGGAAAATAGTAGTATTGTAGTGCGAGGAAGCAAATGAAATATTCAAATTTTGGTCAATTATGATCTAACTAGATACAATTATTTAACTCACAAAAAGTACACGTGGTATAGAAATTTTAACATTTGAAATTCAACTATCTGATACTTCAGTATCTGTTGATGGGCATGTAACTGTTGGTCAGTGTTTGCAATCGCTTTAACATGGCACATGAGGATTGAGTTTTTTTTTTTTTTAATTTTTAAACGAAGCATCTACTGGTGGTTTTGCTTTAATTATCGACAGAACACATTTTACCGTTGCCACTAAGTCTCAGCTGGACAGAACGTTATATGATTGCGTGTATTTCATCACATTGGCATGCTTAATTTTATTAGATGTTTGCTAATTGAAATAAAAAATATCTATTCGGTTTTTAAAGTAGAGATGCTTTTCCTGTGAAGAGAACATTGATTTTAATGTCATTTCCATGCATATATTTGCAAATATTGATTTTTGAAATAGGTTTGTTCAATGGGTTCAAAACAAATTACCGAAGTGGTTTTTCTTTCGCCCAAAAGCATTAAAATTTTGCGTATGGCCTCTGGCTATGAAACAAAAAGATGACGTGTCAATATGCAAGGAGTGGTATCAGTCAATACAGCAGAAAAAGTGCATTATTTCCTTTTCAAATATTTATATACATTACCACGGGCATAAAAATTAAAGTTAATGTAAATGTTGATATCAGCTGTTCTTATTACTTCCTTCTGTTTTGTAATTTATACGAGCCTTAAGTTTGAATCAATCGATAATCCGTCCGTTGGTCGTAGACAATGTCAGAATATACCAATTGTCTGTACATTTATTGCTTTTAATATATTTTGCAAAATTATCCGTATGTATGTTTTCTCATGCGTTCACAAATGGAGACCTGACTGTCATAAAAAATTCATAATCACTTAATATAAGCTCCGATGTCTCCTGTGCGCGCGCGCGCGCACACACACACACACACACACACAAAAAAAAAAAAAAAAAAAAAAAAAAACGACGAGTAAGTCTATCGCTGTACAGAGAAAACTATACATAAAATTATTAAATAAATTTGTTTTCGTTCAAACTATATTTTTGTGGTTTCTAATTAGTTATAGAAGCGGCTATAACGCGCCCATACTGAACATTCCTGAAACGGTGAATTACAAATTTATTAGCCAAAAAGCATTGTGTTGTTATCTGTCTGTTATTCGGAGCTGAAGGAGTTCCTGCAAGGCATTATAAGTTACCGTTGTCAATCGACCGTCACTTCTCCATGAGCATAATTGGCACATTTTGAAAAGAACATTGCATAATGGATTGAGATGTGATAGATGTTGGGCACTTTAAAGCTAATCTTATAATTTTTTTACATAATATGCGCCTACTTTATGTTCAATCGAATCACTCAAGTGAGTTGCTGAGGAAACGATTGTATTGTGCTGCTATAAATAGTAGCCATTTCACGCGTCATTAACTTACAATACAATAGTATATACATAACAATAATCTACACATAAGCTTTTACCATTTCCTTAACCTTTTGTGATGCCACACTAAGCTATTTGCATAGCCCACGCTTAATTAAGTACAACTTCAATAAAGTCAGTTTAAACAATAAAATTTATGTCGGCTGATGGGTCGCGCAAAGACCAATGTATGATACATTATTCCGATGTCTCACGCTTACACAAATGCAGTGACAGGAGTAATACCTTCTTATAATGTGTATTTCACATTTCCCAATGAAGTATACTGCAAACCTTTGTTTCATGGAATAATTCAAATTTTTTATGAGCGCGATCACGGGCTTAAAACTATTATGAGTGTGTTAGGTAAAAGCGATCGTCTTGAATCGTGCGCCAGTAATGAATTAGAAAGTAGCGCTTGTTACATAAATGGAATCATAGAAAAAAGAGTGTGAAAACCAATGATTATTGGTTCAGTTGTTTGTTATCGTAACTGTCTGGAACTAAAGTTACTTTTATGTCTCCTCATTAACTCAAGCGAAAGGATAAGTAAATGACAAACACAGATGTAGTGTTCGAAATTTGGCCGGTAGCGGCCGCTTTTATTGAAAGGTCCCTCTTGTAAAGAATGGTGTTAGATATTATATAGCATTAGATAATGTTAATTAGTTAAAATAACGTAATGTTATATCTTAAAAAATAAATATCAAAACAAATAGTGCAAACATTTTCGGTCACCTCAACCCACCTACTGAACTAACGAGAGAAATTATCGATATTTCTGTTTCAAAACCAGACGTCTCCTTCGAAAAGCGATTGTCGCAGTGTGATATAACAGGTGCGTGTAGCACAAAAAAGCCCTAGGCTTTTAAATTCGCCACGCAAAAAAGACGCAATTACACCGAACAATGTATCTCTTTTATTGTTTCTTTGACATTTAACAGCAGCGAAATGTTTATTTCCGAACCGCAAGTGTGAATGTCTTATATCAGTTAGAAGGTTATTTAAAGGCTATATCTAATCCTGAGATGTATTTTCCTCTTTTCCTGTGAATATTTGCATGGCATTGTCAAAAAGAAGGCAATGGAAAATTCGAAACGTCTCAGTAAAGTTAAACATTATGTGGTAAAATTAACATGGCACCTGCCATTCAGTTACTTTGAATACCCAGCAGGTATAAATCAATAGTCCGGTAATGAGCACTGGGTCCATGTTCTTTTTTTTTCATAGAAATTACTGCACTTTAAACAGATCCAGCCAAAGGACCTTGCAACAGTGTCACGTTTCGTTTTCATACGAACGGGGCTTGTAAGCGCGGATGTCGAGCGTATTAAATTGGAGAGAAATGCTTGGAAACTATCGATTTCCTCATGGTAAAAGAAGAATGCATTAACACAGCCGAAACGGCCTCAGTTTTTAGATTAACATAGCTAATTGTTAAAAGCCTAAAATATTGAATTTATTCGTTGACTAAATGAAAAATCTTTATTGCCTTATCGCATAATGGCCAGAAATGTTAAACTATTGATCGGGTTTATATCGTGATTCGGCCAAATACTTTTGTAAACAAAACGGAAACAAAGGTACAGAAACGAATAGAGCTGCTCAGCGCTTGCGCACATTATAGAGATAAAGTAAATATTTTCTCTTCTGCTTAAACATGTAGCAGTAAGTAACTTGATAAAAAGCTATCAATGCCAGTGACGGCGAATGCTCTCTGAAACTGAATAAGACCTAAACGCCAACATCGCAGATCAAAAAGGATACACTTGGTACCAACGGAAGTTTTGCTGGTATGCAGCTCTTTTGCATATATCATGTGATTTAAAAGAACATGAATACCTTTTTTTTAGAAAAAAGTAAAAAAACATTTAGGTGTGTGTAAAAAAATGAATCAAGATGTAAACGTTCGCTACAATATTTTATGCCTTTGGCGTGAAAACTGCTGACCAATGGAACAAGTTTCATGGTTTGCTTTGTGAAAAAAGTCTGAAAGCAAACTGAATACGAATTGCTTAACCTGCAGCCAGGACGACTGAAGCTCAAAGCATGGCGTGGAAGCTGTCTCTACTATTTTTATTTCAATACTATGTCATTTGCGGTAGGTATATCATTTTTTGTGGTTTTTGTTGTCATAATTCGTCCAGATATTAAAAAGATATATATTAATAGTGACACATGACTCTTTTAAAAGTTTATTTTGCTAGAGGAGAAAATCAAAACTATGCGTAAATTTATTGACTGTTTTCAACCAAGTTGATATATAATGATGATAAGAATTGTTTATATTAGGCATTTCCGGGTTTGTAGATAGTTTTAAGTTTGAAGTTAAATGGCAAGCACAGACATAATTGCCAAAGGGTTACGTCACATCCCATAAATTATCTGTAGAGTCAATGAAATTGTAATCTATTGACATTTCCTGCCGTTAATAGGTTCGCAAATGTTTCCTTTGTAAAAACTGCACATAAATGCTAAGCAACAGTGGTTGTTAAATTGAACGTGTGCATATCCTTAAAACACCACAAGAATATAATTTGCGATCACAATCGCAAATAATGAAGTTAAAAGCAGTCTTATTAGAAGTCGGCTAAAAAGGTATTCACTTTTTTCTGTCCAGTAAGTAATAGATATTGTGATTGAAACTTTAATTTAAATCACTTTTATAAAGTTAGGAACGTAATCACTGTTTACAGATACATATAATTCCCAAAAATATAATTACACCTTATTCGCAGATTTAATTCTTCTAAAACTCCTGTTCGACGAACTCTCAGAAAGACAATAAAGATCTAGTAGAAATTCTGAGGTATAGTGTTGTTCATCGCGTTTGTTTAACAATTAAAATTTGTGATTGTATGTGAGATAGTTAACAATTTGGTCAAACACATGGGCGCTTAAATCTTGGTCTGTTCAAATTGGTTTCAGATTGGAGGAACATTTAAAGATGCATATGCCACAAAAGCCAACCAAATGCCAGCATATAGTTTCAAGTAGTATAACTAAGATAATTACCAAAAGGCATTAATTTTACTCGAAAAATGATACATGAAAGGATTTTTCTGCTAGCATTCTATGCTGTATATCAATGGGGCAGAAAAGTAGGTCACGAAAGTAGGTTAAATTTCCGACCAAAAATTTAAAGAAAGGAGCAGTCTAAAGCTCTTTTATGGCTGATCGAGTGAGTTATTCAGTTTATCCCTTGGCATGTCGAATTTATTTGAGTCGTATAAGAAGCAAGTAGAAGTGGTTTATAGGCTATGCGTTACTGGAAATCCACACTCCAACGATGCTCGGTTCATATGTACCTTTAAATTTTTTATGAGGCAGCAAAATAATCAGATTTGGATATATGACCTTTCGAATGTTACAAAAAAAAAAAAAAAGGATAATAACAGGGAAACGTATTAATTTCGTAGGCTAAATATTTTTCTTATAAGAAACAAAGTACTCTTGTATATTTTTGTCAACATCAAAATATGGGAGCTAGTTGTAGTAACTAACTGTAGTTAAAGGATCACTATTTTTATGTACAATGCCCTCTTTTTGCAACCGTTTTTTAAAAACTGTCCAGTGACGCACGTGTTGTTTTTTCTGCTAGCACCAGTTCCGGCAATCGATTCTTCATCATCAGGACCTGGCATCCTTTCCAGTCAAAGCGAAATGCACACAGCGTCACTTTTCCCTTATGGTAACAATACCTGGCTATTGTCCGATAATCACAACGGTGAAGAAGTCAGCGACGGATCTGCACTTACGGATTCATCTTCGATTGATTTAATGAGAGGCAGTTACCTAACTATTGAAATGGTGGTAGATATCACAAATGCAATACAATCGTCAAGAGTCAGCACAAATAACATCCAACAGGATACAAGTAAAGTTGCTTCACAACCACTTCCTTACTCAAAAGCCTCTTCGTCTTTCTTGGCAAATAATAGTTTCCTTTCCAATCCTTTGACAGTGAGTGAGACAGTATTAGTTTCACCACCCACTGATTTTACTTCTGATTTCCACATAGAAACAAGCGCAATCGCTGCAGCCCAATCCTCATTCATCAGCAGCTTTCCAACATTTTCCATGGCAACCCAAGAAACAAATTTACTGATATCAAATACGGGTGTTAGTACAAATCATGGGCAAACAGCTTTAACTGCAAAAGAATCTTCACTTCTTTCATTCCTCAGCAGCTTTCCAACATTTTCCACGGCAACCCAAGAAACAAATTTACTGATATCAAATACGGGTGTCAGTACAAATCATGGGCAAACAGCTGTAACTATACACGACTCTATTCATTCAGATGGACCTTCGCTGCTACCATTAACTAGCAATATTCCCGCAATTTCCACGGCGACCCAAGAAACAAATTTACTGACATCAAACACGGGTGTCAGTACACAACAAGAGCAAATTGCTGTAACTGTACATGACTCTATTTATTCAGACGGAGCCTTGCTTTTGTCAGTAAACAACAACTTTCAAGCAATTTCCACGGCGACTCAAGAAACTAATGTATTGGTATCAACTGCAGATGTCAGTACACAACAAGCAATTGCTGTTACTGTACACGACTCTATTCATTCAGATGAACCTGTACTTCTGTCATTAAACAGCGACTTTCAAACAATTTTCACAGCGACCCAAGAAACAAATGTACTGATGTCAAATACGGGCGTCAGTACACAACAAGAGCAAATTGTCAAAACTGCACACGGATCTGTTCATTCAGAGGTACCTTCGTCTGTTTTGTTTAACAGCAGCTTTCCAGCAATCTTCACGTCGACTGCAGACACACAAGGATCATTATTAACAGCAGATCAGACTATCTTTATTCAATCGGAAACAAGTATAGCTCCTTCATTTCAGTCAACGACCTTCCTGTTTTCTGCTACTCCCGAACCACGTACAAACATAGCTGTTGATAATTCAACAAATATTGAGGATAACGTAACCTCTGTCACCATGTTTCCATCGACCCAGGATACGACTGTAACGAATTCAGACGTGGAAATAAGAAGTCGAATAACATATGAAGGTAATATTGGTACATAATTTTACATTATGACAGGCCTTGTTCCAAATACTTGAAATTACGTGAAGCTTCGTAACTGCTTTGAATACCAGCGCAAAGCGTACATATAGATAAATGTATGAGATTCTCTTCTTTGATAAAATTTTCTTGATTAAATTTACTGCCAATTATCTTAGCCTGCAAAGGTATCAGTTGTTTATCGCCATATATACATATATTTATTTTCTGAACTTTAGAGTGTTAAGCATGCCCCTAAGTTCTCCCGCCTCACCAAGACAACGCTGTCCTTCTCTTCCACGTTAACATTGATAACACTTACACTAAGTTGGTGTAAACACAACATATTTGGAAAGGCATTTTAATTAAAGTACAGCAATAAATTCCCATTTTTCAGATTTTTGCACTGTCCCATCTCTGACAAACGCATACCTAAACGAGGGATTGCTTCTTTTAAGCAGTGCCATGGACTCGAGCAGTGCAGGGAATCTTGCACCATTAAATACTTCATCGACTAATGTGCTATCAGTTTCTACGACGAGTAGCAGCGACCTCGCCCAGATTTCTTCCATCACGCCAACACTGTACTTCAATGCCACTACACATGAGCCAGAGACATTTGATGGGGCACCATCCGCGATTTCAACAATTTCCGGCATGCCAGAGGCAGCTAATATTTCATCATATAGTGATCAACCACTGGAATCACAATTCACTTTTGAGAGCAATGTTTATTCTTCATTCATCCAATCTTCGATTTCTACGACGATTCTCGGCCTTACTGAGCTTACTTCCCCACTCAGTGAAACTCTGTTGCCACTTTCAATCGATTGGATTTCAAGCGAAACCACAGATGATACGATGTCACTCAATACGGCCGTTATACCCTTTTCTATCAATTTTACTGAAAGCCGTGCAGTTCTTGAAACTGTGTCGGCCAATGGGAGTTTATTCCGATTTTCTACTGCAACAAGCTCAAGTGATTCAACTTTAGGTATTATATCACCAAGTGGCATCACTTCATTTTTTTCTTCCGAAACAAAGTACAGTGACAGTGCACTAGAAACTATTCTAGTCAATGAAACTGGATCAACCACTCCAAATGTAAGTGCAAGTTACTTCACTTTGACACTAAATGACACTGTTGTTTCTTCTGTTCCCGACTCAATTGCAATCGAAAATGAGACGGTACATTCCTCATCGTATGTCAATTCAGGCTCTCTTGATGTAGGAGCAGATTCTGTCAGACGGACACTTGACCGAACCGACCTTTTAGGAGAAAACACTTTAGAGACTGGTCTGAGTGGTTTGGAGGTTTCCACACATAGCCAGCTCCAAGAGAGCTCCTTTCAAAACATGTTATTTACACTGGAACCTTCTACAACAGACATAATCATTTCCGAAAGTGGAAACAGTACATTGGGGACTAATCACTATTCTACCTTGCAAATGTCAATGTATACCAGCAATATAACTATTGGAACTATATTCTCTGACAATACTGGAACCGCTTTTAATGATATGGGAAACGCAAATGGCGTTACTAATTTTCACAACACAATTAGTTCAACTGATATTTTGTTTGATGGTAATGCCACTCCAAATACTTTAATGGCGACTGGTAAGTACGAAGCGCCACTGAAGGGATATAATTCCTAAAAATAATATGTAGTAGGCTTACCCTATAAAGAAATCTAGACCAGAACTGTTTTACGTGCAAACTACACGCCTTTGTCAAATATTATTTATTCTCAGTTCTTAAGTGTATTATACAGGTTGTCTCGAAGGTAGACTTTAAAGTTTTTTAACAATTATTTTAGAAGATTTGTGGAATTCCTACTGTAGAAATAATTACGAGCGCAGTGTAAATCGAAAAACTGAATGGATATTATTGAAAGTCTAACGGGACTCCAAACATTCGATCTGGTTATATTTTGCAGATTGGAGTATATTTAGCATTGGTATGTCTCTCACGTACCAATGTTCCAATGGCTATACTATGACTGGCGGGGAAAGCAGCAGAGTTTTGGGATGTTCGGGAGTCGGGTCTAATTATGCCGTGTGGGACGGTGACTTTAGTCCATGTTTAAGTACGTATGTCTTGGCTTTCTAAATAACTATATGCTTGTAGCATCATTCTTTGCGCATTTTACACTGTCAGGTTTGTTTAGCCTCTTAACTGATTAGCCATTCCTAGCAGCTGCTAGCATTTTTGTCTGTCAATGAATTGTTGGGAAACTTACTACTAAAGCACAAAGATTGAAGTGTGGTAAGTTTGTCTAAATAACGAATAAGGAATATGCGCGCCACAGATGGCTCAAATGTTTTACTATATTTGTTGTGCAATGTTAACAGGCGAGTGTTTCTACTTATCAGATTTAGGAATGCATCTATATCAGGCATACCTTCATAGAGAATGATGAAAGTGTATTCAAGACTAAAGCAAATTTAGGATAAAGTAATTTTTTCTTCAAGCAACTGTTTAATATTGAAATTGCTTACCTCCAACATTTCGATATCTGTCGGGTTACTTTCTTCAGAAATGAGGCTATCCAGGTAACAAAGCAAATTGAATGATACAAAGTTTACTAAATATAATTTCATAAATACGGAATTGAGAAAGGTGTCTACACTTTGGCCTGTTCTTGGCATGAAATCACATAGAGATTGAGGCTTCCATACCAACGTTCCCTATGCAAGGTACAGATTACCTCGAAACTGTAAATAAATGATGTATTACTCAATTGCTGCGCACCCTGAGTTACAGAGGCCACTGCAAAAAAAAAAAAAAAAAAAAAAATCACCTCTATATTATCCATTAACTGGGCACGACAAAGGCATGCTGATAATTATATTATTTAGGAGTGAGTTTCCAGTTACTTCTGAAAGGCAGGCTTTGTATTTTTCGCTAGGGAACGTTAACTGCACTTCGGAATATCGTCCTTACATGAGAATGACCCCTGACTCGGGAGTTGTGTCCGTCGGTAACACGGTGGATTACACGTGCGACCCGCCGTATGTCCTAGACAATGGGGATATCACTGGCACTAATGAATGTACTATGTACAATGAAACGCATGGGACTTGGAACACGACACAGCCAAGTTGCGAAAGTAAGTTTTTGTATTGTATGGGATTTATATAATGCATCCTTGAGTGGATACGTTGGGGATATAAACCATGCATTTGTATACATGTATTTCGTCTCATCCATTTAAGACTTTCTTAGAAATTTTCTGACCCCATCAGAAATATGAGTCCTATAGCACACTTGAAATAATTAAAATATCCTGTTTGTGTCATCTCTAGTTTTTTTTTAGCTTGATGCTTATTTAACGAGAGATTTTTTTTGTTCATTTATCAGAACTGCTAACCAACTTCGTTTTCTTCATTTTTGTCTTTCTTTCCCACAACGATTTGGTAGTTTATTCATTCGATCACTTACTGATTTTTCATTAATGAGTATTCTTTTAATTAATTAATTAATTCATTCATTCATTCGTTAACGTATCGGTTTCTAATTTTAGTTGCTGAATGCCCGGTAATAGATCATGGACGATCAAATCGTAATACCACAAACACTTCCCTTGGAACGACTGTAAAAATAACATGCAAGAAGGGATACGTATTCAGTAACTACCTCGAAGAGGTTATTATTCGCTGCGAATTTATAAATGGTACAGGAGCAGTATGGAGTGAAGCTCTGCCTAGGTGCAGGGAAAGTAAGGACAATTAAGAGATTGTCATTTATTTTAGTATATTAATGTTACAGATTCGTTGCGTTGCACTTTATTGTCACTTTCGAAAAACGATCAGGGAGGAATTTAGTTGATCTCTTGGAAGTAACTTTTAGCTGATGATACACTACGTTTTGCAGTGTTTGAATTATAATTATAAAAGCGTAGGAATATGTCGCGCCCACTTTGCAATGGTTTGCAGATTCAATAATTTTAATTATTAAAATTATGAATAATACAGATATTTATTATCATTCAGATGTGACGTACGGTCTGGATCCGGGTCCTTCACACGGCCGCCTACTGGTTTACCTAGATAACAGTTGGGGAGCCGTGAGTAGAATGTATTTGAATAGTGATAAACATTTACGGTCCAAAATCGCAAGCGCCACCTGTCGCTCGCTCGGCTTCATCGGCGGAGAGTACTACAGCGGGTACAATGATATCTCTGTAGGCTCACCGCCGTCTTTTTGTTGGCTGACAAACCCGATTTGTGAAGGAGACGAGGTCACGTTTGAAGACTGCAGAAACTGGGGATTTACAAATAGACAATGTGATGTCTCACATCACCTATATGTGACGTGCTTTGATAGGTCACGGGGTAGGTAACCTTTAATAATAGATTAGCCTTTCCAGTCTTTATTTTAAGAAGGTATTTTCACTTGAAATAATACGAAAAAAAGTTATTTCATTTAGTATTCAGTAATGGCTGGTGTTTGAGAGAGAAAAATACAAATGTAAGCATGTGGTTAAACTTATGCCGTTATTAACACAACCGGCCCCCCCCCCCCCCCCCTTGGCCACGGGCCTGTGTAGTCTGTAGCCAGCATATTAATCTTATCTGTAAAAAGTGGTCCTTTTGTTTCCCTTTGAGCCGACCCATATCAAACGGGCGGTTCTTTCGAAACCTCCGACCCCCCCCCCCCCCCTTGGCCACGGGCCTGTGTGGTTGACCTATTTCAAAGATTCAGTGGTAAATGCTATATATTCAATTGTTTTACGTTAGTCATGCTCTCACTTATTCTCAGTAAAATTGCCAATGAAGTATTAAGCGTAACAAGGTTTACGGCATGTTTCAGTGATGATAAGCTACGGTAGCTACGGCTATGTACACGCCGTGTCGTCCACATGGGAATGGCAAACAGTTTGTGACAGCACCTGGACAGATGCAGAAGCCGGGGTTCTCTGTCGCCAGAAAGGTTTTTCCGCCGGTGAAGCTTACTGTTGTTCTGCCCTTGGCTACCACGGAGATAGCATCTCACGTTGGCTACATTCGGATGAAGACATGGCATTTCAGTGTGGGGGCAACGAAACGAACCTCGCCAACTGTAATGTTACAATCGGAAACACTTGCCGTTATTCCTTCGATACGGCGGGAGTTCTGTGCTACGATAACAACACCATCGTAAACAATGCAATCGCAGGTTACTACACTTTTCATCAATGCGAATATGTTCTATTTTATTAAGGGTTGCATTCCTGGTTTGTTCCACGAATCCCACAAATTTCGCAATGCCAAAACACTTTTTTATTTATTTTCCCCAGACGTTATTTATTTGAAACACTTACAGCTTCTTCCTTAACTGTAAGCCGATTCACTACTAGATTAACATTTTTATCTGGCGGCATATAAGAACATAGGTGAAAATGATTATGCACAGAAAACCTTCTATAAACCGTTTATTTTTAAAAAACATTATGAATTCAAGAAACACTGTTCTCTTATATTTTTATAAGACCAATGACAGACAATTCCTTTATTTTTAACTGCAGGCCACCTCACAATAGAGTTAATGAATGATTACGGTTTTGATGGAGCAGGAGATATCATATTCGACTACGGCGGAATAGCCGGCACAGTCTGCGATACAGATTGGACGATAGAGGACGCCACAGTGGCTTGCAAAATGAAAGGCAAGTTGCAATAACATTCCTTACCTTGCACCTTTGATTAAAGGTACTGTATACGGGTTACGCTGGGCAGATCTAGTTTTCCCCGAGAAAAGTACTTTTTGTGCTCACGAATCAGTGCCCGACCCATCTGCACTTGGATACGATGTTTGGTACCATATCTAACTGAATAACGTAGTTCTAAATGAGCTATTTAGAGAGACATAAAAAAATAATGGAAAAAAAACACGACATCAGTGCTTTTAAATGAGACGTTGTTTCGTTTTAAAGATCTGGCTTGGGAAAGAGGAGACGCCTTGCAAGTTCTGTCTGTGACCAAGAGTCATTCAAAGTTTTTCTATGTTAATTTGACAACGATCTTTAATGCGGAAGACTATAAAACACTGTCCTGACAACATACAAATGAGCATATTGCTATTATTTCATCATTTCCTGTGCGTTCATACTAGCTAAAACAACTTTTTTTCTCTTCGTTCAGGCTACATTGGAGGAGGCATTCCGATATGTTATTCTGGGTTTGAAAACATTTTGCCTGATTTTGGCTTGACTGAGGTAAACTGTACAGGGAATGAGCTAACACTATTGGAATGCTCTGGTCTGAAATGGACTGGTAGAGGATCTACGTACCGAACATGTTCGTCGTCTGAAATCGCAGGAGTTGTCTGTTACAACAGCACAAATGCAACTAGTCACGGTAAATTTATCTGTTTGTGCATAAATTTATTTAATCTGGTTTTATCAGTCTCACAAATGTCAAAATGTTGAAAAAGTTAAGACGATTGATTTTTACTAAAAGAACTTTGTGAAGCATATGCATAACTTTCTCTTTTAAGAGAGAATTTATGTGATTACGAGAGTTATTGACCGTGGAAAGGCTCTTGCAGTCGTCATTGAATATAAACGGAGCTGCATGTATGTATATTAACATTTCAGGGGCTGAATACAGATTACAAACAATGGAGTGGATAGATGGCGCACATTCTGAAGTATTTGGAGGGTCAGACGGCGTGGTTCAGGTCAAATACCATGGTGTATGGGGCACCGTAGGCAGAACAGGGTGGTCAGACGCAGCAGCAGCCGTGGTGTGCTCACGCCTCGGCTACAGAACCGGTATTGGGTTCCCAAGACCTGTGTACAGAAGCTGGAAATCTTGGGATCCATCGTTAGTACAGTGGTACGAAGGGGTGCAGTGTGACGGAAATGAGACCTCTCTCGAGGCATGCGCACACTCGGGTACCTGTCATTATGCAAATCATTTGTGGGACGTGTCAGTCAGTTGCTTCGATACTTGGGAAGGTGAGTTAGTTTTAATGGAAGTTTATTTGCATCGCTTCTGACCATTTTCTACGATTTAGCATGTATGTGATATGAAAAATGGAAAATCTTTGGATATATAACACATTACTGACAAAGTACTAAATTACATATGACCATATAATCATATAGGCCTATATACAATTTATTTTATACTTATTATTTTATAGGTCTTACCGTAAGATTCGCGGCAGTGTTCTCTTTCTTTTCGAATATTTTGGGGACTTTAGTAGTAGAGCACCAGGGCTCGAATGGATTCGTATGCACGGATGGGTTTGACGATACGGAGGCCAGTATAATTTGCAGAGCTAATGGATATAAATCGGGAAGATCTGTTTATCATCATTCTCTCATAGATTACTTTCGAGGCCCAGCGTGGATATCCCAGCTTAACTGCAGCGGCAGCGAGGGCTCTCTAACAGACTGCCCGTATGTTGTCAATGATGAGAACTGTTACTCGGGTTCTTGGTTGAGAAGAGCGGCTGTTTTGTGCTTAGAGACAATAGGTTTGTAGTGGTAACTGTAGCGTACTGGTATTGATAATTCAAAAGAGAAACTAAAGTAAACTTGATTTAGGTATATGTATGCTTCCCTGGGACTTATTAGGTAATCACTTACATATCTGGTAAAATAAGGTTTATTTTACACAGTGTTATTCAATGAATTAACTACTGATTTTCATACCATATTCGTTTCGCCATATTTTGCTGTATAAAAATTGAGAAAGATGGTGTTAAGCCTCTCTTACAACCCATCGTGCGTGCTTAGAGATCGTGCGTCCTCGGAGTTCTTGTCAGGCGTAGCGTTGTCGCAGGATGAAAATTAAATCGCAGCGGACGTAGGTAGTAAGTACTTTATAATTAGGTGTGTCGTGCTCTAAACGTGGGGCTGCAAGTGGTCTGTACGCCTTTTTGGAAGTAGGAAGAAGTAAGGAGCACGTACAATCTGTACTTGTGTCGCACACAGTGAGTAAAATAATCGTACGTGTATTGCAAGTGAAGCGTACGTTTTCAGAAATCGTACTTAAGAAATAAGAGAAACGTAATGAATACGGAAGTGTTAAGCACGACACTCGTGCGTCAAATTGGTGGAACGCACGGATAATCAAAATAATATAAAAGGGAGCACCGAGTCTCTTCATCATTCACTGTTTTGGCTTCTAAAATGGCACTTCCAAGAAGGATGCGCCATCGACTTCTACATCTGCTAATGCTAAAAAAAAAGTACGTTCCACGTGCGTGTATCTTACTACTTGGCAATTTTTTTGCACGCAAACCGCTCGTAGAAGCACGCACGACCGGTTGTAAGAGTAGCTTTAGATCTTGTGTCCGTGCAGTACAATTTGTATCTGACTTTTCAGATCCGCAAGAGAGCATCCACTATCGACTGGAAGAAGGCACCATGTTTAGCGGCAAAGTTATGGTCGGCGTGAACGGCCTTTGGAAACCGGTATCAGAGAGAGATTTTGCGACAACAGAGAGCACAGTATTTTGTAGACAAATGGGCTTTGATTACGGTGTTAGATATACCTACGGCGACGCAGGGTGTATAGATTCCAATTCACGTTGGGACATGTGGTTAACCGTAGGTGTAACGTTGTTTTTTTATAACTGCCTCCACATAAATAAATAAATAAATAAATAAATAAAAAAATAAGTAAAGAAAAGAAAAGAAAATAGCAGGACCCAACATTTAAAATACTTGCATACAAATTGATCCGCTGTTTGGACAGTTTTAATGTACATTTTTTTTTCGGGGGGGGGGGGGGGGCGAGGTAGCAACTTCAAAAACTTTCTTTTTTAATTTCAAAAGTAAACAGTTTTTATTCAGAAAAAATGCGTGTAATTTTACACTAACAATTTATACCCTACTTTGTTAGATTCATAACTCCTTTCAGGTCGATGAATGCAATCCAGATTATCATACCACTCTAGAAGAGTGCACGATAGAGGGAAGATACTGGCAAGGGTCTATACGATGTCGCCCCCCACGAGTCCTGTGCTACTTCGAAGCTGGCGACGGTACGTTTATACACATATATAGTTATTTATAATACTACAGGAACAGAGAGACATTTTTGCTCTGTTTAATAATTGCTTGAAAACTTTTGTGGCAAAGAGAGCCACCGGGATACTCGACACAGGGAAAGTAAGGATAATTATGCGGTAAGGCTAATAAATTATGATAACGTAATGAAAATTAACTGAAAAGAAAGATATAATTATTAAAGATGGGTGTGCAAATGCGCCACAAAAAGACTGGTTTCCATTGTAAACCGCTGCGGAAAAGAGTCGCACCAACGATTGAGCAACGCTGATGCCTTTCCTGGTTTCTGAAATATGAAAGACGAGAGTTTTCACTCTCTTCCCTGTTTTGCAGATATAAAGGTTAAATATAAAATTACCTAATTTCAGCAATGTTTATCTTTTTTCAATTTGAGATAAAGGGATAATAAGTTGATAGTAACTAACTAAGCTTGCATGAAATTTCTTGAGTGCGAGCGGGTTTTGTAAATATTTTTTAATTGAAGCGTAAAAACCAAGCGCGAAAACGAGGATTACCCCTGTTTCAACACTATATCTACGGATTTACCACCGTCCTCCGCTCACCCTACCCGGTCCTACACTTTTCCCCACAAACCACCGGTAAATACCACAACACTACCGATGTATTTTGTCTTTCCCCACATACGTTTTCCTGACCTCGCTATGGATGAGCCACGGTGTCTGTTCATCGTAGCCCTTTAATATTGCTATGTACAGAGTGACAAGAGTACACACGTGTCACTAATAAGTGATCAGATTATCCACTTGTTACTTTGATATATTTACGTCTTACCATGCATGTAATATATTTCTTTATTTTAAAGTGTGCACGGGTGGTGCATCTCACCCTGATGTGATAGAACACAAGTGGGGCCAAATTCGAAGTCCGCGGAGACCCGCAGTAACCAATTCTGATTACGATGTGCAATGCTGGTGGCTGCTACAAGTTCCACGTCAGTATGTTTTGAATGTGGAAATCTTTGTCAAGGTAGGGATGTAGTTTATTTATATTTTGTAACAGTTACTAAGTGTTCGCATGGCGTCTAACAGGTTTGCTCTCACACTTTATTAAAACGTTCATCCCGTGGAAATTCACGTATTGCAAAACAAGTCAGTTTTACTGAGAAGAAATTGAATAATATAGAAACAAATGCTCAAGGGGTTAGTACCTGAGCAGTTGCAGCTAATAATGATGAACAACCCCCCCCCACACACACACACACAAAGACACACACATTCAACAATGAGTGTTGAGCGCATTATAACAGATTATTCACTGTTTTAGATGGACGCTACCAACCTGACTCTGTACGACGGCTCCAGTGTCAACTCCAATGTATTATTGTTCCTGTCTGGCAGTGGAGAAAGTGAGCAAACACTGCAAGCGACTGGACATCAGCTACTTATTCACTACGACCAGGCTTCCTACACGGACTACTTTATATTGGGATATGAAGCTGGTAAGATCAATGAAATACTTGGGAGTTTTACTTCTATAAAGTCACAGTTTGTAAATCTTGACCCTTCTGCATAAAGATTTCCCAGTCTTAAATGAATGTATCTGAGAAATATTGAAGGAAAAAGAATGGTCCTTTTGAATGGTATTTGTTTGTCAGTGTGATTGCGTTTTTTTCTGTACTTGTCATTGTTACATTCCTTTCAGTTTGTAATAGCATTCTCGGAGTGCCCGCATGGCGTAATACAGACAACGTCACGTCCTTGTATGGTAAGAACGTCACCTTGTTATTCACCGGAAGTGATTGGAATGCAACCTGTGAAAATTTTTCATCCGAGTGCCTCAGTGGTATACAAGCCTGCCAACTGTCATGTGACGCGAATACGTACTGCTGGACATTATACTATGACATACATAATGGCAGCTGCTACATTGGGGTTCGCTCATACCAATACGGCAAGACAGTAGATCTCACAGATGTTCACCTTTTGCAATATGAAATTGATTGTACAGGTAAGAAACTGAAAAAGCACGATGAAAATATAGATGAGGCAGTCTTCGATAATGCTTCTAATTAAATATAAAACGTAAATGCCATTCACTTTTAGGCTGTGTCAAGACTTTTGTAACGAATATTGAATATTAGGTTACCATTGCGTGGATCCTAGTTTGTATCATACTTAATATTTCAGTCAATGGTTCGTGGTCTGCCTGGTCGTCATGGTCACATATGCCAGTCACGTGCGGGTCAGGGGTCATCAGCAGGACTAGAACATGCACAGATCCAAGTCCACATTTCGGAGGATCAGACTGCGAAGGCAATTCCACAGAGGAGACTTTGGCTTACTCACAAAATTGCCCAGTCCCATGCTCTGCGCCAAATAGCACGAACGATTCTTTTCTTATCCCAATTTCAAATAGATCATATTATCTTTGGAATGAGCAACTTGATGTTTTCTGTGTGCCTGGGTATTCATCTTTGAGTGGCCAAACCGAATACACCATTACGTGTGGATACAACGGTACCTGGGACATGGAAAATGTAACATGTGTTTTAAAAAGTAGTATAATTGACTCAGAAACGGTTAACTACAACCATTCTGAGACGAGCATGGTAGTAACGTCGGTGTCACTGACTGGAATGGAATATAATGATAGTGCAGCAACTATCTCGTATTCTTCTTTGGTAGACTCGGTGCTGTTTAATGTGTCACAGGAGTATTCTCAATCAGCGGAGCAAACCCTGTTATTCCCATCAGCGTCGGTCTTAATCCCAAGCAATGAAAATAATGCAACAGACTTATCTGAAGGGATATCGACTATATCTTTTGATGGCACGTCCCCTCCATCCAGTGACTTAGAGACAGACTTCATTTCAACGTCGATTGATTCTATTTTTATTTCAAATTTATCCACATCTTTGGATACGCTTCAACCCGAAGAAGTGTCTGACATGGCGAGTACATATGTACAGAGCAGTCAGTCTAATAACTCCAATGTGAGTGAGGCATTCCAGTCAACTCGAGGGCAATTCTCAGACTTAATGAATATGGCGTCATCAGAGAGCATATCGTTCCTTTCAGCTTTGACTCCGTTTCCAAGCCTTTTTCGTTCTACACAAGAGGAAACAGTGACGAATATTCCAAGTGTGCCTTCTTCAGTAAGCGAGTCTTATTCTCCCACAATATTTGCGGCTGTCCATGATTTCTCTTCATCTATAGAAAGTTTCAGTTATTTCTCCACAGACATTGGTTTCGTGTCACCAGACATTAGTTTTGTGTTGCCACCAACAAGTGGATTTTCCTCTGACATTTCAAGCGTGGTGTCCTCAGGAAGCGTGGCTGAAATGTCATCAATGTTTTCTTATCCCCAGCTTTTCTCTTCTTTGCTAGAAAGTGCTGCTTCATTGCCGTCATCGGAAAACGTGTCCAGTCTTTTTCCAACGTCTTTGTTAGAAAGCATCAGTTCTTATACTCTAAGTAATATGACTATATCGCCATCAACAATGGAAAGCACCATTAGTGCTTCAAGTATTTCATCATCGGAAAACGTGTCCAGTCTTTCTCCAATGTCTTTGTTAGAAAGTATCAGTTCCTATACTATAAGTGACGTATCTGTATCGCCATCAACAAGAGAAAGCACCATTAGCGCTTCAAGTATTTCATGGTGGCAAAGTGTGTCTGATCTTTCCCCGATATATGATTTTCTTCATTTTTCCTTTACTCCAGAAAGCTCTGATTCTTACACTTCAAGTATTTTAAATATGACTTCGCCGACAAGCCAAATCTCTGACCTCTCCATGTTTTCTTCAGCATCAGAGATCGTGTCTGATGTTTCCAGAACGACCGATTTTTTTCAGGTCTTCCCTTCTTCGTTGGAAAGGTCCATTAACACTTACACATCGGCTATGATAAATGATCCACTGTCGACAAGATACAGCACCTATAAAGTTTCAGGTATGCCATCTCAGAGTGTGTCTTACATTTCCACTTACACTTCAAGTATGGTCAATATATCACCATCTGCAAGAGGACCTATCTCGAGCATGTCACATTTTTCCACAGTTGAAAGTCTTTCGGATATTCAAAGTGTTTCTTCTCATCCGATGCTGGTGTCTTCATTTCTCGAAATTACAAGATCTTCACGAGATCAGTCTCTTTTTGTGACCATGCCTTCGTCAGCATCACTCTCCTCTATGCAAGTTACTTCAACACCTCTAAACGAATTGTATTCCACGCAAGAAGAATTACATTCATCGCATGCCTCTATTTCTACCGGAGACGCTACAACAAAAAGTAGTTCAGAGTCAGCAACACTCAGTGGGGGTAATTTTTATACAAATACTGTTTCTAAAACGTCAGTGGCAGCAAAAATGTCCATTTTAATCACAGAATCGTCAATAATGCCAAGTTCGTCGTTACCTACAAAGGCATCGGAAATATCGTCTGTCAGTACACCCGACTTGCTTTCCCTGCAGATCTCAGCGGAAACGACAGTCTCTGCAATGCTCATATCTGAAATTACAACAGGCGCCTATTCTAGTTCATTGGAAACTATCACTGCATCGGCTCACATAAAGAACACAGGGACTGCTTCTGAAACGTCAGTGATACCAATAATGTCCATTTCAAACAGAGATTCGCCTACAATGCCAAGTTTATCCTCATTTTCTTCAACCCGAGAAGCACCAACAACAGAATCTTTGGTGATCACGTCTGTCAGTACAGCCATTTCACCAACAACAGAATCAACCTTGTCCTTTTTGCAAACCTCAACGAAAAATTTGGCGTTATCTACATTTTCTTCCACGCAAGAAGCACCAGCAACAGAGACCCCAGAGATTACACCTGTCGGTATAGCCATTTCCCCAACAACAGAACCAAATTTGTCCTCTTTGCAAACATCATTGAAAACGACGGTCACTGCAAATACCACATCTGACATCATGACAGGTACCGAATCTAGTTCTTTGAGAACTACCACAGCTTCGACTCGTATAAAAAACACGAAGACTAGAACTGTCCTTAAAACATCAGAGAGACCAGTCATGTCAACTTCAAACTCCTATTCTTCAGCCCGAGAAGCACTTGCAACAGAGACCCCGGATATGACGTCTGTCAGTAGGTCTATATTCGTTTCCCAATCAACAGAACCGGTCGTGTCCTCTTTGCAAACCTCAACGAAAATTACAGTTACTGCAACACTTATATCTGATATCGTAACAGACACCGCATCTAGTTCTTTGGAAACTACTACAGCTTCGACTCATGTAAAAAATGCAAGGACTAAAACTGTTATAAAAACGTCAGTGACACCAATGATGTCCATTTCAAAGAGAGCTTCGTCAACAATGTCAAGTTTGGCCTTATCTTCATTTTCTTCCACACAAGAAGCACCATCAACAGAAACCCCAAAGATGACGGCTGTCAGTACAGCCATTTCCCCATCAACACAACCAAACTTGTCCTCTTTGCAAACCTCAACGAAAACGACGGTCACTGCAACAACCACATCTGACATCATGACAGGCACACAGTTTAGTACTTTGGAAACTTCTACATCATCTTCTCATGTAAAGAACACGATAACGAATCCTACTACAACGGGAACTATAATTACTACCCAAGTTTCCACGATTTCTGCTTCCTCTAAACGCCCAACAACAACAACAACAACAACAACAAAAACATCAACGGTGACAAAAAGCACGACAAGAGAACCTTTGAGAGGTATGTAGTCCTTACAAAACTGTAACAGAACATTTGTTGTAGAAGTAAGAACTAAAATGGTAGACTTTTCCATCATTTTATGTTTATTTTCTGATATCCAGAAGAACAGAGTAATGTTTTATCCCAGTCATATGTTTTCGGCATTTGCATATCTCTAGGGTTATTCTGTGTGTTGAGGTTTATTCTATAAATGATAGAAGGATATCATTCATATTATATGAAGAAAAAAAACTATATTGATAATTGTATAAACGGATCGATGGGTTGGCACTATTGTCATTGGACAGTCCTTTTTGCCTATGTAGACTGCTTAATGTATTAATATGCAGAGGGGTGCAGTCGTTATCTTTCATTAGTCATTTTCATGTGATATTTCTTAACTTAAATTCTCGTGTTACAGGGTGTTCAAAGGCGGATATATCGGTAACAAATGCCGAACCAGACATCAATATGGCCGTGGTCCCAGCGGGTACCTTAGTACAATTCTCGTGTGTTACCGGCCAAATTTTTCAGTCTGGGTCAACTAGAAAGAATGTCTGGTGTTTCAACACTGAGTGGCAGACACCGTCCGTAACATGTGTCCCTATATCGTGTGGGTCCATTTCTAAGGAAAACGCCGTCTTGTCACCAAACAGAACCGAATACGTGTATGGAGATGAGATTGAAGTCACTTGCGCAGTTGGGTATTCTTATCCAAACGGTAGCAAGAAAGCTGCAATCAACTGCACTGAAAGTGGTGATTTTAGCTACAGCACACTACATGAATGTGAAGGTAAATATGTGTGCGCGTTTTCTTGTACGCATACGCTTGCGCACTCTTGTTTATTTTCGTAGATTCAAAGTTTACTAAAAAGAGAAGCTGAACTATTCACAGCGTGACACACGAACGCACACATCTTATTTCTTTAGTACAAAGTTATCAGTTACTTTTTAATTAATAAAAAAAACATGAGAGAAAGACTGATGGTAGGGTACGCTTATTAACGTTGCGTTTATTTCAAATTATTTTATTATTGTTGTTGTAGTTGTTCGATGTCCGTCACCGCCAAATGTCACTTTGACTGTCAACAATGCCAGCACAACGGGACCTATGCCCTATGGTACTGTCATAGCCTACAACTGCACTGAGAACAGAACCTATGCAGATGGGAGTGAATCTAGGTCGATGTTTTGTGCAGACAACGGAAAGTGGAGCAAAGTTATTTCAGGTTGTTTAGGTAAGTAAATGAGAAAAGATCTGTTTCGCTTTTGACACAGAGTGATAGTAAGAGGGACGATTTATTGATGCAAAAAAATGACAGAATCATATTTTTAACATAACTGAGACATTTAATAATATAAAATTTATTTTTGCAGAACAAGCTGTAGTGGCACCAGTGCCCCGGAAGCGGAAACACAATCCAGAACCTAAGGAAGCTACTGGTGCAATTGGCATTGGAGCAGTGGGCCTGAGCGTTGTGTGCGGGCTACTGGGTTGTATTTTGGCTCTGGATATCAGCACCCTTGGGAAGCACCTTAGGCTTATGAAAAGAAATTTAGGGTTTAGAATCCAGAGGAAAAAAGCTCACAGGCAGCCCATGGAACTGATTTAATTTTAATTGTAAATCATTGGAAAATAAGATGGGTTGTAGAAAGATGTTAACGGACTTTGATAAAGTGTTTTGAAGATGATTATTAAGGAGAACTAATTCCATAGAAATGTCCAGTATATCGTGGAATTTATTTATTTAGCGAGAATGAGGAGAACACTCATTTCTCGCCGTATATATCAAAAGAAAAGGAATATTTTTCTATGTATATTTGCCTCTCTTTGCCATGTACTCAGTACTTTGAGACGTTATTACAGTATATGCTTTTTGACAGAACATTTCTTATTGGTTGTGCAAACCTTGATAATATAATGTTTTTGTTGATCGTGGCGTATGACCAATTTCCTGATACTTGTTACAATGCGTTCTATATGGGCAACTGTTCTTACAAGTGTTACGTTGTTGTTTTATAGAACCAATATCTAAATCCGGTGTAACGAGATTGAGGGTCCGTGTAACAGAAAGTCCGTCCTCTATTTAGTTAAAATGGTAAAGGTTAGCCTGACCTAAGTAGGTAAAAATTTAGGGCAAGGCCTACCTGTACAATTGAAAGGGAAGCGGACTCTATCATGGGGGACTCTGTCACGTTACACCGGTATATAACGTTGCTTTCATCCGTTAAGCTTTTGTATCGATTCTAAGATTCTGAATCATTGCCAGGAATTTGATTTTTTTACAAGAATATATATATTTATATAAAATAGTGAAAAAAACATTCAACTTATCAAAACAATATTGAAAAAATTCTCAGTATCTCGTAGAATTCATCTTTGGTAAATTAACAATTTATAATGGATATTCACTAAATTTTAAAAGAAAGAATGGAAGATAAATAAATTGAAAGATTGTTGATCTCAAATCCATGTTGTTTAACAAAGCGGAATACAAAAGCGACTTTTATACAATGTCTGCTCTTTTAAATTGTTCTTTGCTTTTCTCAAATCATTGTTTGCAAGCGCCCAGTTACAATTCCATTAGGTACTGCCGGTGTTTTTGGTTTTATGACCAGTTTTCGTCTCAGTGCCGTGTGCAGTAACATGTCTGCTATTTCAAAAAGTGTCAAAAAGCTGGCCCCAACAAATAATCCAAGGGATCCACCAATGTCACCTTAAAATGAAAATAACAAAATGATAAACAAGTTTGATAAGTAAGCATTGGTCAAAAGATAACTAGCACGTAAAGTAAAGCTCTAAGTCTTCATGAACAACCTACACTTTTAAACCTTTACACTAGAAATAATAAGTTATCTTACGAACATTCTTTTTCATTTTCTGAACCTGTCAACTTTATCATTATGCTGCATAGAAAATAAACAAAAGAATAAGTCGTACTACTAATTGTTTAACGTTTTCATTGACTTAAGGCAAATGCTTTTTACGTAAAAATCATATCCGAGATATCTGGCTTTAATATCAACACGTACTCCATAGCTTGTTTATGTCATATGCCTTTTGTTGTTCGATCTCTTCAATCTGGAGTTCTTTGAGGAAAACATCAAACTGCAAGAAGTTTTCTCTGGAAATCGATGTATTAATAGTGTTTTATAGTAGGTTAACAAAATATGGCGACAATAATTAAACGGTAATTTGACAATTTGAAAATTATTATTGTTACGTGTACGATAGAAATACGCCTTCGTGTATTTAACAGAATCTTTGCTAATAAAATGAGTTCAAAACTGTGAAATACTAACTAAAATGGTTCAGACCTGAAGAAAGCTGCATCTATCTCATTCCCCTTGAGATATTCTTCAAGCTGATTCTTCAATGCAACAAACGCGTCCAGAAATTGTTTATCTGTAGTTCCCATAACGCCAGACAAATCCGACTGGCTTTGCAGGTTCTTAAATATTCTGTTCAGTCTGCTACATGTTTCGTTTAAACCTATATCTGAAAAGTCTGCGTTTAAACGGCTCAGAAGGACGGAATGATTTCGCGACAGGGCGTTGACGCGTTCTGGAGTAGTATTGAGAAGATGTGCCATATGCTCAAGAATTTTTTGTCTCTCACTGCTGGTGACATTGTGACTACTAACCAACATTACGTCACTGTTAAGTTTCTGGTAGAACTTCTGCAATGACCCTTCTTCCAGCATCGTTTTCCAAACGGCAATGTAATTTTTCCTGAAAACTTCTAAACTGTCTGTTATGTCACGTGACCTGGAGTGGAGTCCATTTAAAGCTTTTCTTAATTCCTGGAAACTGGTAACATGTGACTCATTTAAAAATGTGCTGGCTACATTCGTCTTCGTAAGCGACCTGTTGGAAATATAGTCTTCTGCATATCTCACCAGAGAATGTACGTCCGCCCAGCTAACCAGTGCCTTCGATTCAAGACTGTTATTCACAATTTTTAAAAGGAAGTACAATGAGTCACGAACTTTGATTAAATTTGTGACACTGTCATTAAACCTTTCGCGTTTTTCGTTCACAATGTCTTCCGACCTTTTAACAAGTCTATCCTGCAGAAGATATTTGCGGTAGTTAAATGCTCTTGCATTTCTTGCAATCTGAACTTTGTATTCCTCGAATCTGGTCCTATTAAAATACCTGTTATCTAGTACATTTTTCGATAAATTCCTTAGAGCAATGATGCTATCAATATAACTTTGTGTAGCAGACGATAGATACATCAAGTATTCCTGTTTATAAGGATGGTATTGAAGCATTTCTGGGTTGTTGAAAGTGTCATCGTAACGCTCGTCTGGCATAGTCACAATATAATTTACAATTGGTGTTCCATTAGTGTAACTGGCGTGTACTGCAGTTATATTATCTAAGGCCCTTAGTGCCAAATATTGTTTTTTTAGGAGATCCATGTCTATAATTTCGAACAAAACGGTTCGTAAACAGCATTTTTCCTGCTCCGGGGTTGCTGTAGTTGACCTGATGGCCGAATCTTCGAAAGCGCCCAATGTTTCCTGATATCCTGACGTCACGTGACTAAAAGTCCGTTCTTCCATTACCTCCCAACCTCGCACAAACCCGTTATGAATAGAATACCAAAGTTTATGTAATGCGACATCTTGAAAGTTGACGCGCGGAGCAATGGTGGCTAGCAGTTGACCTATCTCATGGCGCAAATGTTGTAAAATCTTGGACATTTGTTCCAACATTGTCTGTATCGCATCTGCTGCTCCGCTTACTTTTAAAATGGTTTCACTGTCCGCCCTAAAAGTATTCTGGTTCTTTTTTTAAAATATGTCACGCGCGGCTATATAGCGACGTTGTAGTTTTGTCACCTCTCTGTCGTTCAGTAAAGTTTCCACTTGGAAATTCGAAATGGATGCGTATGATACAGATGGGTCATAGATGTGCTCGTCACATGGGACAGGGCAAGGGGATTCCATTGTGTCGCGGCGGTAGGTTTCTGAAGTGAAATGGACAGATAAATATATGATTGTTGAACAATATGTGATTAAATGGAACATACACAAATGAATTTATAAATTTAGACAGATACTGTAGAAACTGGAGATATGTAGATCTATAAGCATATGCGGCAATGAAACTCTATTTCCGTTAAAAAGGGAGTAATCAACATTGCCTTTGGTCAGAAAATTGACCTCGTCCAACTAGATGCAATGTGGCTGTCAGAGATATAGCGAAGAATGACACAGCTAAATTTAATGAGTCGGAAAATCCGCACACAATCAGGTTTTAATCATCCACGGTTCCGGTCCCCATCAGTTACGTACCTAGTAACGGCACGACACAAGAGATGTACTGGGTTAAGTTGCATATCGGGAGTTTTACTGAAAAAGACAGACAATCAATTAGGCCACTTAGTAATGTACGTGCAATACCGCTAAGGTATGACAGACAGACGATCGATCTTGTGTGTGCATGTGCTAATATTGAAATTGGTGCTACTCGGATTCAGAGAATTACAGCGGCAAACGACTGGTAAACACTACCTGGCGGTGAGAACTCCATAGATATGTCAATACAACCACATACGTCCGTCATAGCGCGGAGTTTGCGGTCGACAGAACACGTGTGACTTGTATAATGGTCAAAATAATTCAGCGGTATGCTGTCGTCACACTGCCCATAAGGAGGTGGAAGGTTTTTGACCTGCAATCAAGATATAAGAGAATTCAAAACTTTGATAATGGTGGCAGTCGGTTGAAACTAATGAAACAAACTGCAATCTGTCCATTCATCAGATGTTCATTAATGCCATCGGAATCACTTTGTTATGCGGGCAGTAAAAATTTTCGTAGGTGCACCGCTTCATCCTATTTCAGCACTCATTTTGCACTGGGAAGGGTTGAAATTACTATAAGCCCCCTTTATTTGGGACATATAAAATAGGAATCACTAGAGTATTTGTCTTTTAACCGTTACCTTAAGCATAAACAAGCCTAAAAATGCATGCGAACCGGGAGGTATGGCCAGACCCAAGTCTTTAACCAGTGGTACGTCAGAGCTGTCGTGGAGTAGTATTTTGACACCGGCAGCATCAGTTGGCCCGGACATATATTCATACTGTTCCACGTTCAGTGTTAAACGTAACCCGTGCTCGGCTCCTGAATGTGGTAAATAAGATGTAAATCAACCCAAAATTTACAATTTATTTTAAAGAGGCAATCGCAGAAACCTACTTTAATTTCAGTTGCAGACCTGATGTACATTCACTATTTCTCACTTTCTTTTAGCATTTCGGCAGAAGTAAGGATTTATAAAATGTGATGGTGAAATTGGGCATTTAAACTTCTCATAAACTTAACTGATGACTCTCTAAGATTATCTGTACTTTACCTGTCTGCGTGACAATCCTTGGGTGCAAATCTGCATTAAACGTAAAGCAAACGCCTTGGTCAGTGAATGTTTTAGTTAACGAACCCTCAGCACAATCTTTGCCACCCCAACGACAACTAAAGAGAAAAAATAAAGTGTACAGTCAATTATAAAATGTAACTGTTTATCCATGCTATTTTAATGATGGTACATGCATGGTATCTCTTAAGCAGACGTTAAATCATTTTATTAGAAGAAGAAATATGATCAGGTATCATCATTACACTCTAGATCAAAAAGACGCGTCTGTTAAAACACTGGTCACTGCTTGTATTTCAAACATATTATATATGGACGTGTCCGTGCGCTCTTTAGAATATTTAAAAAAAAATCTCTGAGAACTGATGTGAAATAAAGTTAATAATATTCACGTGATATTAAAGCTGGCAGATATTGTACGTGCTACATGTAAAGGAAGGTGCCCCAGAACCTGTACCTGACAATCATGTCTTCCTCCTCGTGTCCTGTTCTCTTCAGAAGGTCCATAAAGGAGTGGGACCCCAAGACAGCCAAAGACTTCTTTCTTTCATCGTCACTGGCACCGTACATATCAAAAAGCGCCTCGTACCAACCATTTTTGGCAGCACGCGACGCTCTGAAATTAGTAACAGACGTAGGCCTATATTAGACAAATGCGTATAGCAGGGGGTTTGGGGTTTTGTTATGTTATAAAAAAGCGCACCATGCTTATGGAATTGCATCCAAATGAAACTTAATAAGTATTTGCGATACTTTGCAATTTTCTTGTAAAAAGATAGTATACTTTTCGCCGGTATGATTAACTGCTAGGAATTATCATTATTAATTTAACTGCACTGTAGATAATTTTCTAAACCCACGTTTGTCAGTAAAAAGTACAGACTGTACAAAGAAGGGCACGCTAAATTGCGTACAGGGCCAGCGCAAACTATGAGCTCAGCTTTAAACTCATAGTTTGCGCTGGCTCTGTACGCTGAATTACCGGCCGTTTCCTACTTTAACGTTCAATTTTCGCCCCTCGTTCCCTAGTGTTTAAGTAGGAAACCGGCCACTAATTCAGCTTGGATTACAGTATGCGCATGGCTCAACCATATTTTTCTACCTGAAAGCGTTCTGGTTACAGAATGTGACCGCGGGAAAGGTCACATTGCTGACGTAATTAATTTTTACGTTGACCGCCACGGGACAGGACAGGAAGAGAAGAAGACTCATCACCACTTGGTAAATGAATAAGCTGAATCCTCCAAGGACGAGACCTATCCAAATAATCCTGGAACATCAATAACAGTCCATCAGTTCAAATACGTTCTTGTGTCATTCACACTCATTTCAATATGTGCTCCATCGTCACGTACTATAAATGTATCAAATGTAGGGTGGAAATGAGTCTAAATAGTTTTCTGCTTCGTTTATGGGTTAAGTTATCGAAGCACAGTGTAACAGGGAAAGTGTTTCCTTTTTCTCGGTTCCTTGTGGATTACCTCAAACAGGGTAAATGGAAAAGACTGTGTCGGTAGATTTTAAAAAATCATAAAAATAAACAAGCAGATAAAATGGTGAGGCTGTCCCCGGAAGTAGATACGTTGCGCAATAACGTTGCAATAAACTTGGTATTGTCGCGCTCATGGAAAGGAGACTTCGGTGCCCTATTTTTGTAACGAACATGGAGACTAAGGCGTGGTAGGCCTATACCGGTGTGGCGTGTACCGCTCGGGGCGTGAATCATCCGTTCTGCTCATGCGCACAAAGCGCAGGCAAATCTGAGAGACTTCCGGCGTGTACAGTCCGTCTCTATAGAGTCATCAATACATTCTTAGCCTTTAATGAACATGCGCTGTTGAGAACATACTGCAAATTCAAACATAATCTTTAGAAATATTCATATCTTAAAGATGTTCACCTCTACAGGGATTTCCCTCAGGTGGCCATATCAACACACTAGCCTAGTAAAATCAATATTAAAATAGTAGCCAGCAGCTGAATAACGACGGCCCGTCCACGGTAGGTTCATCCATGCGTCGAGCTGTAATTTGACGCTGATTCTCTATCAAAATTATCAATTAACACATGAATTTAATCCCCATCATAGTAAATGTATAATGTGGTAGGAAATGAACTAGCCGAATATAACAGTACAGGTAAATAACAACGGATCATTCACAGAACGGCTCATACACGCGTCTGCTGCGTGTACAATCGGTCAGGACGGATGGTTCACGCAGAACGGACCGTACACGTGACACCGGAAAAGAGATGGGGAGGGGTTAAGTTGATCATCAACCTGCACCGCACCAAATTTAATTTTCATTAAACTTAACGGTTTCATTTCCGATTTTATATCTTTAATTAACTCACAGCGCAGATATTAGGCCTTGGTTTTTATCGGATATTAATAAATGAACGACTCTTCCTGAAATGAGATAATAAGCACACTGGCCGTTTCACTGTGGAAATACGTCATTCCCCTGTTACAGATTAAATTGTTATTGAATGTAGAATCTCATTGTCGAATTGTTATCCGTGAGTAGTTTGTCATGGAATGGAAAGGTCGCGCGGGACACCATTAGTCTGATGGACTGCTAGAGTCAATAAATTGTTTTCAATGTTTTATTCCTTTTTAGCTTGATTTTGGTTTGTTTGCACAGCTATGATTTATTACAGGGCTAAAGGTTGATTCACTACGCAAAAGTGGATCTGAATAATTGATGTATCAGGTCAATATTTGCTAAACAAAATGATACTAATTTTTCATTTTTACAACAAAAATGAAATACGGTTTATAGGCTTAGTACCTGATCGCGCTCTATTGTTGTCTGCGCTGTTCTACGCCAACTCCCTAAGGTTATTTTGTGAAAAACATGGGGACAAATCTAGTTCACAGTGTCCCCGGGGAATGCATTGAAACATGATATGAGGGCGGCTGTCCTTCAGACATAGTCTCCATTTAAGGACAGAGCCCAGCACCACGGCATCGGAAAGGGAGCAGCAAAATGTACATGTGGCGACATTTTAAGATTCTGGGTAGTGGGTCAAATATTTTGCATTTAACCAAAGAATTTTTATAGTTTAGTAGCATCAAAAGCATGAATATAAAATCTAAGAAACTGATAAATCAAAATTTAAGATTTCACACATAAAGAAGAGGTTGATGAATATTAAATTCAAATACGCTTGATGATTTAATTTGATTGAATGGAACTGCGAAATTGACATTGGGATTAACTAACAATGAAAACATTACTATAACCGTAATTTTTTTTCTTTGGAGAAAGTCATGTAAATGATGAGGGAAAATGTAAAATAAATAAGAAGGGTTTTACGTATCTGCGAGCTGTCGTCCCCGTGCTTGCATAACATGTTGAAATGAGCACGCGCTTCAATAATACATGTATCTTTAAAGGAGAAAAATTACACAAAAAGCCCTATATGCACAACTCCCTTTTTACGGATGCGTTATTGGTTATAATCTGTTTTTGTGCGTGTCGACCGACAATTAGTTATTGAGTCATTCGTTTTAACGTAACGGAAGGCTATTATTAAGGGAAATAACTTTTAAAATACCGTAAGTACTGTTTGTACCGGGGGTACGTAAAAGCTCACTGCACATATTAATTTTAAAAAAGGCTAAACTGATTGGAGCTTTTTTTAATTAGAAATATAATTTATTTTTGACATTTGAGAAACTAACGCTGATGACATCACTATAACCAAATAACTGACTTGATATCGTTTTAATTGATTATATATTGATGAAGTGCTCAATCGAAAAACATTCCAACTGTGCTGGTGTACCTATGCCTTACACCATTTGCGACATATTGTTTATCAAGAAAAGGGCACGGGTTTACCCTGGACTGGGTAAGACAGTGTGGCCACAGATTTATTGGGACCGAAGCAAAGCAAATTCGAAGTTTACCGAAAAAATGATTGATATTTTTTAAAAGTTTCCACAATAATAAGTATATTTCAAGTGAGCAATTGTTAAAATTTTGATATTTATGTATGCCAGGTGTTTACGTCCATGCACGTACATAACAATGAAATAAGTGTGAGATACTTGCATTTCCTGTATACCTTTTGGGGGTGTTGGGTGGGGTTATGGTGTTTAAGAATAAACAAACAAGCTGTCATTTTCTATGCTGTCTAACTCAACATGCAGTTATTAAGACTGAGATTTAGCTACGGTTTAGTCAATTAAGTCTGTAGAAATTAACGCGACTGTGTTAAACATGAGTACACTTAAAATTATCGATTAGTTAACAAATGCTTTAAACCGCTTAGGCAAGACTCCCCCTTGCTGTACGCGGCCTCGAGAGAACAATTGCAGATTTTGAGGAAAAATCGAAACTTGAGACAAAAGGGATGAGTTTTGATCTTAATTTGTGCGTTGCAGTAAAACTGTGCTCTTTGTATGATTTGTGAGTATGATCAAACACGTCTTTAACTAACATTTGAACGTTAACGAAATAACAAAGGACTTTTCTTTTTTTCTCTCTAGCCGAATCAGTGTATTGTAAATTTTGAATACACCATGCAACATCATACATGTACGAATTATTTCAAAGCGTGCTCATCCTGGTAAAAGATCCATCCTTCATACAAACTACACAGGTGCTATTCCGACGTATTTTCCTGTTACACTGTATGTGGGAGCAGTTGGTACAGGTAGGCTACATGTACCGTGCAACCATCGTCAAACCGCATTGGAACGCCAACTCGCAATCATGCAATTAAAACAGTACTTATGATCATCTAGACCTTAGAAACATCGAATTGAGTTTTCAAGAAGAAGGCCAGGTATACTTGGGGATATATTGACTCCGAAACGAACTTTATTTTGAATAGAATTGCTCAGTCGATGTAAAAATCAATATAAAATTCGTACTAGGTAACATAAGAGTGTAATTTCACAGACCAGCTGGACTTGGTTTTAAACCAGTGCAATTTCATTGTTGATTAGTCTATTTCCCATCGTTTCGAAACAAGTGGTAACAAATGTAGCACAGGGGAGATAGATGCGTTTTCCATTTCCGTGACATTTCTGATCCCATCTGACGTTTTCCTGGGCCTCGCAGTACATAGGTGGCGTCTATTTTTTGTTCCTCAAGCAAGGATTTAAAAGAAAAAGTGATTATCAATAGGCAATATCTGTATTAGATTTAATTTGCCGGAGGAAAACACTATGTAGAGTTGTGGTCTACAAGAAAAAGAGAACAAGGCAAAATATGTATTAGATTTAATTATTAGCGGTGACTGTCTAAGATTACGTCTTTGACAACAGCTATGCAGAAGTAAAGCATTATTTTTATAATGTTAAAACATGTAATAAAACAATGTTAAAACATTGACTAATGAAAACCATAAGAGAAGATAATTACACTATGTATACATATGTCATCAGTGTGCAGATGCAGCTTGAAATCTTGCGAAACGGAGGTGTACCACGGGGCCTATGCTAAACTGCGTTTTAATGCCAATGTTTTTTAAAACGAAACATTATTAATGGTAATAATACTAAAAACATTACCCGTTCTTTTCTATCTGTCCCCAACTCAAATTCTAAAAGCATATTTTAGGACATGATTTGAATCATGCCGTTAAATATATGGAGATTCATAGATTCAGCGGATAGACATATACAAACAGTTGTAAGTATAACCTATTCATGATAGTGCTCAAATATGCTCGAGTGACTAATTTCAATTAATGAAATTACATTTGAACTTCATTTCCCATTCGGAGAAAGTCGGTTTTACATGTATAGATTTTTTGTACACTAATGTTATCACCTTTACAGAGAGATATGAAGTATTTGCTGATTTATGTCCAAGAATCGAAAAATCATTTTAAAATAAAGTATAACCACGTTCGATTAAATTGAGTTTACTAATCTTCACCTTTCGCATAGTAGGTCACTCAGCAGAGACTGTCAATTACAGTGCAAAGAACGCTTATGCAACTAATGTAATAAGTTGTCGAAAAAAATTACCTTCTGGTTCGAAATGGCGTTTCGGCTGTAACTTGTTTTAATCCGTGGAGTGTTGTATTTTGACTAAACCGAAAGAGTTCTGAACGCCAAGTCATTGATTTATTCCGTTTTACCTTCGCAGGTTCTTCGCCCATGGTCACTGTGTTCGTGTCCGGAACGTCTAGTCAAATCTTGTCAGTTGTTTGGTATCAGAAATGAAACAATTAACGCTTGCCCTAGTTTACGATCCACAGGCCATTTATAACTATCCAGAAGTCAATTAATGCGAATGACGTGTCCTCACCGCAACGCTTTGCAACTGTATAATATGACGCTCGAAGTATCGACGTTTAATCTGATGTTAGTTGCTGGAGAGTTTCTTTGGTTTTGCCGATTTATTTGCCCTCGTCGGTTCAGTTAATTTGGGTGTTATTTTATGTGTTTCATTTCATGGTAATTACATAATGCTTTTCATTTCAGGTCTTTTTTTCGACTCAAACGTAGGGATAACCATTTCAGGAGAAAAAAAAACGAATCGTGGAATTGGTGTTAAAGGTAAAATGTATGTACTAGTTGGATTTTGGTACCCTAGGTTCTAGATTCCGGTATTGCCAGCTCGATCTTGATTTCATATATAACCCATAGTAGCAATAC